GAAGATCTTTTGGTAGCTGCATTGTTGGGAAGGGATTGATTGTTATGGGTGGTATCAGAAGCAGATTCTCAGTTTTCAATGATATTCATTATCTGAATTTAAGTAAATTTATTAGTAAATTCAAACTTTAGATCTTTGCAAATGGAATCCATTAGATACCTTTAAGAATCCATTTAATAAAGGATTGGCATTCCAGTAATTAGTTTGTGCTTATAATAAGCCGTAATTGATCTTTGAGAAAAAGGATACTAGAAGCAAACCCTACAAACCACTTGAACATGAGGGTATCTATTGTTTTGGAGGGTGCTATATAGATGAAATTAAAAATACGTAATTCTACAGCAATTTTATGGCACTCTTAAAATTAGATTAGCCCAATAATCCCTGGGTCATTCCTGAAACTTCTGGAAAATAGCCTGCTCCCAGAATTCAACATACAGCCTCTTATGTATAAGAAATGAATATTATAATCATCTTTGGTGGTCGAGATGACTCTAGAAGCCATCCTTATTTTAATGACTTATTCGCTTACAAGATTTAAGAAAAGGAATGGGTTCAGTTAGACATTTATGGCAATCTTCCAAGGCCAAGAGCATCTCATTCTGCTGTGGCTTACAAAAGTCAAGTGTTATATTTTGGGGGAGTGAGTATGAATGGATACCTGGAATTTTCAGTAAATGTGGCAGAATTTAATTAAAATCAGATAAGACAATTACAAGCTGAAATGAAAGCCTATGAATAAACAACAGAGATTCAAAGTCCAAAAGAAGAAAGACAATCGATTTTATCTAAACAGTACTTCTCATTGCATTAGATTGCCCCAATCTAAAAACCTAAACAATTAACAAAGGCTGAGGAAATGAATTAACAGATCCAGCAACTGTCCTTTTCTAATTTTCCTCTACATCTTAAATGAACTTTATGATTAATATATTATTAATATAAATTTATAATTTTTCATTCAATATTAACAGATTTAAAATACAAGAGTTTCAATTTAAGAGCTTTGATCTTCACGTTATAAAAGAATGTGTACTTATTCATGTTCAAAACATGTTTTTCAAGTTTCTTTTGGTACTTGATATTGTTTTTCTCCAAAGATTTGATAATGTTTTCGAGGTTTTGCTGTGGATAATACTTTTCATAAGACTGTTGCCTATCGCATTGGATAACTGAAGGATACCACTTTGCATTAATGTACAAATCGTCAATCATATTGAAATCTTTGGGTGTATTAGTCTGTTCCTTATGAATTTATCTAGACTGAGAAAGTTAATTTTCTATTTAAGATTATTGGTCTGCTTTAATTCCAACTTTATTCAAGGAGCAGTCAAAATATTATTGTTTTTATTCTTATTCCTAGTCTTCATTGACAAAACAAGATGATCGCTTTTACTCAATGTTTTGAACTTCAGAATAATTACTAGTTTTAGATCTATGGGCTATTATAGCCACTTATAAAGAGTGAGAGAATTCAGCTCCAGCTGTATCTTCTATAAAATATTTGACTGATTTGGATATATCTGATTGTTGTAGAATGCTTTTTATCTTACTCCCAAATCTTCTCTTCTTTTGTCTTTGTTAAATTAAAGGGTAAAAATTACTCTTTTTTATCCTCTGCTCTAGATCTGGCTTATATGTCAAAACAGGACAGTCAATCTCTTAATGATTTTATCTTTCACAATATTTACATTCCATACAAAATAATCTATAATTGGAATTAAAAATAATTTAATCTTTAATGTAATGAAACATTTCCAAATCTCTTTTGTTGAATTGCAAAATATCCAAGAATTTATTCCTACTAATTCTATAAATATTGGAAAATCCAACACTGACAGCTGATGTTTTTGGAGGAAAATCAGTAAAGAATTAATAAATTCCGAATTGTTAATGCTGAAGTAGTTTTGAGAATTTCATTTTGCTTTAATCATCCTGAATATCCACTTCTCCTTCTATAATGAAGTAAAGGTTCTTATCAGAGATATCTCCTCTTTTATAAATGATATCTCCTGGAGCATACTTAACCAATTCTAAACTTTTAGATAATAATTGCTGAGTATTGCATGAGAAATGGTTTATAACTAGTCTTGCCTTATTGATGACTTTTCTCTGGATATCAGTATTTAGATCCAATTATAAATTTTATGGCAGAATCCCTAAAAGTCTATTGATATCTTCTAAATTTTCATTCTGTTCCGATTCAATATAATATTTGAGGTAATTTCTAATTCTGCTCTAGATTTGTGGTTCAACACAATTCTTGCTCATGTATGTATTCATCTATAATAGCGATCTTTTATATTTCAATTTGGCATCATAGATGTTTTTGAGGATCATGCCTATAGAATTCATTGAATACGCGAATATTCCACTAGACAAAAACATTACCACATTAACAAAGATAATTTCAAATTAACTTTATGCAGTGATATCTCCATATCCTACTGTTGTCATAGTCATCGTTGCCCAATAGAATGCGTGATTATACTTCTTCCAAATGGCTTCATGTTCCAAATCATATTTTATTAGCCAGGATTATTCTCCTGATTTAATCCCAACGTAATGCCAGAAGCAAGCGACTATATGAGCAAAAAAGTATATGGAACAAATCAGACTTAGCAAATCCATTATATAACTAGATACTCCTTTAACAAAGACATATTAGAAATAATCTGAAAAATATTTTTATATCTTATAGAATGTAACTATTAATTGGCATACAACGATGCATTCTCCAAGAATTCGATGAGATGTTACGTTTTTTTAGATCAAAATCCATAGAGTTAAATTAGTTAAATCAGTCATTGCATTGGTTTAGAAATATTGTTGAATCAGTTTCTTTCTCTTTTTAATCACAATCCCTTAAACAATAATAGCTTTGTTAAAGGAAACACAGATGTCACTGACTAGGAAGAATGTTGTTAATTACTTGATAACATCAAAGGAGAAATAGTTCTCCATGTTGTCAAAAGATAATAGAAAAGGAGTGAGCCATAGAATTATCAAATTAAGAGATATTCCTATGGCATCCCAGACAATAATTGCAATGCTCGTTGGCATGATGATTGGGATCCTCGATTAAGAGAGGGACTCTTAAAACATTAAATTATGATATTACCCTTATTTTATTATTTGTTCCCTTCTTTAAGATATTCATCATTCAAAATTTATTTTTTTTTATTCTATAAAACATATGAGTTTGTAAAAAGATTATTAATAAATTGCTTTTTAATCCGTTCTGTTTTCAAAGCCTTCAAAAAATAGTTATAACCTGCAGAATTCCCTACTGTTTTAGATAATTTATAAGGAGTAGTGGATTCGTAGGTTTTCTTCTAAGCAGTTTGAGTCAATTGTTGTTCCTGCATTATTAATCTTGGCTATCTCAAATTGTGGCGAGTGTTTGATTTGCTCCTTTCACCATCTATAATGTGTCTTTCACTATCTTCTGAAATTTCAGATAACCTGGATGCTGATTCACTTTTAAAAGTAATTTGTTTGGTGATCATCCTTGGCTTTTGATTAGGTAGTTGATCATGCTGAAGCATATTTAATATTAAAAAATATATTGGAATTCATTCACATAAATTAAATCCTTTACCTCTTATACAGAGATTTAAATTTTTGTTTAATGTAATATCAAATTATTAATAATATCTCATCTCAGCAATCATAAATCAATTCTGATGAAATTAAGATAATTAGAATATATGAGATATCTTATTTTAATAATATATTTTGTTTTTACTAGTATCCCTTTTATTTCATCCTGATATTGTATCAATAGAAAATTTCAATGCTAATCAATTTAGGTTCAAATAACAGTTTTAAGTTATAGACACCAGATAGAATTGTATTGTAATCTTATTTAATATAATTTTAAAGTAGATATATGAAGTAATTAAATCCTGGTATTAAAATATTATTATTCTTTAAATTTAAAAAAACACAAATATCAATACTTCATTTAGATCAATCATGAATTATACTCGAACTAAAATATTTAGGCTTAACATTTACTAAGTTGAATTGGGTTCCCATGGGAGTGATCCATCACCTGAACCGGACCTATAATTCGTGATCTCCTCATTTGCCTATCGCATGTTGAAGTTAAGGTTCTCTTTCTGCCCTGTGATGATTTACCACTGCGCCAAGTTGCTTTCCCCTTAGAATTCTTTGAAACACACACACAAAACTTGAGTTTAGTTTTCGATTTCTGCTGGCTACTCTTCGAACTTTTGGTGAATTTTTTTCATTGGTTATGGCAATCTGTCGCCAATCGAATATGCAAGACCTTATTAGGGCCTCAATTTCAAATGCTAATAACTAGTAAGGACTTAATTGGTTTATTCTTCAATATCTTGATCGTCATTGCATTCGAACACTTTCTTAGCCGAAGGATTTGGGCAAGGTACCAATCTCGAATTCAATCTAGTCAAGTATGAGTTTTTTGCTAAATCAATTGGTGGGTAATAATTTAGAGTGTCCATTTGATAATTGATTTCGTCCATATAATTTACCTTATTCATTTTGATATTCATTGTCTTCTATTCTATCTGCTCCATATATTGATCCATCTCTTCTCTGAGTTTGAGTAATGTTTATCTCATAATTTTATAAAATAATTGTTATTATTATTATTATTAATATTTCTCGAAAAAGTGTGTACTACATTTTTGGTTTACAATTAATTTATACAAAATCTAACTGTTTGCAATAATATTCTATTTCATACAGAGTAATTGACGAAGTTCCACTTAAAGTATAGACCACCATCAATTAGAACTAGAGTTTAAACGACTTCTAGGGGATATAGAAATGAAATTATAATGACAAAATCATAGTATCATTCCAATTATAAATTAACTTAATTAAGTTTGGCAATGAATTCCGAATGTAAATGATTTCACTATTATTAGTAATTACTAAAATTAGTGAAAAATTATGCATTATAACTTTCATTTAATTTGATGATCCGATTCAACATAAATTTAAAATAAATGAATTACCTCATAATAGTCACTCTTATCTTATTCACTGCAGCTGATAAAATCACATGTCCACTTGATATTGACAAATCAGTATTATGTCCAAATGATAATCAACCTGTTTGTGCGTTTACATAAGATGGATCTGTAAATCTTACACTTATATTATAGTAATTGGGATCATTTGAGAATCCTTGTCTTGCTTGTCGAGCTAATAACGCAAGTTATTATGAAACTGATGAATGCATCGTGACTTCAGCATCTTTAGAGTCAATCAATCCAGGCTCAGGAAATACTTCAACAACAAACAAGTATCAAATATTCAAATGTGACACTATAAAATCTGATAATATCGGATGTCCTGCTGTGTAATATATTAAATCTTAATATACTTAGTTATAAACCTACTTGTGGATTGTTCGATTCTACCATTCAATGCATATAAGCTCCATGTGGTTTAACTTTTGGAAATGAATGTGAAGCATGTTCTGCTAAAAACATAGATTCCTATTTTTACGGGAAATGCGATGAAATTCCTTCTGAGTATCTTTAATTTTTATGATTCTAGTAAACCAAAAAATCCTGTTGATGATATCATAATCAATTGTACTGAACCCAGACCAGAAATTTGTACTCTAGAATACACAGAAACATGTGCTTTCATTTCCACGCCTTGTTTATCTGAATCTTGCATGAAATCTGCTGGAAACTATTGTGAAGCTTGTTCTAGAAAAGAAGTAGTCGGATATGTGAAGCAATCTTGTTCTAATTACCTGTAAGCATTTATTTTAATTGGTTTAGAAATAAGTTTATAGAGGATTACGACTATCCAGAATACAAGGATAACAACAAAAATTAAGAAAAGCGTTTTTGCAGTACGTAGAAACCAAGTTCTTGTGATGATGTTGTGAAAGAAGTGTGTGCAACATATAATTGCAATGATACCACTTGTCTTAAAGAATATTAGAATGAGTGCTAGGCTTGTTTGGATTCAACAACTGTCTCATATGTTTCTGGCAAGTGTTAAAGTTAGACTCTATCTGGATCTGGATATATACTGGGTTTGGCCTTATTTGCTCAGATTTTTATGTGAGATAATCGATGTCATATATATAAATTGTTTACTTATATTGATATTTATGTGGATTAATTGGAATAATATCTATAAAAATATACAGAATCATTTAATTTCGGACATTTCTACGTATTTCAATTGTTCGTGATCTGGCAATACTTTTAATGATCTGTGACTTCTTGAAAAGTTCCAAATATTATGATTGATTCCAAAGTACTCTTTGTTGCATTCATAACACACCAAGAAAACAGCAACTGGGAGTGTCGTCAATGATATTAATTTCAATACGGAGTATATTAAAACCTATAACAAATACTATTATACTGTTGACAAGGTTGTGGGCATGAAGTAACGAGTGCATTCTATCGTGGTGGAGGATAAGAAGTACGCTAAGGAATCCCAACAGAATTGGACTCCGAATTACACCAAGCCACTCACTTAAAAGTATAGAGAATTCAACTTACGTTTTAATATTTTGATCTAGATTATTCGGGTTTCTAATTTAAGGAGTTGATGGGCAAAGGAATCGTTTTTGTTATCCAACTTCTAATAGGGTGTGCAATCTTACTAAGTACTCCTTGTATTGATGTAACTAATGAACGCACTAAAATCCAAAGACAAATGCTACGATTGACAACATCAAACCAATGAAAGACATAAACAGGTTCGAAATCTCTTTGCACTGATAACTTGTTGTTTTTCCACAATAATATACACACTCTCTTGATAATGGTTTAGGCCCTGATACAACCAATACAGTCCAATCAATAACAATCCAAAGCGCCCTGCATTAAATAGTTGCTCATGTTTTTCCTTTTCCAAAATCACACTTATTAATATTATGCATATTAATAATTCTAACACCAATCCTATGGATCTTAAGCTGATTAGCCAAATGTTGGATTCTACATAATTAGTGACCAGTACTTGCAAACATAAAGTACAACACTTAGAGCATCATCTAAAATATGCTTATTGCGCACAACGCTTAATCAATTAATAATAAAATCCCATTATTCCTCTCAAACATGAGTTTAGCTTTCATTATAAAATAATACAGAATCCCACTACTTATAATCAAATCAATCAAACTCTCTGAGCATTAATAATTGCTTTAACATTTATATAATGCTCCCATTGAATTTAATTATATATTATATATTATATATATTTNCAGTACGTAGAAACCAAGTTCTTGTGATGATGTTGTGAAAGAAGTGTGTGCAACATATAATTGCAATGATACCACTTGTCTTAAAGAATATTAGAATGAGTGCTAGGCTTGTTTGGATTCAACAACTGTCTCATATGTTTCTGGCAAGTGTTAAAGTTAGACTCTATCTGGATCTGGATATATACTGGGTTTGGCCTTATTTGCTCAGATTTTTATGTGAGATAATCGATGTCATATATATAAATTGTTTACTTATATTGATATTTATGTGGATTAATTGGAATAATATCTATAAAAATATACAGAATCATTTAATTTCGGACATTTCTACGTATTTCAATTGTTCGTGATCTGGCAATACTTTTAATGATCTGTGACTTCTTGAAAAGTTCCAAATATTATGATTGATTCCAAAGTACTCTTTGTTGCATTCATAACACACCAAGAAAACAGCAACTGGGAGTGTCGTCAATGATATTAATTTCAATACGGAGTATATTAAAACCTATAACAAATACTATTATACTGTTGACAAGGTTGTGGGCATGAAGTAACGAGTGCATTCTATCGTGGTGGAGGATAAGAAGTACGCTAAGGAATCCCAACAGAATTGGACTCCGAATTACACCAAGCCACTCACTTAAAAGTATAGAGAATTCAACTTACGTTTTAATATTTTGATCTAGATTATTCGGGTTTCTAATTTAAGGAGTTGATGGGCAAAGGAATCGTTTTTGTTATCCAACTTCTAATAGGGTGTGCAATCTTACTAAGTACTCCTTGTATTGATGTAACTAATGAACGCACTAAAATCCAAAGACAAATGCTACGATTGACAACATCAAACCAATGAAAGACATAAACAGGTTCGAAATCTCTTTGCACTGATAACTTGTTGTTTTTCCACAATAATATACACACTCTCTTGATAATGGTTTAGGCCCTGATACAACCAATACAGTCCAATCAATAACAATCCAAAGCGCCCTGCATTAAATAGTTGCTCATGTTTTTCCTTTTCCAAAATCACACTTATTAATATTATGCATATTAATAATTCTAACACCAATCCTATGGATCTTAAGCTGATTAGCCAAATGTTGGATTCTACATAATTAGTGACCAGTACTTGCAAACATAAAGTACAACACTTAGAGCATCATCTAAAATATGCTTATTGCGCACAACGCTTAATCAATTAATAATAAAATCCCATTATTCCTCTCAAACATGAGTTTAGCTTTCATTATAAAATAATACAGAATCCCACTACTTATAATCAAATCAATCAAACTCTCTGAGCATTAATAATTGCTTTAACATTTATATAATGCTCCCATTGAATTTAATTATATATTATATATTATATATATTTAGGTTTTAGAGGTAGCAAATATGCGATTTTAACAATTGTTATAAAATGGTCTTCTAAGTCGAATAATATGTCAAAAGGCTTAAAGTGGAATCAAAAGAGAATTGAAAATATGAAAGATGACCAAATTAAAGTACGCAATATGATCCTTATAAAAGATTTGATTAATTCAGATATAGAAATAATTGAGGTAATTTAATTATTGTTTGTTATGAACTCCGGTGAAATTATTTAAAACATGAACGACGATACTTCTCTTTCATCTGAGGATGAGGAATAGACCTCCAAGATTATTGAGAATGATCCTACGGGTCGTTTTAGTAAGGTATTGAAAATACTATATTTTTTAGTACAACGAGGAGATCGGGAAAGGAGCATACAAGAGCGTTTATAGAGGTTACGACAATGAAAGCGGATGCGAAGTTGCATGGAATGTGTTTTAATTGATGAATGTTTCTGGGGGTATTTTAAAATCTAGAATAGTTGTAGATGAAATAAGAAGAGCCAAGCAGGAGATTGCAATATTGAAAACATTGAAACACAAAAACATCATCAGTTTTGTTCATTCGTGGTAGAGCAAATCTAAAAAGGAAATCGTTTTTATCACCGAAATTGTTAATGGAGGTTCGTTGAAAAAGTAAGTTCCACAAGATTATGAGTTAGTTACCTAAGAAGAATCACGAGACCCAAACTCAAAGTCATCAGATATTGGTGTAAACAGATTCTGGAAGGATTGGAATACATGCATCAATAAAACATAATCCATCGAGACTTGAAATGCGAAAATATATTGATTGACACCAATAATAACGAATTGAAAATCGGGGATCTTGGATTGTCAATCTAGTAATCATATAACATTAAATAAGAGAATGCAATCAAATAATACGAGTTCAGTATTGGGAACTCCAGAATTTATGGCACCTGAAATTTATCATGGAAATTATGACACAAAGGTTGACATCTATGCATTCGGCATGTGCATTCTTGAAATTGTGACCGGCATGAAACCTTTTTGCGAGTGCAAAGGCGGAACTGCTCAGATCATCAAGAAAGTGATGGAAGCACAAAAGCCTTAGAGTTTGGAGTGCATATTGAATGAAAAAATTAAGACCATCATTTTGGAGTAAAAAGCACATCATTAATTTAGATGTCTTAAACCTGCAACTGAGAGACCCACAGCGACCTAACTCTTACAACAATACTTTTCATCAAGCAACAACGACGAGGACAACTCTCCTGTCCAATTGAATGAGTCTCTCCTTAATCAAATCTCCCATGATAGCAAAAGTACTTTGTATCTCCATTTTGTAGATTCTTCCTTTTTCAAGAACAACTTATCTAAAAACATCAGCGAACTCAAAGGAACTACTAATAATCACATTAATAATAACCTTACCAACTAAACTAATAAACTCATCTCTTTCCAGGAATTCAACCCTAATTCAATGAAACAATCTGAAGTAAGACTTTGTGAATAATAAAATAAGTTAAGCATTGATACTGTAGAAGATTTCTCAATTGAATAATAATTTGGCAAACAATATAAAGAATACTATGTATCTAATTTAAGTTTATTCCTCTAGATCACTCAAAATGACGAAACCTTACAAGACTTAGAATAAAGACAAGAGAGAGAATTGCAATTATTGCTTGCATTGCACAAACAACAAAAGGCTGATCTCTCGACCAAACTCCAGTAAACCAACAGAACTACAATTCCATATGGATCTGGGTTTTTGTCACCAAAGTCCTTCTCCACATTGTTTGAGTTCAATAATGAGTAGCTGCAACAGTTACAGGGCAACTAATAATAATAATAGTTACATCAATCGCAGATTCTTAGGGTGTTTCCTGTGAATGATATCACGCCTTCTGAAGAAAATGGAAGGAAACCAAACAGCAAAGAAGATGATTTGGGCATTACTTAATCAGTAAGACTGAATTTTATCTATTAGAAACAACAATGTAAATTTTCTACAGACGTTGTAATGTAATCAAAAGCTTAAAGTGTTAGAACAACTATTTAAGGTTGAATATTAACATCACTTTAATGTTAATATTAACTATTTATTTATATTACAATTTTATCAAAAAAACCCCCTTTATCCCTCCCTTTGTATTAGTCCTACTTTTATTCTATGTTTATGGTTCAACTTCGAAATCAAAAATATTATTTAAAATTAAATTAAATAATATAAATCAAAGATCTAGCCTGTCACTAGGTTGCGATTAAAACATCATCTAAGGTTGTTGTGGTTACTGATAGCAAGTCACATGATAATTTAAGTTAGCGAGATATTGTGGGTTGGAAGTAAAATTGTTATATAAGTGATTTGGCAAATTCAGTTAAGATCGAGTGGGGGGCATTTGATTGTAATTAACTTAACTGGGCTAATTAAAATTCACTTAACTGGGTTAATTAAAATTCAAATTCACTTAACTGTGCATTAAATAAAAGGAATTGAGGTTTTAGTTATCGGAAAGACAATCAAAATTATTCGTCTATGGATTTTGTTATTGATTGAGCTCGACCTATGGATGCAGAACAATGTTGTTTTGATAGTTCATATTACTGTTTACTGGTTAGGCTGCCAAAAAACTGGGTATATTCATTAATTGGTTATTGCTGATTTGATTTTAAGTGTTAACATAATTGTTGAATTGTTCTTAATTTAAAAAATAGATAAATCCTTTGTCTCTGTTTACCAAACAGAAAGATAATTAGCTCTAATCTTCATTTTAATTGTACTCCAACACTTGGAATTAGATTTGATTACTATTATTGTTCCCATGCTAATTCAAAGTGGAAGGCGTGAAGTTTTCAATATTAATGTTGATATTATTAAAGTTATTAACATTTTAGACTTTGTTGTTATTGGGATTATTCTATAATTGTTATTTCGATTTTAGAGCTCGTCGATCTAATTAGACCTTTTTGGACACCTGATCTTGATGTTCCTACTTGATCTCATAAGTAGTGCCATCTTGTTTCATCCTCCATTCTATCTTCTTGATTATGGCTTGGATTTGCTTAATCTCTTCTGGACTTAACTCTTCAGCTGAAGGATCAGACATATAGGATTCCTAATTGTCGTTATCACTTTCATCTTAGGATTAAGGTATATTTTTGCCGCTCTTCTCCTTTCTCATCAAACAATTAAACCTATTTTTCACATTGTTTTCGCTTCTCTGTAATTTCAATTTTTTGGAAATTAATGCCCACTTTTTTCCATTTTAAATGGCCAATCTCATAAGTTCCAAATCCTCCAATTATTGCCAAGGATTCCTGGTTTATTATGGATTATATACCTATTTATGGAGGGGTTGAGGTGATTATTCCACCGCTCTCGACATTACTTACCATTTCTGTGAACATTAAGACCTGTAGTTTTATTGAGTTCAGTAGCAATTTGACTCCATTTATTCCCTTTGTTCTGAGCCTAAAACTCACTTATTATCCTAACTAAGGCTTCATCTTCATTTTGTCCCCAGGGCGCTTATTGAAGAGGCAACTTCAACATTTGTAGCCACTTCTGTTTGCACTAGAAGGAGTCTCTTCGCAACATCATCGATGATATGTTCTGCCAATCTTCTTCACACTAAAGAAATGGTTAGAGTTGAAAACATTACAATTTATTTGAAATCTCTTTTATGATAGGCCATGTATTTTCCGATAATCCATATCAAGACCCTTTTATCCTCATCTGACCAGTTCTTTTTTAATTTGGTGTTCCCCGTCTGGATGCTGCCTTAGTTGTTCTGTTAAAAGTTTAAAATCTCGAGGTTTTCAGGGAATTGTTCTAATCCCAGATTATACAATTCTTTCATATAGGCGAATCTAACATTCGTGATGCTATTCACTTTATCGTAAAACTCTTTAAACTAATCATAGAAATCTTCCATTTTTAATATTTATGGAATTATAAAATTATACAAATTATACTCCCCACACTTGGCTTTAAGATGTACCAGTTAAACTGACTATCTCTAATTTATGGGACGGAAACAATGTACTGGATTCACTCGTAAATTTTATCATATATAACCCAATAGATAGATGATCCCAATAAAGACGAGCAACTTATTATTGTGGCCTCGCTCTACATCAATGGCCAGTTACAGTACCCAACCAAGACATTCAAGGCCTTTAGCAGGCACTCCTTACAAAAATAAGAAACCATTTTTTTTAATTCCAATATTAAGGACTTATCATACAATTCCTTAATAGCCTTGAGCATATACAGCACTCAATAGAAATATGAGGAGGCTAAACCCTTGGGATCAACGACATTCCCTTTGTTCGATGAAAATTTGAAATTAAGAGAAGGAAAAATCAATTTGCTTATTTGGCCGAATACCCAACCAGACACAAGTTTTAACTCCAAAACACCAGGTCTTGTTAAGGATAGAAACATTCAGGACTTGAATTTTTGTACTAGAAAAATAGATGAAGTCTCAAAAGGTGAGCAGAATGACACCAATAAAAATTTATCAAAATAAAACCTTCAAATCAGATTGTATTATCTCAGCAAGATAATACCCACAGCATTTCTGGAAGTCTAATTGGATCAATATTTCTAATAGCCCATCCTTTTTGAGGACTACGAATATCCTCAAAACGATACGGAATAATAAATAATCGGTGGAGGATATTATAAATAACCCGAAGATCAAATCGCAAATCAAGCTAAAGCTCCTACCTAAAGAATCTTTATTGATCAAAATTAATTGAGCGACACCTTCAGAACCAGTGACTTTGATTAAGAGTTTGGCAAACCTGATCCCATTCACGATATGATGAACTTAATTTTGAGGTATAGTGATCATCCAGAAACATTAAAACCTCAAAAGGATGAAGAGGAAAAAATGAGGAAAATGATGGCTCGACCTTTGATTGGAGAACTCAAAAGTGATGACAAACAACTATTTGTTAAATATCGATATTGGGCTATGTAATATGGTAGTGCTTTGCCATTCTACCTCCACTCAGTTGCTTGGCAAAATCAAAAGGAAGAATAGGATGCCTTAACCTTAATGAAAAAGTGGTCTCCTATTGACAGAGAGGATTGTCTCTTTTTATTGTCTTCCTTCTTTTGTGCAAATGAATTTAAAAAATCTAAGAGGAATAAAGGTAGTATGTTGGAAATTAGAAAATATGCTGTTGAACAATTAAGTAAGTTAAGTGACGAAAAGATTGAAAATGTTTTATTGTAATTAGTGTAGGCATTAAAATATGAACCTTTTGACGAGTCAGAACTCGTTAATCTATTGTTTGAGAGAGCCATCAGATCTAAATCATTAGCTACTTATTTGTATTGGTATCTTCATGTAGAGAAGGATGGCTGGAATGCTGATTCCAAGAACATTATTCTAGCCTTTTATAATAATACATTCGAAAGTATTCTAATATATTAAACAATAAATTAGATTTGGAATCAATGCTGAGTTCCAAAAATGAAAAGCTCTTTAAAGATATTTAGGGACAATCCAAATTTAGATAAAAACTGCAAAGTCTAGCCACTGAAATCCGATCTCTAAAAAACGATAGGCAATTCAGAATCAACTACATTAAAAACTAATTGTCATAATCTGCCTATTAAAATTCATCAGAATTACCATAACATCCATGTTGTCTTTATCCAGAATATGAATTGATTAGAGCTGTCCCAGAGAGAACTACCATATTTTCATCAGCCATGGCTCCAATTAGATTGGGATTCCATGTAATCAAAGGAGATGAGGAATCTGAGATTAAGTTAATCTTCAAAAACGGAGATGATTTAAGATAAGATCAATTGGTAATGTAGATTTTTAATTTAATGGATGAATTACTTAAAGGAGTTAGTTAAGATATGAAATTATTACCCTATAGAATTCTTGCCTGTTCTAAAAGTGATGGATTTTTAGAGTTCGTCCCTGATAATGTAACACTTCAAGAAATCATCATCAATAAAAAACAAGGGATGCAACCTTATTTAAGATAGATTTCAGAAGATAAATTGAACCCTTACTATTGGAAGACCTTGACCTTGAAAAATAATGTAATAACAATTTATATTCTAGGATTAAAAAGATCTTGAAAATCTTAAAATTATACAAGATCATATTGATTAAGTTGTTAAAAAAGCTCCATATGGTATTAATCCAACTTTTATGACCAATTACATCTATTCTAGTGCAGGATATTGTGTCTTAACATATTTCCTAGGAATTGGAGATAGACATTTGGAGAATTTACTAATTAACAATGAAGGCAAGATGTTTCATATTGATTTTGGATTCATCTTGGGCAAAGATCCAAAACCATACCCACCTCCATTTAAATTGTGTCCAGAAATGGTGGAAGCCATGGGAGGGTAGAAATCAGATTTATACACTTTATTCAAATCAAAATGTGTTGAGGTTTATGTCTACTTAAGAAGATATGCTAAATTGATTATAAATCTATTTCTTTTGATGGCTGATGCTGGTATTAAAGACTACAGTTAAGAAGCAATTGAATAGATGTATGAAAAATTTAGATTGGATGACAGTGATGAGAATGCTGAAATTCACTTTTTAGGCTTATTAGAAGAGTCCATTAACTCTTTATTTGCTAAAATGACTGATAAGTTACATTTCTGGGCTAGTTATATGAGAAAATGATATTTCTGTTAATTTACAAAAATTCATCCATTCTTATTCACAAGCAACCTTATTTTTTTAATTAAAGTAATCATAACTTATTTTATATTTTCAATTCTGGATTTTACATCTAACTCTATACCATTATTGAACTCTGATAATCTTTTGTCAATTCTATTTGGTTGTTCTTTTGTGTAGAGGATTCGCTAACTTCAGAATTTATTAATAAAACTTGCTATTCCGCCTTAAATAAATCTTACTCAAAGATTTGATTTTTTTCATTGATTTATTTATCCTTTATATTTTTGGTTATTTCCATCAGATGTATTTGATATGTTTGTGGTTTTTATAAAGTATTTTTCATAGATTAATGAGTTTATTTTAAATGAATATATATATATAATAAAGTAATGGAAAATCAATGAAATATTTGGCTTCTCACAAACAAATTGGATTTAAATTATGTTTTTCAAGTTGGGCATTTTATTTTTGAATGATTTGTTTTAAAGTTGATATTTCTTATTTAAGTTCTATTTCCCTTTATTCCCATTTTTTTGAGACTTCTTAATAATTGTTCATCATCTTCTTAGTTCTTTCGACAACTTTTTGTAATTACTATTTAAGTTTTTCATTTGTTCCATTCTCTTAGAAGGGATGGACAGAATTCGATTGTTATAGTATTTTAAAGCTGCTGTTAGAATTGACTTTTCCATTTTTCATACCTTAATTAGGACTAGTACTGCTTGCCAAACTGATGGTTGTAGATTAACTAGACAATTTTTGTTTGTTCGTCTTGATTGATACTTCCATTTAGGTATTTTCTGTTTTGCATCTACCATTAAATATTCTCTATCTCTTTTCATTGCTATGTGAACTGTTATTGAAAAATTCGTGAAAACTATTTAAATTTGAGTAGTTTAATATTGTAGGCTAACTATTTTATATTCTGTGTTTGGATAATTTAACTTTAGGGGTTCTTATTTAAACAGTTATCATTAAATGAATAATTAATATTATCGTAACATATTGTTATTTTAGGATTCTAGAAAATAATTTTATTTGTAAATATGTAAGGCATCAAAATTTAATAATGTTTGAGAAGAGGAAAATGGCCATTTAAATGGTCGAGCAAATAAATAATATTTTAGTAACAAATACTTTTTTAGTATTTTTACAATAAGTATTGAATATAAGTGGCATGAATGATTAATTTGAAGAATGGCAGTGAAATCAGGTGGTATCTATAAATATTTAGACAGTCCATAGTTTTACTATAATTTTAATATTATTATATTATCATTTAATACTTTAATGATTAAATGAGATTAAATGAATACTTAATTATAAATTATTTCTAAATAATTGGATTTGAAAACTTCTATTTTTGATTTTAGTCAAGATCAAATTTTAAATTCATATTTGACTTGAATAAATGATGAGCTTGTCTTTGATTTAGTCATTATAATATAAATTTTGTTAGATATTAGTATTTTTTTAATAATATATATGATTGCCTTGAAGAATACAAAAATTTCCAATGATCACATTTTGAATGGAAGTTGTGAAATGGAAGACTTAACAAGTAATCCATAAGATGATTGACTAATAGTTTATCCATACGAATTAGTTAACAGGGAGTTCTTTGGATTTATCGAGAAGACATCGCCTATCATGGAAAATTTGGAGCTGTTATCTAAAGTAGGTCAAAATTTAAGATTGAATTATAAAGATTGGCCAACAGCTGATCAAGCTATCTTACTTTTTTAAAAGAATATGTATCAGTTTTGTTGAATTTTAAGTCAAAATGCTAAGAAAAAGTCAATAAAATGGAGCGATTTCGAGAAGAAACTCTTTTATTGGATTGTTATGAGATATTATATTTACAAAGGAATCAAGGATAATAAATAGCTAGTATGGAAATATATTATATTAATTTGTTAAGGCTACTGAAGAGTGGAGAGAAATATCAAAAATGGTTTTAGGAAGGAATGCTCATTAATGTCGATTGAAGTGGGAATAAAAATATAAAATACCATTATCAGAGGCCCCTTGGACCGAATAAGAGGACGATTTACTCTGTTAAGTGCATGAGTAAGTGTATTTCTAAGTTTTAGAGAGTTTAAGAAAACAGGTAGGGAGAATAAGTGGTCTAAAATTTCAAGAGAGATATTTAAAAGATCTAATAATAAAATATTCAGATAACCTAAATAGTGTAGAGAACGATGGATTAATCGTTTGGATCCAAATATTTCGAAGTACCAAAAAGATAATTATTAGTGATCCTTGGAGTAAACAATAAGAAATAGATTTGTTAAAAACAATACTAATAAGAGGTAAGAAATGGTCAGAACTATCAACCCTTTATGGGAGGGCTAGAACTGAGAATTCTTTAAAAAATAAATACAACTCTATTCTTAGAAAAGAAAAATTGAAATATGAGTTTGAAACGATAAACCCTCATTTATTTGAAAAAGTTTAAAATTTGAGAAAAGACTATTCTAAAAATTATGGCAATGTTACTCCAATTGAAGAAATCGATAACTATGAATGGTAGTTTATAGTTTTAGCCATCTAAGCATTGTACATAGAAAAATGCATTTTAGAAGGTAAGATTGAAGAAGCTTAAAAAATCAATAATGATAATTTTTTCGATCTCTTTCATGAAGAACCATTAATCAAAACATCCAAAAGCATTTTATATAAAAAAGAACTAAATATTAAAAAGGTCGATCAGAATTTAGTTCTTAATAATGAAAAATGTGGAGTTGTAGTATTTAATCATAAAAATAATAAATTATTTTTAACACCTTATAATGTGATTGATTTTTAAAATATAGTTTTAAATCAAATTAAAAAGAAAGTTAAGGTAGAAGATAATACGACAACTACATCTACTTAATCTGATCCAACCTAGAATTATATAAGAAATTCAATTGGGACTTAATCAATCTAATAACTATTATATTTCGCTAATTAGCCTAATTATTTTGTACCTTTGAGTCAGAGTATTTTCAATAGCTATTGGTTGCCTCCAGTCTTTCCATAATAAATTGTATCTTCTTAAGTTTAAAATAATAACGAAATTGGTCGCTAACAATTCTAAGAGAATAAACTAAATGAAAACCCACAACAGCAGAAAGGAGATTTAAATGAGCTTTTTGAGGAAATTGGAGTTGATATTAAAATAGTTAATTCTGATGGTGAATAATGAAATAAATTAGTGCTCTATATTTTGTCACTATTTAATATTATTATAATTCATAGTGTAATACCTATCAAATCTCTTAAATACAAATAAATTTATGAATCAATTTAATCTCATCAAATTTTTCCAATATATTAATATAATTGAAAAGATAATTTCTTGAATAAAATTTTTCTTAACACCCATTATTGTAATATTAATAGCAATAAAAATATTGACCCCACTATTAAAGATGAAGTTAAAAAAATTTTAAATTTTTTTATAATAAATAGTATATTTTATATAATCTTTAACAAAAATTAATAAACTAAAATAAAGTTCATGCAGATTTTCTCTTTTAATCGTGATCAGTTTGTAATTTGAGTTAGCTTAACAAATAGAGTTTTTAATCCTGGTGGTTCATTTAATTTTCACTCTCAAATGTATTCTACCTTTTACTTTTCTGCCTTTGTGTGCATTATTATTCCATCTAATTATTTCTAGTACCTCCAGTACTCTCTTAAAAATTGGCTTCATTACTATTATAATAGAATTGTTTTAATATTATTTCTTTAGGAAAGTTTTCAGAGATATTCTGCTAAAGTGGCTTTATGAAAGCTAAGAATTCTGCCTCACCCTGGCCAAATTCTTCTTCATCAAAATTAAACGAATAATGGTCTGTTTTAAAAGGGGATTCAATCCTTTTTTATAAAATATCCTTATATAAATTTTTGTCACCCCATTAAACCATCCATGGATGTCTTAACAAGGTTTCTATGTTATCGATTCTATTTTTTGGATTTTTAGCCAGTAAGTTGTTTAATAGATCTTTAATTTATGGGGACAATTGTAATTATGGAGGAAAATTCAACTTTTAATTAAGAATTCTTGTGTATATCTCCTCCGTATTTCTCGAATAATAGGGAGGTAAGCCAGTAACCAGTTCATATAGCAATGCTCCTAAACAATACAAATCTAATTGGAATGTATGTCCAGATTTTAATAGCATCTCGGGTGCCATGTATTCAGGGGATCCACAAAATGAATACCCTATATCTTATTCTGTCATGTTAGGTTTGGATAACCCAAAATCTGCAATTCTAACATGACCATCAAAATCAATTAAGATATTTTCTGGTTTGATATCTCTATAAATAATGTTATTTTCATGTAGGTGTTTCATGCCCAAACAAATTTCTGAAAAGTAAAAGAATGCTTCCTCCTCCTTCATCCTTTTGACCTAATGTATATATAAATCAAAATACTTTTCGCAAAAGGTAAAACAACTCTCCTCCAGAACAGTATTCCAAAACAAAAACTAAATATTTCCTAGATTCAAAAGCATATTGCATTTTCACAATAAAAGGATGATTAAGGATTGACATAATATCTCTTTCATTTTGTATGATACTTTGTTTATTCTATTAGATTATGGGACTCTTCTCTATCAATTTCATAGCATAATATTAGCCTGATCTTCTTTCTCTTACCATGTAAACTTTAGAGAATCCTCCCATGCCTATGCATCTTATGAATTCAAAATCTTTAAGACTGACTCTGGGTGTCTTGATTTCATTTTCCAAAGCGAATACAGGTTCAATAATCAATGGTTGGAGTTAAATGGAATTTAACAGAGACAAGGGTCTCTCTACTTTTGATAAGATATAATCGACAGGAATCGAAATGTTGCAAGTTTTAATTCCAATCACTGTAGGCAAAGTGGTTCCGAAATTTTTCATGATAATTTGTTTGACTAGATCTACCAAATATTATATAGAATTTTATTAGACATCTACAGTTATCTTTTCTTTATGCGTTTTGCATAATAATATGACATTTATGGTATCTTAGAATTACTTCCTATGAAATAAATAAATTCATTTACCTGTTTGTGATGGGTCTATTAGGATTAATTTCAATTATTGGTTAAGAAGCTGAGTGAACTTAAGTTTTTTGACCATCTAATTGTTTGGTGCTGCTGGACTTATAGGAGTTTGATTGCATAAACAATTGAGATTAGTGTTTTGCACTTGAAACTCCTAAGGATTTTTAAAAGTTTATCCTTTAAAACAATTCTTCTTATTATCGTTACTTCATTTCTTATATTGCTAAGTCTGCTTTCTATTTTAATGTGAGTTCAGTTTTATTCATCGCAGATTAAGGTTAAGTCAGCATAATCTCAGATGATTTTGGCATAGCAGAGGAAATAAGTGATAACTACTTGTAATCATCTTGTGTTTTATCAATTTTATTAAGTGATGACTAAGAGTTTTAATGCGAATGTGGTTGTGTCTTGATGTGGTTTCCTCCTTATCTCATCACAGTTTTTGACTACAATTGTTTTTTCTCTTGGCTAACAAATTTAGGAGACATGAACCCTTTTGATTTGAGGAGATCTGATTATTATACTTTTCTTTATGTTTGTCTCAGATTTTATAATAAAATAATACTATTGTTGTGTAACCCTTAGATTATTCTAAGAACCATTTGATCTAAGCAACGGACTTTATTAATGGATTAATTATTTGTTAGCCTGGTATAAATTAATTTTGTTACTTTGTAATCTATTTGTAAAGTTGGGGAATTAGAGAATCGTGCTTAAATTTATTCTCTATTTGAGAGATAACTCATTAATGCTTGGGGAGGGATTTCTGAAGACTAAGTTTTATGATGTTATCTTTTTGGTGGCATAAAAATTAAATTTATAAATAAATAAATGTCAACTTTGTTATTTAGAAAATTTTAAAAGAAATACCTTATAATATCACTAAAATTGTTGTAAAATAATATTATTTTCTATGGTTCTTATTTAAAATATTCTATAAACAAAATGTTATTGTCATTATTTACTTTTTACTCTACTTTAAGCATCAATAAGATGCATCAATTCATTAATCTCTGTTTAAAATCCTTTACTTACGCTTGATTATTACTTTTTTGCACTTCTTTAATTATTAATTCTGGGTTTGAAAGTACAGTAAACCATTTCTTTTTATTATTTTTTCTTTTATTCAATATCTATTTTATTTTATAGTTTTTGTTTCCATTCTTCATTTCTTTCTGCAATTGAAGTAACTCTTGCAGTTTATGCTCTATTTGTAGATTAATTATTCTCCTGTTCTTTTTATTGATCCCTAACTTTTTGTTTTGAATAGCAACTTTACAGTTCTGATTATTGTAAATATTAGGAACTACTTTTATGAATGATTTTAGGGGATGAATAATTTTAAGTTCTCTTCCTTTCAGATTTGTCAGGTTGTTTTTTAGAAGGAGAAATACTTTATGTGTATTATTTCATGTATTTTTAAGATTATTAAGTTTCGTTAAGGTTTTTGATTGGAGCTTGTGTTTATTATTCATTATTTTTGATTGGATTTTGTTATATGATGATTTGTTAAGCTGAAAGTCGTTAGTTCTGAGACTATTCTTAATTTTCTAAGAGTTTGGGTTTAATGGTACCTGGACTCAAACTTTTTGTGTTTGCTTATTTTTTAAATGAATCACTGCTTCTCAGTTATTCATCATAAAACTTGATTTTTTATTGAATGGATCTTTGGATATTTCTGATGATACAAGATGATTATTTAGCAGTAATTTTAGCATTAAACAACGATTCACTCAACTGAATAGTCTCCTTGTCTACCTTTGTACGTGAAACCACTTTTAAAGCATAATTTTATTGATGTATTCTCCTTTTCTAACTTTGAACAAAAAAGAATGCCTCATGTTTATCATTCATTTGTAATTTAGATTGTTTACTTATATTAAATAATTTTATTGTGTATTTATTTTAATTATTCAAACAGTTTACAGTAAGAAAGAGAAAGAATAACTAAAATAGATCATGTAGATTGATATAAAATCATTGAACTCAAACTTTAATCTCCTTTCTTCTTTCTGGTTCTAACTCTTCTTCCAAAGATCCTAGTATTTGAAACAAAATTGAGCTTAAATATGAATTTTGGAAACCCTAATGATGAAAAATGAATTAATACTTCAGATGTTAAATTAGGTTTGATGAATTTACATAAGTTTAAATAGCCACTATATTCTTAGTCTCCTAAGAATACTCCCAAGGATCGTTTGTATCTGTTTATCAATCTACCTTAGTAATATAAAAATATCCCTAAATTATTTTAGGGGAGTCTGCAAATACCATAAGCCTCAGTGCATTCATTCAATCTATTGACTAACTTTTCGTTTCCCACCATGACTTTGAACTTGTTTTCCATCTTATTTTTGATGGATGAAAAAGCTTGAGGTTGATCATTCACAAACATCTTATAAGGAAGTTAATCCAAAGAATAGAATTTGATGTATTCCTTTAAGGAATAATCAGGATATTTAATGGCTTCATCCTTCTTGAGATCAAAAGCTGCATATGTATTTGAGACGATATCATCATTGTAAAGGTTCAATTCAAATACTTTCTAATGAGAATGTATTTTTGCAAGATCAAATATAAAAATCTTTGTGTAATTGTAATTGCAATTAATTATGAAGTCTTCCTCAGTCAAGAGATGAGTGATAGCATTCAATAGGACAGTTTTACTTTCAGGAGAATCGACTTTTCTCTCCTTCTCACTACTAATAGTAAGAGTGTAATTATAGAATGTCAAAGATTCATCATTAGGATTTAAAAGGTTATTCATTGATATAAAACCAACATAAAAATTATTCTATGATTTGTGACAAATCAAAACACTATCGCCTAATCGAAGTGAAGCAATTTTGAAATTCAACGCATATTATTTTTTGTTGAATTATTGCTGTTCTTCTTAAATCAAGCCTTCTCCTCCATTTCTAGTAATTTATTCATAGTCCTATTTGTTTAAACATATCTTCTTCTTTGGAATATCGAAATTAAAAAGAAAATCACTCAAGTCCTCTAAATCCTTTGTTTCTTTCTCAAATAAAATTATCAAAGGTATCTTCTCTTGCATATCATCAGTTGTGTATTAGGATTTCTTTCTTCTAAGACGATAGGCATATTCAATTTTCAATTCAGATGCTTCAGATATTTTTGCATTGTCTAAAAACAACCCAAAACAAGACATTGGTGATTAAACGAGTTTCGAAATTCTAATTTAAAATCTTTTTAATAAATTACTCATCGATGAAGGTTAAGGATAACTTTGGTTAACGAATGGCATTATTCTCTGCTACCTTATTGAAAGAGATGTCTTCTTCCTATTAATTCCCATAAATCAATTAACAATATTTACAAACATTCTTCATCTCATCTCTTGAAAACTTTTATAAATGATTTTCACTATCCTTTAAGTGCAATACCATAATGTCTTCCAAGACTTCTCCCATACTTCTCAATCCTCCAAATACAATCAATTGGTCTTTAAAAACAATACAACTATGTGAAAATCTTGGCTAAAACATAGGAGTCTTGGATCGAGGTACTAATTTACTCCAAGTCTAACACTTTAATTAAAAAATTCTACCCTCATAATAGTCTCAAATATCCAAATGTCATTCTTCGGATATATTGGCTTTTCCTCTTCATCCACATTCTAAAAATTATCCTCTTAATCCTACTCAATTGCTTCCTCTTCGTTATCCTTTTATTAATCATATTAATAACTAGTTGATATTTCAAAAGACATACCCTTCCCCTCCTATAATAAAAAGAAATCGATCAGCATAAGCCACAGCAGAATGAGATGCACGAGGTGTGGGCTACTATGATCCATTCGGCTTGATCTTCTCTATTTTGATTACTATGTTGTTTTCACCATTTTACTTTTTGTCCTCTAGTGAATCTTGTTAGTCAAATCTTTGTTGTAAGTCATTGATGTTCTCAAAATCCAGCTTATACAAATCCTTATAAAATATTAATTGCTTTTGTGACATTTAACCTTGACCTCCAAAAATGTAAACACTCTCTCCAATCTTATTTGCCGTATGACTTTCTAATTTAATCATCTCGTCTCCTGTGAAATTTATGATTTATTAAAATTTGTTTGTCTTTATATCATATAACCAATGAGACTCTGTCATAGTGTTCTGTACTTAGTCCCAACCTCCGTATATGTATATTAATCTCTATGATAAAGCGACCATTGAATGTCCTTCTCTTGCTTGCATGTCTTTTGGCACTTATATTTCTGTCCACTCTGATGTGTCAATGTCGAAGCTCCAAAAATCCCCCAAAATTTAGTCATTGCTAGACCCTCCAAAAAAATAAAGCTTATTTTGAAGACAAACTGAGCAATGGGAATCTCTACCAGCTGGGTGATTGGCAGAAGGGCTGGCCAGTCTTTCCCATTAAAATGTTAAGCAATCCATTCGATAGATTAATTCCCATTATTTGGCATTGTCTGATTTGCCACACCCGCTGAAAACATACATGTATTTATCATGCAAGACAGCTGTATGGCCCCATCTCTTGCAAGGATAATTTGGACTTTTCCTCTTGTTTACACTTGAGTTTTTAGATATCCACTATGCATTCCTAAAGATTTTTGTGGGGATTGTTGTTATCTCTTATTGAATTTAATTCATATAATTTTATAATTTAATTAATATTCATGATCACAAATTAAATTAAATATTCATTCGCCCTTTATTCGAAATACTTCCTGGTGTCTCAACAATATAATTAAGACATGTATTATCATCGCAGTACCCAATTTATCACTTATTCATTTTTAGTCCCTTTGCGTTCAGAACATGAAAACCAACTCTAAAAATTAATTTCAAAAGGTGCCTAAATTATAGGCGGAGCTCAATTCCCGTACAATGGAGCATATTACATCATCAACACAGAAGATGACAACAATATCAAATCCTTTATCAATAATGATCCATACACATAAAATAATTTGGCGAAAACAACCTATGAACAAATCTATCCCCAAAATGATAATTTTGATCAATTAAGTTAGCTCTATAGTTTTAAATGAAGAATATATATATGAATAGAATTTTACAAATTAATATAAATCAATTTCTTTTTTTTAAGGAACTTTATTATTATTATATATAATCATCATTCTTAACAAAATGATTCTATAATTAATTGTGAATTTGAGAAACATTCGCTCAATTTTATGAAAGTTTTAATGAAAACTGGTTCTTGTTAGAAGAATCATTTAATTTCTGTAGTATGGAAATCCTAATGGTGGTATCGTTGTTTTATTATTTGAGTCAGATGCAACTATTTATTTATACTCTTATTATTAGTATTGTGTAGTAAAACACTCTATATTAATAAACAGGCGTTCCAAATTTTAGAAGATCCTATTAAGTTTATTTTTTGATTTTTTAAAAGCTCATTATATCCTTTTCAGAAATTTCATGCTCTTTATTTTATTAATTTTGATTCACTAGCTTAAAATGAATAAGCAATCATTTTGATCTTCTATAGTTTTGTGTAACATACAAATCAAAAAGCCCCAACCTTTTAGGTAATAATATTGAGAATATAAAATTCAATATAGTTTCGATTACTTTTTATTCAGAACTAGACTTGGATATATCATCATATTCTATTAAATGATGTGCTTCCATCTACAAAAATATCAAAAATAAAATCTTATCATCTATATTTTGGCAACATATATTTATATATTTGATCAAGAGTAAAATACTAATTTTGATGAATTTTAAGAGCATCAAAAACATGTTAATGTCACACATCTATTAGAATGGCACCTGTGCAGAAATAGAAGCCAATTCAATTATATATATTAGGAAGATAAATTAGTAAAATGTAATAAAAAACAGATAAAGATGCTCTATAAAATTGGTAACTAATAAAGTTTAAATTAAAATTATAGAAAAGGTACTCAGAAGTATGTTAAAGATGAGAATCATGTCATAAAATAATATATTAGTTTGCTTATGTTTATTCCCTTGCTTGCTCATCAAATTAAATCACAAAATCTCTACGTGATATATGCAGAAACGAGCATAGAGACAATTAATTACAAATAGAAGTATTAAAGTATAAAAATAGAATTTGTATCATATTATATTATAAAATAAAATTCATTTCTTTATTCTCCTAAACAAAAAAAGTTTGAGTCGATTGATCCTTTCATTGTCATGTTTAGATATGAATTGGTGAGACTGAGACCATCAAAAAGTAATTTGCACTATTATGAGGTGTTCGAAATTCAATTATATTTTTTGATAGAGATATAAGTCAAAGTATTTATGTTCATTATCAATTAAGGTTAAGATGGGAGTGTCTATAAAGTGGTCATTTGGTAGTTTTAATTAATAAATATTTTAATTGATTGCATAGAAATAATCCCTCATCATCGTTTATATTTATTTAATTTTAATTACCCGTTTTTATATATTATTATTAAATAATGAAAGTGACAATCGCCCTTGTATTGTTAGTCGCATTGGCATCAGCCACATCTACTAAAGATTAAATTCTTGCTCTCCTTCAAACAGGAACAAAGGCAAGCGATGCCATAGACACTGTCTTTGGTTTATTGAACGATTTGATTCAATCAAATAAGGATGCTCAATTTGCAGCAGATCAAAAGAATGAAACAGATGAATGGATTGGCGCATAGTAATTATGTTTACTAATAGTAGGACAATCGAGTAATTTACTAAAATCAAGTCTTTGAATCAAAAATTATTCCAATAATCAATTGAAAACAGAGCCCAATTTGAATAAGAACTCCAAGACACCAAGAATTATCTTGCTTGGAACGAATAAAGATAAGATGAAATAAATAGAAAGATCTAAGTTCTTCTTGACGAATAATGTCTTAGCAATCAACTCTTTGTTAGATCAATCAAACAAAACAGAGAAGCTCTTGAAGTTGTCAGAGTACTCAAACAAGATGTTGCAGGATACATTATCAATGGAGACTCCTTTGAATTAGTTTAAGTTCAAAGTGTTGCTGACAAATTGAAGCAATACAGCAACAAATTCTAAGAATAAGAGTTACAATCATTCCTCTAATTGGCCAACAAACAAGAAGACGGATCATCAAGCAGAGGAGCAACCTTGGCAGAGAGAGTCTTGGGTGTCTTGGAATCCCTTGAAGCCAACCTCTAAGCCTCACTTGAAGCTCTTGAAGTCAATGAAATCAATGCATCATGGGAGTTGGCCGGTTGGGTTTCATTGAGTGAAGCTGAAGTAGCAAACCTCAAAGTTGAATACGAAAGAAAATAAGTCTATGCTGACAGATTAGCTACTGTAATATTGTTGATTAATCATTCTCTAGTAAATCTAAGCTGCCTTAGCACAATAAGCCAAATCCAAGATCATCCTCTAAGAATCACAAGACGCTTTAGATCAAGCCTTATCAGACTTGGAAAACAAGAGAGCTGATTATGCTGAAGCCAAGGCCAAAAGAGATGAAGAGAATGCCATCCTTGCCGAAGTCATCACTATGTTCAAGAAATAAGTTGCTTCATGGTCTGGAAGATGAGATTCATCATTTTATATTCAATATAAATATGAATTCATTTATTCAATGTTTCATACAGCAGGCAGTCAAGATGTCAATATCAGGGACCTATGCTTAGAAGATCCCCACCATCTTTGAAATCAACACTCTCCTGATGATAACTTTCATATTGTTATTCGTCTGGCGAATAATTACATTGAAGACTAAAGCATTATCGAATCCACTCAAGATCTTGGGTATAGCTACTTTGAAACTAATCCACTATGTTTCATCATTGTATAGTCTCATCATGTTTTCATTTCTGATGTAAGCATTGTTCTTATAATAAGTTCATACGTGGCCGATTAATTGGCCTTTAGGAATCTTAACAAAATAAAGTTGATTCAATTTTTCTTTGTTATTCTCATCTTCTTTTGGGGAACAGATATAAATCTATTTTTACTTACCCTCGTAACTCTAATAGAAAAAATTACTAAAAAATTCATTTAATCACATTAAATATAAACAGAAGACGAGATCTCCACTATTTTATCATATGTGTTAGCTTTGGTCACAATACTCAACATATCTATCTATGAAGTATCATTATTGTAACACACTAGATGCTGCTTTCAGAAGAATTGGAGGGATTTAATATCATGGAATTTCCTCTTTTCAATTTGTTAATGATAGGCCTATTCTTGTTGGCCTTGTAGAAAATAACCTACAATATCACAGCAGAGCAACACAATAAATTTATAGGTGTCATAATGTGTCTCTTATTTTTGATTTACGAGTTGAAAGATAAAATCTTTGATCCCTTCAATCATTCAGTGATGTGGGTATGTCTCCCAATATTAGCTGCTTTAAATATCTTTGAGAACACTGAAGAAGAATTGCAATTGATCTAGACTAATAATAATAGAGTGTTTGGAGAAGATGAAATTTCATTCTAAGCATTCATAAATCATTTAAAAAATAATTCAGATTCAAAGAAATTGATGATTCAACTGTCTCTCAACTTTTCATTTATGTTCGTTGAATTAATCTATGGTTGGATCAGTAACAGTTTGGGATTGATCACAGATTCACTCCATATGCTCATCGATTCAAGTGCATTGGCCATAGCATTGTTTGCCAGTTTCATGGCCAAAAGAAAGGCTAATTCAACTTATACATTTGGTTTTGAGAGAGTAGAAATATTATCAGGATATGCTAATGGTGTGTTCCTCCTGTTTGCAGTTGTTGAAATAATTTCGGAATCCTTTGAGAGAGTCATCACTCCTTAGGAAGTGCTGCCTGAAAAAATGTTGATAGTTTCATTCTTAGGATTACTGGTTAATGTGATTGGATTATTCTTCTTTCATAATCATGGACACATTCATTCAGAAGAAGTGGATGAATAATTGGAAGAAAAACACCATCATCATTGTTCTCATCACCATGACCATAATCATAATTTGTCTGGAGTATATTTACATATTCTAGCTGATGCTTTGGGAAGTGTTGCTTGTATAATTTCTGCTTTGCTCATATATTACTATCAGTTCCATATGGCTGACCCCATAGCCTCTATCATTATCTCCTTACTCATTCTTACAACCACAATTACTTTATTAAAAGATACCAGCAAAATATTATTGATGCATGTACCTTATTCAGGAAAGAAGGTATTAGCTGCTATTTCTCATGATGTAATAATAAGTGTCATCAATTTTAGTTCAATCATAGAGGGTTTGAACCTTAAGAAATGAAATTGTGGTAATACAAGGAGAAGAAATTGATATTTACTGCGAGATTCTAAATCAAATAAGCAGATGAAGATTAAATTAAATCCGAAATAGATGGCATTGTTTCTAAACATAAAGAAGTAGTAATTAATGCAATTGATTTTGATTATGTTGACTGAATTAATTTTGTGTTAATTAGCAATTCATATAATTTATTTAAATGGAAGACTAATTTTCGGAAGATTATCACCATTCTCTTCAGTAAGGTTCAATTACCTTTATCTTTAAGCTTCAGCAAGACTCTCCGATAGATTCCAAGATAAATTCAAGCCTCAATCAATCTTTCTAGACTAACATCCAGTCCCAAACAAATACACTGATGCATCTCAACTACAACTTTGGGAATCGAATTCTGATAATCCATTAAAAGAGTCTATTCAATAGCAATCAGTAAATGGAATCAACTTAAAAAATTCATTAGTTTTGCAGGTAATCCATATATTTTTCTTTAGAATCGAACCATTACTCACATACCCACAGTCAAAAGAATTCAATAAATCATAAATAGGAACAAACTAATATTAGAAGTCAAAGCTAGACTCATGAGGATAGGTTATATTTATCCAAAAAATGAAAAAACCAATCTCATCAATTTTCTCAAAGAAACTTATTTGGGGGAATTAAATAAGGATTAAATGAGAAAATAAATTCTTTTTGAGCCAATCAAAATTAAACTTCCAACCTTCAGTCCAACCAGCAAATTTATCCTAATTTGGCAAGTTTTTAGAATTATTTAAATTATGTTTTTATTGTGGTGGGTTCCTTTCAAAATTGCATTTACTCCTCAGAGTTCTACTGATATCATTAATATAGAGCAATCTTTAATCTACTTTATGATTTTTGATTTAATAATTAAACTAAACGTCGCCATTATTGATCAAGGCTAAATTATGAAGGATCGCCTTTTCATCCTTCTCTATTATATCAAGTATGAATTGTACGAAGATATCATTTATCTAATCACTCTCATCATCATCATTAGAGAATAACCTATAGACACCTATCTCTTTAAAGAATTTATTGTATTAACTTAATTTGTGCTTAATTTTATTAAATTAAAAAAGAAAATTAAAACCTATGAAGAAACTCTCACAACTTAATCTACTCTAATTGAATTAGCAAATTTATCCTAATTAATTATTGTTATATTCTACTTTGCTCATTTTATGGCTTGCATTTGGTATTATGTTGGTATTAAAAGCATGGATCAATTTAATGAATCTTGGATTATTAAATATAAATTAATTGATGCTCCAACATCCTTTTGTTATGGATATTCATTTTATTGGGCCACTGCAACTATGGTTACAGTAGGGTATGGAGATGTCACTGGATAAAATATTTATGAAGTTCTGTGTTCTATAATCTTAATGTTCTTAGCAAGTGGAATATTTGCATTTTCAATCAATTCTATTGGCTAAATATTTAGTAACATTGACACCCAACAATAGGTATATAAAAGAACACTGTTATTAATTAACCATTACATGTAATTTAATGAAGTTTAATTATCATTGTAAAGCAGGATAAGAAATTACATTAAATACTTTTTTGAATAGGAAAATACAGGAAGTAAAAATGAAATCGATATGGTACTGAATTAACTATCAAATAATCTCAGGCAAGAGCTGTTATAAGATGTGTAATTAAGAGTTTTGAGATAAGCAGATTTCTTTAGAAAAAATTTCACTCAATCAACAGTTAGATTGATAGCGGATCATGTTAAATTTTAATAGTGCACTCCTAAAGAGTTGATTTATAAATAATAAAATAATGATGACAAGTCAATTTATATTATTTAGAAGGGAGAAATACAATTAATTGATGATAATTCTGGTAAGATTCTCAAGAGTTTTACAAAGGGACAAAGCTTTGGAGAATTAGAGTTCCTATCCCTTTAGGCCAGATTCTGTAGTGCATATAGTGTAACCTTCACTTAACTTTATAAAATATCTAGAGAAGACTTTCTTAATCTAATAAAAGATAATGCAATAGACAGCTAAAAATTTCACTAGATGAAAGATCAAATTTAATTAAAATATCAAAATGAATAGTTTAGCTGTTATGCATGCAATCAAAGCCACCTTATTTGGGATTGTAACTTTCTATTTTATAAGCCGAATATCGAAGTTTTGATTAAAAAATCATTATTCCACACGGATTAACAACGAGCCAATTTTAAACGATCTGATAAAAGATATTTGAATATTTTACATAAGAGTTTAGATAATGAAGATTCTTAAGAGCAAACATAGAAAATAGTTTCAATTCCATCCGAAACCTCTTCAGAGGATTCCTTCTAAGATAATACTAAAAATCAAGTTGATATAGAATAAGACAAGGTTAGAGATTCCATTTCAAAGCAAGGACAATAATACTAATAAAGAAATCGTTTGTCATAAATTAAGTAAGGATAAGTAATTGCAGATGATAACCTTAATAAAAGATAATCAAATCGTCTGAGCATACGGCAAATAGATGCTGATCTACCAATAACACTGAAAAGAAAGTCTTTATAGTCTATATTTCCTTTTGAAGCCAAAAATTCTGTATCAGCTTCGTAATTGGCTCCCATGAGAGAAGATATCAAAAAGGAGTAGAATTAACATTATAAAAGTTTCCATTAATTAGATGAATTGATAGATAATAAATGTTATGATGATGAGATTGATTCAGTGTTTTCATTTTAATATTACTTTCCACTTAATAATGTTGAAACTGTTTTATAAGAGTATTAAAGATTTCAAAAGCAATTAAGATAAAAAAAAATAAAAGTAACCAAAAGCAAATATATGTTCCACAAAATTACAAAAATAAACAAGCAAAAATAAAGCAAACACAAGAAAGATCAAGCATCAGTAAATTCTTTAGTAATCAGAGAAAATATGTGAATACAATCTATAATTTCTTATTTTTATTAATTATTGATTATCATCATCCTGTTTCTTATTGAAGAATTATTAAAATTTATTATGTTATTTTATAAGAAATTTACTATTAGCATTAATATATCAACTTTTGACTTCTATCAACAATGAAGTTGCTTTAGAATAATAATAGAATACAGTAACTAGTTATTTAATGGACATTAATGGATCAAAATATCATCATATTCTATTTGCTATATACTTATTAATTCTAAAACAATCATAGAAAAAATGTTTTTAAACAATTATTCCATTTTAAATTAAACTAAAAGAAAGATGAAGTAACATTTAGTAATTTCCATGCTCTAATTACGTTTTCTACACTTTTTGATAGGTTACATTAAATTCATCCTTAGAATGACTTAAATAATTAATAAAAATATAAGTATTATTTTTAAGAAAAAATCACCAATTTAACTATTCATTTGTTGATTTTTTCAACCTTTATTCTTGAAACTTCATAAAATTTGGTAGTGTTGAATTTTCTTCTTACAGCTTACAATGTATTTAGGTCTGCTGTTTATAATAACTAACATAATTCCTTAGCACAAGGTTTTAATGAAGCTTCGTTTTAGGTTCTATAATTTGGAGATCTAATTATATGATTGTTTAATACCTTATTTTATTAACTAGAAAGATGGCTGCTTCAGTTATCAAGGATGGTTTATACACTATAAATTTGTATTCAACCAAAGCAAGCTCCAATATGTATTAAGCCAAAGCCTTATTTTTTGGATCTAATTCAGAGGAGAACTTTGATAAGAATTAGTAAGCTGTTGGATTACAAATATTGAAATTCAGGGCTTACAACATTAAACCTTCCATTTCCAATACATCACTCTTAACATAAGCATTATCTGTAATGTACACAAAATCTTTTAATGCAGGAGGGTATATTTCCTCATATTTACATGCTATGAAGAGAGCTGCTACACCTACTAATTGCAAGCGTAATCTTGTCACTTATTCCTTTGCTAAATATCTATCTATTAAGGAAATGGTAAGATATAATGTTTCATCTCTTAACTTAAATTTAGCATGCACGTCAATCAGCCAATCTACAAGAATTGCTCTCATTTTGATATTTATATTGGGCTACATCTCAGAAGTCATATATTAATCAATCTGATATTTATTCTATATAAATTAGTAATTATTAAATTACCTCTTCCATTAACAAATGTTGGATTATTTCTTCTGAGTACAATGCTACTTTTTGAGGATTTTTAGTCTCTTTGGACTTTTCATTCTCAATCTCTATTTATATTCGTTCCGATTCTCTTCTAAAGATTTTATTTTCCTTCTCATCCAAGCTGATTGCAAATACTCTGGGAATAATTGAAAAGGGTTTTTTTGTTTTTTCAACAATCATCCCTGATTCCATCGACTAATAGAGTGATGAATTAACTATTTCTTTTCCAAAACACCTTTGATTTTCGATGATCATTCTGTTAATGTTAAATAAAATTATTATTATCGTTAAACTTAATATTATATAATTAAAAACATATTTATTAATTAATTCTGAAATTTGATATCAATATTTTTTCATACATTTATTTTATGGAATTTCTTATCTTTTCTTGACATTTAAGGCTAAAATTCTCGACTTAAAATTAAAATTACCATTCTTTTTTGGGTTAAAAATTTTAGATTTGATTGAGTAATTAATAAATATATGATATTTTATTAAATATGGATGGATTTAAAGGAATCTATAAGTACTTCATATTACACTGGTTTTATTTATCTCTCGATTGGAGCAATACTCAATACCTCTCCTCTTTTGGAAATGTATCATTTAATTCTTAAAATAGATACCTAAAAATTGCAGATAATGACAATTATGACCAAAATTAGTTTTACCTTATCTTAGACTCCTTAAATGTTGGCAAATATATGCTAAAGTCTTCAATATTACATTCAATCTACATTTTAATAATATTTACTTTTAACATATTCATCATCATTTTGTTTATGATTTTATATTATTTGAAGAAAAACAATGCTTAGACAAACATAGCCTTTGCTGTATATGGCCAAGTATATTCGTGATAAAATATTTATATAGATTATTGGACATTTAATATAACCCTATTTTTGGTCAATTAATGGATTTTTATTATAAATCGAAAATACCTATTGGGAATAACTCAAAAATTTAACCTTTATTGTATTAGATTTCATAGCAATTGTGTTATAACTATTATTCTTAATAATCCTAGTACTCTTTCTACATTATGATCATTCTAAAAAAAAAAACTTTTTGAAAATAAATTCGCCCTAAACGCTCATTTTTTGGATTGTAACTATATTTTTCAATAGCTGTTTAGAATTATTTATTGATTCAAACAACCAATTAAATGTAAATATCATTGTTATTAAAGGTAGCATTTCCTTTAATATAAGTCTTCTTGTATTTACTACTTTTTATTTAATTGCATTTCGACTTACCTGTTTTCTCCAATAAATAATTAAACAATTATTTCTAAATTATAGTAAGTATGCAATTTGCACTTGCTTTAAATTTATTAGTCTCATTTGTTATCAACTTTTTTGAGGATCGTTATTGCCTTTTAGTAATTTTGACATTTCTACTTATTACTTAATTAAATTCAAAACTGAGATAATATTTAATATTGAAGTCTATCAACTGTTATTGTGTTACCAGAATAATCGATTAACGAACTATGGTTTACTTAAAATAAAATTCAGAGTATCTATTATTGTTGAGGGGTATTGTTCAAATGCATTAATCCATATGTTCAAATATAAATTGCTTTTCTCGGTCAAAAACTATTTACAAAATGAGCTCAAAAGGAAATAAAAGAATACTTATTAATAGGGATGCAATTTATGAAAATATTGGTAGAATTTCTACTTTTTTCTTAAAGTGTACTTACGAAACGATGTAACTAAAAAAATAAGATTAAAGAATAAGTATCTAATTAATTGAGCTATTGTGTTATAAGTTAAAATTGTATTCAGTAAGCTTAACTTAAATAGATAAATTAAATGAAGATAATTTAAACCTATTTTAACGCATAAAAATAATTAATATTCGATTGATTATTTCTAGATTAATAAAACAAAAAAATGAATAATCATATAAGTCAAAATTACCATTTGATCTTTTACTGTAATGCGAATCATACATCAAGGAAACAGTTCAAATAATAATCAACATTTTTGGATATTAATTATAGTTCTGGAATTACTTATTAAATGAGGAAATTCGATTAATTGATGAACTATTCATTTTATAAAACATAAGTAAATTGATCACAATGTTTTAAGGATTATAGAAATAGGTTTTAAATTTGCACAATAAATAAAAGGTTCCTATTAGAAATAGGTAATGGTTTAATTACTTTTTCTTTAAATTATTTATATTAAATAAAAAATTAAAGTTGCAAGATTTAGAAATTTTACCTGATTTTTAACTTAATTTAGATTAAATACTGAAGGATGAATATTTAGACGAAAAATCTTCCGATGAGGAACCAGCTAATTACTATTAGTAAAAGTTTTTAATATCTGGAAATACATTTGTAATACAAATTAATTAATCTTGCATCGTTAAGAATTGTACTAATAATGCATTCTAAATATTAAATTACAATAAATAATCTCTAGTTAATAGTTCTGCCACAATTCTAATGCCTTAGATGTTTAAACAGTGTCATTAGTAATTTATCAATAATTTTTAATAAACTGGGCAATCCTATAATCTATATAAGAGGAGGAAGGCATTTTGTATGCATGACTCAGGTTATATAATAACTGCCTACAAATACTTGAAGTATATTTATAATTATGCTTCAAATTAAATTGAATACATAGCTATGTTTAGATAGATTCAAACAAAATAATAGTATCTATTATTAAATGATGAATGGGAAGTAGACTCATGTACTTAATTGCTTTAGGATATAATTGGAATCAAACAAATAAGTTTATTTATATTGGCTCCTAAAACTATTGTGTATTCACAGTATGAAAAGTTTTTAACAATGGAGAATAAGGAATTTTTTAGCTTAAATGCTCCAAATGTGGATAGGAGCTAATCCCAATTATTTTATGCATAGCCGTCTATGGCTAGGAGTTCATTAAGTTCAAATAGTGGATAATTATCTCTTTTATAAAAATAAGATGAATTGAAAGGAAGCTATCAGAACTTTTTAAATTTTGATGATGTTATTAATATTTAAGACAAATAAAAGTCAAGAGTTAAACAAGTGTTGTTCAATTTAAGAGTGCCAAAATAAAAGTATGAATTAGTTTAAGAATTTCAATAAAGATTATCTGAATTTTATAATTAAGCTATACACACTGAACCATTTAGAAGATAATTAATAGTGAAAGATCAGTTTGGTAAATATAAAATAGTAAAAAATGAATTTATAAGAAGATGCAAGGTTTACAAAGAGGTAATAAGGAAGGAGAAATTTAAAATAATAAGTATTTTATTATAGTAAGATTAGAGGAGCTATTTTTAAAATATACGTAATCTGAAGAGTGCATTGATAAGATATTAAGAGTAGAAGGTACATTAAAATTAGAGAAGACTTTGCATTCCATTAAATATATACTAATAAAGATTGTTAGAACAGAGCTCATTAAAGAAATGCCACAAAAATCAACTCGTGGTATTAATTTATCATTCTAAACCCCTTAATCTTATACATTGTTTTCGGTAATGTATTTAAAATATCTTAGTCGCAAACAAAAAGAACAACCGTTACACAATAAAGTCCAAGATAGTAGTATGCATTTGCTTATGGTAATTTTGGATAATAAAATTTTAAGATTAATTGGATTTGTACTCAAATAGAGAATCTACTGGAAAAGTCTTATTACCTGAGACATAAGTTAATTAAGACTTTGATTAAAATGATCAGTATAAGAATATCAATTTCATCACTTGTAATAGTGATCTTTTAAAGGAGGATACAAATAAGATAGAAAAATACAATCCATTAATAGTTCAATATGAATGTATTAGTAGATTCATATTTTTATTGCAAATTTTGATAGTATTTTTAAGCTTCTTCTTGACTTCCTTTATTTACAACTCAAGTACAATCATATAATCAGTAAATGCTATTGAATATTTAGGTAAATTTAGTGGATTATCTCTATGAATATCAAATAATAGTAGCTCAATCTTATAATACTTAAATAGATATAGAACTATTTAATAGAAACTATACTCGCTTGGATCTTACAAAAGGAGATTTGATTGGATTTGAATCAGATGAATAATTTTATGATTATCATCAAAAAGTGACATAAAAATGTGGTGATTATATGTATTTTGTTTTCTTGGAACCTAAATTTTTGAAAATGCTGTACGAGAATTTTCATAGTAGTTCAAATGAAAGTGGTTTGGATATTTAAACAATTTATCAAGCTAATTTATACCTATTAAATATGCTTGCCTCTTAATAGTTTAGAGAAGATTTTGGAATATCAGATATATTTCGTGAATACATGGTAACTCTTATATTTAAATTACATAGCTTACACAATTTTAGGAAATTTAAGCTGATTCAATGAACTATCTTTAAAATTAGGGATTAGGATTTCAAGAGATTTCCAATTCAAATTTCATATTGTTTCTCATTTTATAGGCAATCCTTTAGATAACTAATTTGTTGTATCTAATTAGATTTTAATTTTAAATATAGAGACAGTACAATGTAGAATTTATTACATTATTGAAAGGTTTTATTTAGAGTTTAGGCAGTTATACCATACTAAGAGAAGGTTGCAATCATAGAAAAGATGAACACAACAATAAACTAGTTCTATTATGTAACAAATAATGAATGTAAACTATTACTCAGCATTTTATAGATGGAGATTTAGGATAATTCATCACAATGAAAAAATAACATCATTCAAGAAAAAAATTATCAACGAAAAGGAGTATTAGTAGAAATGGTTTTGAGAAAAGTATTATAGATATAGAGAAAAAATAAGGAGAACATTTTGAAAAGAAGACATCGATAAAATTCAAGCAGCTCTCATTCTTATATAGTATGAAAGTAATGATTTTTGTATTTATTTAGAAAATTGCTGCTAAAATAATTGCAAATCTACTATTAATAGCATTGATTGGTATTGCTGGCGTTGTCACAATTTATTATACTATAAAGAATATAGAGTTATTTAATTAGAATTAATTTATGTTCAATAACTAAAATGCTTGGGTATTACCTGCCATAAAAGAAATATTTACTAGTTAAAAATATAGAGGATATACTTTTAATAATACAAATGCTTTTATCATTCTTTAAACTTATTGTAATTAAATGTCCTTAGAAAATCCAGTATTTTATGAATCAAACATTGATGAAATATTGTATTTATTTGATAATAATATGTGCAACGGAGATAGTATGTATTTAATTTATTCTCTTAAGATGAAATCATTCTTGAATAATGCGATCTTCTTATGAATGGAGCATTGACTAGAGGAATCAGATAATATGATTTTTTGCTTTCTTAGCTGGCTTAAAAGGTATTGAATCCTAATGATGAAAGATACGATAACATTACTTACTCATTCATATATGAATTTAATAAAGTATTTTCGATGTAATTTAGCTATATTATTTCGTTTTTGATCATTACGTACTCGCAAAGGACATGTGGGTTTAAGTCTCGAATGATACTCTATAATAACATGATTAAGTCAGTCTTATATTATTGTAATTATAATAAATTGACATAGAATAACTAATATTATTGGAATATGTCTTTATTTTATAATATTTAACGAATTAGGTTACGTATAGTTTATAAAGAAGGAGTATAAATTTATAAAAATGTTTTATAAATCATTCATGCCGAATGTCTCTATTAACCAATAAAAAAGATTGAGAGTAGAGCTAATCAAGGCAAGATTTATTAGAAAATGATTTAGTTACAAAGAAGATATAAATGATAATCATTATTGTTAGCATAAATTAATATATAAAATAATGATTACTTACATTGTACGCGTATATGGTAATTGTAGATAAAGTATAATTTTGATTGAAAAAAATGATTCAATCAATTATTTTATTTGATTCTAAATGAAATAAGTTTCCTATCAATTAATATTGATTATATCAAATAGTAAACAATATTAATTATTTTCATAAATATAAATTTTTATTAAAAATGAGTGAAAGCTAAGAATCATCAGAATTTCAATCAGGCTCATCGAAACTTGATAATAAGTACAATTTTCATTAATAAAAGAAGAAGTAACTAATTAGGTTTGACTAATGTTGAAAGTGGAGATGAATTAATAAAAAAGAAAACAAAATTAAATGATGAAAATGGACAAATTAAAATTTCAAGAAAGGTAAGTGACGACCTAATTAAAATATTTGAGAGATTGCCAAACGATTAAATCACAAAATTATTGGATGCTATCAAAGTCAAAAATTCACGTATCTCACAATTTATATAAATAGCTGATTTACCTGTTCGAGTTAATCTTGTTGATCTAATGCAAAAAGACGAAGATTTTGTTTTGGATAGTTAATCTGACTCTCAAAAAGAAAAAAAAAGAAAAAAAAGAGAATCCAAAGAAAAAGAATGCAGATGTTGCAAGTAAATAGTGAAGCGTCATCATTGTACACACACAGAATGCGAGAAGCCTTGCTAAATCTAAGAGAAAATGAAAAAAAACAAAACCTGAATATTGTGTTAATTTCTATACTAAATTTCCTCTTTATATTTTTCATATTTAATCACTAAAATACCTATTTGTGATAGAAATGGAAAAATACCAAACCATATCCAATAATGATAGAGTCGAAACACTAACCCAATTAAGTTAATGTATATCTTGACAACACATTGCTAAAATTTAAGCTCAATTTAGTATTCCTTAATATAAAAATAATGATATTTTTATTAATTATAAAAATAACTACTGCATGGAAGTCAGAGAGTGTCAAAGAAAATATATAAACATGTTAGATCTTTCAGAATCCAAGTTAACTAGAATGTGAATTAAGTGATTTAGTTATATTCAGATTGGACTCTTATTATGCAATTTGTTTAATTTCAACTGAGATTGGAATCTAAAGTTTGTTATATGAAAATTCGAGTGGAAATTAATATTTCATTTGCGTACTTAAAGAAAGTATTCTTATATATCCTTTGCCTTATGCTTGTGGAAGCTCCTTTATGTTATTGTAACATTAAAATAAATTTTCAAATTATTCATTAACTAAGGATGATTCATATATGTACATTTTTGGAGGGTTTGATGATTCTTAATTGGTGAATCAATTGTACAAATATAGCTTGGGAGATCTCATAAATAATCAAGTCACTTTTTCAGTTCTGCCTAATAATTTTATATAAAAATTGATTGTAAATTTAGAATTATGGGATGGGACTGCGGAGGAATTCTAATTTACATCTAACATACCTTAGTTATAAAAACTAAAGAATTTAGGATATGAATATAAAATTGGTTCTATCTTAGAAAATACATAGTGCTTGTCCTCAAATATTCCAAAATGCTTATAACAAAGCGTTATTGTCTATGTGGAAGAATGCAATTGCATCAAATTATTTTATGGAAGAGATGCTAACAACGCAAATCAATACGAGTCGTGGAATTACTATTTAGACTAATAGGTTTGGTAGGAAACAACTGTAGATTCAATGATAAAAATTGGAAGTTCTCCAATTGGGCAATATTTACCAGAAATAAATATGGTAGGATTTTTTGCAGAGAATTCATATTTCTTTTATTATGACTCAGAATGGTATAACAATTATGATTAATTAAACTTTGGATCTACATTTAAACAGATGATTGTTTACGATAACAAGACCTTTCTATTAAATAGTTCGAGTATCCTATATAGCTAAAATGATCAATAAAATGCTAAGAGTTAATAATATGGGATTTATGTTTGTTAAGATAATTATCGTGGGTATAACTGTTAGATTTCAGATTATCAGTGTCCAGGTAGCATATGTTTTAATGATTTATTGTTTGAGAGAATATGTGTCGATTGTTAAGGTCATGGTACTTGTTAATATGGAAATTGTAAATGTGATACTGGATATAGTGGTAATGATTGTAGCTAATATGAAAAATGTTTGAATGACTGTTCAAATCAAGGAACTTGCATTTAATATTTTCCAACACCTCAATGTAGATGTAAATAGGAGGATAAAAGGGGAGGGGAAGATTGCTCAACAATATTCTGTCTAAATGATTGCTCTAATAATGGAGAATGCAAAGATGGAGTTTGTGAATGTATTACTGGAGTCAAAGGAGATGATTGCAGCATATTAAATCTAAAATTTATTGATGAATGATTCTAAAAATTAATAAATTTTATTGCAACTTATTGAGTATATATCGATTATTATTGATAATTAAATTATAAAATCATATCATTGGATAAATTCTACATCTGAGAATTCAGAAGAATTGTCCAATTTGTTGCTAACTTATTGCTCTGAAATTTAATACTAAAGCAGAAATTTAGGGCATTAAGTTTAAACTAATTTTATAGGGATGGGTTTGCGTTTCTATTAATTAATATTTAATTATTTAATGCTAGGATTATTTATTGATGGAATGTAATCTTAGATTAAATTTTTGAGTATATCGTATTGAATAAACTCAAATTTATCGTAATAAGATTGTAGCAAGTCAATTATATCAAAAAATGAGTACAATTTGTCCTAGATATCCAATTTGAAGTAATATTTGAGATAATAAATATTAATCTACATCTGACTAAGTGATGATTCCTTCAGATCTATTAAATTGGAGGATCTTTTTTATGTAAATATTTGATATTCCAGAAATTAAGGATAACCATGATTGTCAATATAAATTACATAAGGTAATACTACATTAAACAGATTTCCCAAATAGTAGATTAATTTATATACTTTAATTATTGAAGTAATAAAATTTTCATAGTATTGGGCATTATCATGAAAGTATTCTTTCCATTAGGCTGTACTTTTTTTTAGAGATAAGCATATCTCACCTTTTTTTGTGTTAATTTTCTAAGTTGACAATCTCAACTACTCAAAATCTATAGTTAAAAAACTAGTGCTTAATAGTAGATCGTCTCGTGTTGAAGTGAGTTCATAAATAGTGTCATATACAATTTCTTAAATTTCCTCATTGATTTTATACTGATTATAAATCATATGATTATCAAAGAGAAAGGGCAATTGAGCAAAAATTATGTACTATCTATATTTTAACTATTTCTCCTTGTCTTAGATCTAATTTCTCTTTTTTATCAAACTCTGCTTCAAGCTGTAATATTTCTCTTAAATGGATTTGGAAAACGATTATAATTTATCAATCAATTTCTTATGATCGTCCAATTCTTCTTATTGTTTAGCCAATGTACGCTTCCTAATATAAATGGTATGCTGCAATTTTTAATATTTTTCATTTTATAGACTGACCTTAAGAGCATTTAAACTTTCTTCTACACCAGCATCCCATTTTTATTTGTTTACTATAAAGTACTCTTCAAATTAGTTCTATAATTATTCTTTCTTTTTTAATAATTCAATCTTTCTCTATTAAATATCGGTTATGCTTTTTTCGAAACTTTTAGTATGGCAATCTTTGCAACGAATAATTGGTCCTTTACCATCGGGAGTACTAAGAATTCTTTTGCATTCTGGTTGTTAACATATTTTAGATTAGCGCATAAAAATTTATATATTAATTATAAATTAAGGGTTTTGAGGAGTGTTAAATTTCTTCGTCTTAAAAGTTATTCCTAGAATTAAAAAATACATTAAATTCCTATTTCGAGTCTATAATAATAATATAATTCGAAATGAAAAATTAATTAAATCAGAAGAGATAATTTGAATAAATGAAAAATATTTAAATATGCAAGGCTTATAAAGCTAATTATCTACGTGAACAAATGCATCAGATGTATTGATCTTTCAATTAAGTCACGAAGAAAAAGTTATCGAGGGAATCGAACTCAAGTTACTTTTCAACAGCCTCATTGGATGTGCTTAGGAATTTACCTAAGATAAGGGGGTTGTCTTAAGTCACATTCCATTTTAATCCTTTTGTATTGATTCTGGCCTAAGTTCCTTATGGAAATAAGCTAATTCCTTTTTCTTGTTCAATTTCAGAGAATTTAAAAGTATGAAAACCTTCCTTAAAATATCGAACAATTGAGTAATCACTTATTATTTGACCAGTGAAGTTAATTTTAGCCAAGGTGTGCAAGGAATTTATTGTTTAATCAAATCTCTCTTGTAAACCACCTATAATGATGACATGTTGAAATCCATCTAATTATTATAGATAAGATATTGCTTTCTCAAAATCTGATGTATCCTAATCATCGACTTTAATAATAGAGCAGTTGTGAGATTGATAATATTGTTGGATTTCAGGTTTAAGACTGTCAAGGTCACCTATGATGCATTTAGGAATAATTTCTTTTTTGTATTCATAAAGTCTGTTAGCACCACCATCTGCACAAATAAGGAAAACATTTTGGTTGTAATAAAAATCGAAGACCTTATGATTGATTTTAGTATTAAGAATCACAATTGCAATATTTTACATAAATAATTTTATTATGGTTAATAATTATGATGAGTTTTGTGAATAATAAAAAAAGAGGTGTGTTTGGTGTGAGAATTAAAAATAGGTGATCAGAGTGGCGAATGTATTTCAATCAAGATTTTTCTGTAATATAAATTCAATCATCATTAAAAAGACATGTAAATTTATAAATATATATATATTTGAATGTTAATTTAATATTTAATGGGATGAGTACATTAATCACATATTAAAATCTTTTTATTTAAAATAAAAAAGTAATGGTCAGCAGATTGAGGAAATGCCGTAAAATGAGAGGACATGTGTGCCACGGATATGGTAGAGTTGGTAAACACAGAAAACATCCAAGTGGTAGAGGTGTTTCAGGAGGTTTAACACATCATCGCATCAATTTCAACAAATACCATCCAGGATATTTCCAAAAAGTACTCATCATTCTCTATACCTTAGACTGGCATGAGACATTTCCATTTAAAGAAGAATACTCTTCATAAACCTGTTGTAAATATTGACAAATTGTGGTCACTTGTCACTGATGATACCAGAAAAAAATATGCTAGTTCAAAAGATAAAGCTGCAGTGATTGATGTTACAAAGGCTGGCTATTTCAAAGTCCTTGGAAAGGGTAGACTCCCCAATTAACCTGTCGTTGTCAAAGCCAAATTCTTTAGCAAAACCGCAGAAAGAAGAATCAAAGCCGTTGGTGGTGCATGCATACTCGTAGCCTGATACATTACATATTACAATATCAAATAGACAATATTCATTCAATCTTTTTGAACTACAAAGCACAATTAACTGCTAATTCCCATTATTTGTATTGCTTCTCATAGGACCTTTTGCCTTCATAAATCTATTAGACCTTCATATTCTAAATGATCTACTACTCTGTCAATAGTTTCAACCCCACTGCAGCAAACATGGCAGCTCCTGAAGCAGTAGATTCAATTATCTCCGGATAGACCAATTTCTTTTGTGTGATATCAGCTTGCAATTACATCAATTCCTTATTCTTAGTTAACCCTCCATCAACATGAATCTTGTTAATCTTAATGCCTGATTATTCCATGGCCTTTATAACATCCTTTGTCCTATAGCAAACTGATTCTAAAATGGCTCTCCTCAGATGATCCTTTGTGGTGTAATAACTTAAACCAATTATAGTTCCTGTTGCATCGAAATTCCAAAAGGGAGTGAATAACCCACTGAAAGCTGGTACTATATATACACCTCCATTATCTTCTGTATTCACTGTACTTTAACTCAATTATTCCCAATTATCAAACCATTACAATTTGTCCTTTGCCCAGTTGAACAGTTAACCTCCACTTTCAACAGCTCCTTCAAAAGCATAAATTGGCTTCTCATTCTCTTTCTAATATAAAACAGTAGTTAATAAACCAAATTCTGAGATTTTAATTTCTTATCCAATATTTGCCATAATAAAAAGACCACTTCCTTGTGTATTTTTGCAATCTCCTTCATGAAACAATGCATGACCTATGGCTGCTGCTTACTAATCACCCAAAACACAATTGATAGGTACACCTTCATACTCTTGGATTTTCAATGTACCAAAATTACTATTTGATGCTTTAATTTGAGGCAAACAATTTTTGGGAATGTTGAATTGACTTATATATTACAAACTAATACTTTAATAATTGCTCATCCCATTAAAGAGTATGCAAATTCATTAAATTAGTTCTCGATGCATTTGTTACATCTGTCAAATGATTTTATTCCCTTGTCAAATTCCATACTAACCAACAGTCTATTGTTCCAAACAATACATTTCCTGAATTGAGATCATCCTTAAGAGTTGGATTGTTTTGAATCATCCATTGTAATTTATATGAACTGAAATATGTATTAATAGGTAATCCAGTTTTTTATTAAAAATAGTTCTTTGGATATTTATTTAAGTATTCTTAACAAATATCATGTGTTCTTGTATCACTCCAAACAATTGCATTCATATAAGGTATTGCCGTATTTTTATTCCATGCAACAACAGTTTCCCTTTGATTTGTTACTCCTATAGTCACTAACTTATGCTCTCCATTCATCTTCTTATGTGCTTGCTTAATGCACTCAATGGTATTATTTAATATCTCCATTGGATCATGTTCTAGCCATCCTTGGTGAGGAGTGATTTGTTTGTGAGTGACATAATGGTAACTAAGTTATTCACCATTCAAATTGCAAACAGTGAATCTAGTCCCAGTTGTTGAAGAATCAATAGATCCAATTACAGATTACATAATTAATTTATTTAATACGCAATTTATTGTTCATAACTATATAGTGACATTATAATATTAATTAATATTCAATGCAATAAATCAATTTGATTATTATTAATTCTAAGTGCTTTTATCGAACTCTTTTGATTACTATTAGCTAATCGATTGTTGTTGAGATATTTTACGATTTTACTTTGAAGAAATAGAGTGGTTGTCTGAAGATAAAACTTCACTTTAATTCATTCTACGTTTCTTTTTTGTCTAGGAGGACTTGCTTTTATTATCACAATAGTTGAGAATAGATTATAGATCTTATTTACTATTCTTTATTGTTTTGGATTGATACAATCGGTCTACTTATTGTTGTTGTTCATTAAAGGATGGCTTACATAAGGAGGGTAGCGAAAATTGATACTCTTTCATTAAAGATTCTCGAAATGATGAATTACTATTCAGGTAATTGCTTAGCTGTCCACTGACTTTCAATTACAACATTGTTGGCAATTAGGCATACGGACTATTCTATGATTCTTTAGGCAATTTCTGCAAACTCTAGGATTTAGAATTTTAGGGTCGCAATCCTGAGATGCTATTATACTCTTTGATGCTTAAATTTAATGCAGTCATAAGATCATTTTTTAAACTATTGCCATGTACTTGAGAATCCTTCAATTTACTTGAATTAAATTAGTAAAATAAATTACTTAAGCAATCTCTACTCTTCAGTGCCCATCTATTCACACAGTGCTTGTTACTCTTGCAATCGTTTAGCAATTTAATCTTTAAATAAATTTTATTCCTATCTAATTTTCTCTATTCTTTCTGCTTTCTTTTATTCCAAATCCTATTTCATATTGAACTCCCATTCTGAGATCTACCTCATAAAAGAAGACAAGATACTCTAGCATATTATTGTTGTTTCTCAAGAAGTTCTTCCTCTCTTTTCTTTTTGTTTTAATACATCTACAATGCCAATTGTTATTTCACCAATGCAGTTTTCAAGCATTTCTCATCAAGCATGTCTTGTTTCATCTTCTTAGTTTCCTCCTGTTATTATTATTTATTTTTTTTGATGAAATTATGTATTCCATTATCATTGAGATTGTTTGCTTCCATGATTTTGCTAAGCTATTTAATTGCCATCAATGCATACTTCCATTTGATCTTCAAACTTCTATTTCTTTGCATACACAATCTTGTCTACTTTTGCCTAAACAATATTGTTGTTGGCTTCCTATAAATTAAGTTATTGTTTCAATTAGATCAACCGATTTTCCAGAGCAGCAAGTTCTTAATTTTTTTGGTTCAGACTTTTAATCTATTAAGTAACAGTTTCCATGTGTGGATTTACTATAAGGAATAATATAATAATAATAATTAATCAAGGATTTTACTTATATAATACATTCAATTAAGGATAAAAGTTAAACAGACTCAATTAAAAGAGAATAGTTAAATTCTAAGCCTCTATAAACAAGGGTTTCATTTGATTTTTATTTATAATTAATATTAATTTAGAAAATTATATGGATTAAAAATATTAAAAAGCATTACAACTTGAAGGTTATTTGGAAAAATAAAGTCCTGCTCTTCTAAAGGGATTTCAAAAAAGACATTTTGCAGTCAGAGATAATGGTAAATATTTAGTTTATTCAAAAAAAAAAAAATTGAGCAAAGATGTTAAACCGAAAGGTACATTTTTTAAGAAGTTTATTAAGGTGTCATCCCTATTGATTAAATTACGTCGATTGGCATTATCAAGGGTACTGAAAGGGATTTTGCACTTCAAATAAAAGACAGGCAAATGTTGCTGAGAGCAGATTCAAGCAGCACAAGAGAGTTATGGACATCAACTCTTGCATATCTTTAAGAAAAACTATTGGTGTAGCAAGCCCAGGAATCTAAATCTAATTCGCATCAGAGTTTCCACTCTAAAGGATCTGAAAGCATTAAATTGGCTCACAAGGCAACTTGGAAGGAATTAGATTCTGAAACTAAAGCCTCTATTATGATGGACCAGGAAAAGTAAGAAGTTCAGGATAAGTTTTAAGAAAATGAGGTTAAAAATGAAGAAGTTATGAAAGCAAAGGGGTTATATGCATATCTGGATAAGTTTGACTCAAAAAAATTTGCTTAGTTTGTAAAATGCGGATTTTTGTATAAAAAGGGAAAAATTGCATCACTCACTAAAGCTAAGAGGAGATGGTTCATTATCATCTCCTCTGTCTCTCTTCTAGGAGATGATGCTAATATCTAAGGGCCTGTTTAATCAGATATCCCATATCCCTTTAAATTAGATCATCTATACTATTTTGCTTATGAGTTTAGAAATGATCAAAGCAGTTCTAAAGGAGAATTAAAGGCTAATCAAATTGAAGATTTTGAGTTGTTGAATGTTGACAGGAACTTAGCCTTTTTGAAGTAATTAACACATAGCGTGAGTTATGGTTTTAAATTTAAACATAAGGAACGTCAATATCATTTTTTTTCAGATTCAATAACAGAAATTTAGTCTTGGGTTACCACTATTAGAACAATAAAGGATTATAAAGCTACACTCCCGGTTGAGTAGATTGAAAATGAGGAATAAGACTTAGGAATTAAATTAGAGGATGTTTTATTACAAGAATAAATGTAAGTGAAAATTAGCAGAAGAATTCGAAAGGATAAATGGTTTAAAAGAATGGTTTATTTGAAGAAAGATTCATTAATTTGGGCAAAATAGGAATCAGGTGACTCTGAAAATTATATATTGATCATATCTATAAAAAATGTTATAGGATAGGACAATGATTTCCATGTAAAACAATAATAATATATTAGGTATACACTAAAGATGAAAAAACATTCAAATTTAGAACAAATTCACAAGAAATAAGAGATGAATGGATTAAGAAGATTGAGTTTTTACAATTGAATTTAAAGGGGGAATTTAAGGATTTGGAGAAAGTGACTGAATTGCCACCAGAAAATGTTCATAAATCTTAATCTATTGAATAGAAGAAGAGCCATTCTATTGAAAAATAAAAAGTTTAGCCTGAAGAAATTGAAGAAAAAACTAATAATAGTTAAGATATTGCTAGTTTTTATGACAACTTTTTCCAATAGAAGAAAGAGTAAGATTAATAAAATAAAGTAAATAAAAAGTCTCAATCTAGTGGAAAATCAATATTTCATCAGATTTTCTGTTGTTACTCTCAAGACTATGAAACTGATAGAGGGTTTTGAATAATAATTTATCAAAGATTTACATATAAAATTATAATTTATGAAATCCAATGACAAACATTGATTTTAGATGGAATCATTTATTTTAATTCAGAAATCAAACTATGCTAATAAACGAGACATACTTTATGACTATAAGTTGTAGGATACCCTTAAGAAAGAGAAACCCATTGAAAGAAAGAATTCAAATTTAATTTCAAGATCAACTTTGAAAATCTGTCAATCTCAACTAATACGCTTAGAGCTTTGAAGAAGAGAAAGTTTATTAAATTGACTGAGATATCCTTAATACCTTTAGTAGATAATCTCTATCTAAATACAAGACACCTTTAGAGGGTTTATTAATTTTACCTGCAAGTTAATCATCTATGCAAGTCTTCAAGGTTTTTAAGTCACTTAAATACTTATCATATTTTATCAATCTGATTGGTGAAAAGCAATATCAATATGAAAGAGATAGAATGATTGGAATGAATTTTATATGTACACCTGGAAGACTCTTCAAGCATTTTTAAGAGTTCCTGGATTTGATGAAAATAATGTAAAAGTCTAAGCTATGATGAATCTGATAGAATTAGGTTTTTGGACACCTTTAAAGCCAANTAAAGGATTATAAAGCTACACTCCCGGTTGAGTAGATTGAAAATGAGGAATAAGACTTAGGAATTAAATTAGAGGATGTTTTATTACAAGAATAAATGTAAGTGAAAATTAGCAGAAGAATTCGAAAGGATAAATGGTTTAAAAGAATGGTTTATTTGAAGAAAGATTCATTAATTTGGGCAAAATAGGAATCAGGTGACTCTGAAAATTATATATTGATCATATCTATAAAAAATGTTATAGGATAGGACAATGATTTCCATGTAAAACAATAATAATATATTAGGTATACACTAAAGATGAAAAAACATTCAAATTTAGAACAAATTCACAAGAAATAAGAGATGAATGGATTAAGAAGATTGAGTTTTTACAATTGAATTTAAAGGGGGAATTTAAGGATTTGGAGAAAGTGACTGAATTGCCACCAGAAAATGTTCATAAATCTTAATCTATTGAATAGAAGAAGAGCCATTCTATTGAAAAATAAAAAGTTTAGCCTGAAGAAATTGAAGAAAAAACTAATAATAGTTAAGATATTGCTAGTTTTTATGACAACTTTTTCCAATAGAAGAAAGAGTAAGATTAATAAAATAAAGTAAATAAAAAGTCTCAATCTAGTGGAAAATCAATATTTCATCAGATTTTCTGTTGTTACTCTCAAGACTATGAAACTGATAGAGGGTTTTGAATAATAATTTATCAAAGATTTACATATAAAATTATAATTTATGAAATCCAATGACAAACATTGATTTTAGATGGAATCATTTATTTTAATTCAGAAATCAAACTATGCTAATAAACGAGACATACTTTATGACTATAAGTTGTAGGATACCCTTAAGAAAGAGAAACCCATTGAAAGAAAGAATTCAAATTTAATTTCAAGATCAACTTTGAAAATCTGTCAATCTCAACTAATACGCTTAGAGCTTTGAAGAAGAGAAAGTTTATTAAATTGACTGAGATATCCTTAATACCTTTAGTAGATAATCTCTATCTAAATACAAGACACCTTTAGAGGGTTTATTAATTTTACCTGCAAGTTAATCATCTATGCAAGTCTTCAAGGTTTTTAAGTCACTTAAATACTTATCATATTTTATCAATCTGATTGGTGAAAAGCAATATCAATATGAAAGAGATAGAATGATTGGAATGAATTTTATATGTACACCTGGAAGACTCTTCAAGCATTTTTAAGAGTTCCTGGATTTGATGAAAATAATGTAAAAGTCTAAGCTATGATGAATCTGATAGAATTAGGTTTTTGGACACCTTTAAAGCCAATTATGATTACCAAAGAGAAATAGGCTATATTTAATTATTTAAAATTTCTCTTAAATGCAGAGAGTATATTTTTTATGAGAAATTGTTAAAAAAAAGGATATCGTTAAATGGAAAATATGATGGAAATTCATATGGATTTTTATTATGATTATTAACCAAAAAAACAACTAAAATTTATCATTAATATAAGTGGTGATTTAAAAGACAATAAATTATATGACATTATTGAAGATGTAAAGGAGGAAAGAAATTTACTTATTCTAATTAAATATAGGTTGCCATTAATTAACAACATAAATTTGTTTATGAAAAAAGTTGTTTCACAAGATGATAAATTATATGAGAATGATTAATTTAAATATTGATCAAGTCGGAATCCAAGATTATTATTTGATCCAAACAATTTATTTAAAAAAATTATCATAAATAAATAAGAATATTGATATTTAGTTGCTATTAATCAAGTCTAATTGCTAATTTAATAACTGATTTATTGCTATTGATTCGTAAACCAAAAAGTTATAATAAGAAATGCTATTAAAAATTATGATTAATATATTTAGCCTAAACTGTATACAAATGAAATAATATTAATAAAAAATTCCTCTGATAAGCTGCTTATTGTATACTACATACGGTTGAACTAAATAAAATTTGCAATCTATTTTACAAATCATATGAGTGAGAAATTTACAAAATCTGTTTTTTCTGAAAAATTTGAATTTCGAATTAATGAGGTGGATATCATATAAAAATATTGAATTCTAAATTAACAATTAAATAGGCTTGTAATTAAATAAGAGGATGAACCCGATTAAGAAATTACATCTGATAAGTCTAAATTATAAAATTGAAAGAGAAATTTAAATAAAAAAAGTAAAGAACATTCTACCAAAATAAGCTAATAAAAGAGAAACAACTAAAAAATTTCAAAGGAGGGTAAGTTTGATGAATTCGAAAAATAAATGCTAATATATTTGAAGGGATTTTTTGGAGAGAAAACCTCAATAAGAAATTGAAGAAGGAGTTGAACAACTAAAGTGTGTTACTTCCAAAAGAAAAATGAAAAAAGGGATGACAGATGGAATATTTTGGGGAAGGAATAAATTATTCTTTGACAATGATGTTATTTTCCTTGATTTATCATTTTTGGTTATGAAATAATAGCAGAAGAAATGAGGATAATAAATCTTATAAGGATAGAAAGAAGTGCTGATGATAAATAAGCAAAAGAAAAGAACAGAATTTAAATAAAACAAGATTTAATAATCTATATATCTCATTTAAACAAAAACTAATATTCTATTTGATGGGATTCCTCCATTTTGCCATAAAATTCCCCCCATATTTTAGTTTAAAATTCTTTTAATCGTATCAGTTCAGATTATTCTCTCATAGATAAACCACAAAGTGAATATATTTTGATACAATAACTCCCACTTATTAAACAGAATCATAAAACTCTAATCTAAGACGATATCTGACGATTAAATCTCGATTCATAATGTAAGATAACAGAATTGTCCACTAAATATATCTGATAGGAATATTATCATGATTTTTTTAATTGGAAACAAAAATAGTTGATTAGTAGAGTAAAACTGTTATAATTTGGGGGTGAATGTTAAAAATTTAAATTTTTGCTTTTAATTGTAATTTATATATATATGAATATATTGTTAATCGTATATCAATATTAAATTTGAAATGAAAATTTTTGAATAGAGTTTTGGAAAATAAGAAGGTTTTCAAAAGACCGCTTAATTCTTTAATCCATCAATTGGCAAAATGAATGAGCACGTTTAAAAAAGAAGGAGGGAAAACTCATTACCCCAATAGAACCTTGAAGCTATAAAATCAATATTGTCTAAAACAAAAATACTTCAAAAAAATGTGCTTTGTAGAAAAACTACCATACATTAAATGAATGATTGCAAACAAGAGAATATCCTTAGTCATCAAAGCACGAAATAAAGTACTAAACAAAGTACTCGATTAAGCACATAAGATTCCTAAGATCTTAGTAGTAATATTCCTAAGATTGTGGATTTGAATATAAAGCATCCGATCAATTCTTTTAGTGTTTATAACTAAAAGTCTAGTTTCCACATTAGAAAGCAGACACTCAAAGAATATAGCAGCTAAACAACTCAGTAGATAGAGAATAATTCTATGATAAGCAAAATTTCCAAGAGTTTGGAAGGCAAAAAATATCTAATAAAGGTGAAGAATCCTTATGGAGAATCAAAAGAATAACAAACACAGCCAACAAGAAAATATTCTTCTAAATCGTTCATAAACCAAAAGGCTCAAATTAAATTGGTAAATAGAATATTTTCTTCAAGATCAGAGAGTTTATAAGAATGAAAAAAATGATTATATATGTTTGAATTATCTTTTTAAAATTTTCAGTGTAAATTTATGTAGATTTGAAATAATTAGGTGAATTAAAATTCTTAGAGCAATTTTGAGTATTGTCTTTATCAAAAAGGACTTAAGTTGATGAGTATGAACGATTTAAAAATCTCAGGAAGAAATAGATTTCCTTTATTAAAATTTATTATTATTTTGTTTAAAATTAAATCGTTAAATTGTATGTACCAAAGTGCATCAAAAAGTGCCAAAAAATAAACTCTTGTTATTGGAAAAGTATTTTAAATATCTATATCAAATAGCCTAGCAATTCCAACTTATCTAGAAGGGTTCAAACCGAGACAAATGATTATGATGAAGTAGAATAAGATATTCAGACATTCTAAGATATATCCAATTTCAAGCATCGCAATAAATTTATATCTTTTAATAAACCAGCCAAAAAACCTACCATGAAAGATTTTAATGCTTAATATCAATAATGTTTAAAGAATGAGAATCAAATGAGACCAATATCTGAAGCTGTTAAAAAATGTTAGAAACCATAAGGATTAGATAAGATCAATACCAAATCGTTGTTGATCCCAGCCAAGATAACTAGACAAGATTATTCCTCCTATACCTACTAAAATCTTAAGGCCATTGGTAGTGGATCGTTTGGTACAGTCTATAAAGTATATAACCAAATAAAGATTTTAGTCAAAAGTAATAGAGACAGGAGAAATAGTGGCCATCAAGAAAGTGTTGCAGGATAAACGATACAAAAATAGAGAGTTATAAATACTTCAAGAACTAAATCATCATAACGTAGTGAAACTAAAACATGCTTATTTCACTCCTTCGGACAATAACGATGAGACCTACTTGAATGTTGTAATGGATTATTTTCCAGAATCTTTATACTCTTACAATAAATCATTTAGAGAGGCACATGCCAGAATGCCTGAAATATTGGTGAAAATCTATTCATACTAACTGCTAAGATCAATATAGTAAGAGATCATAGAATAATTAGTTATATATCATTATTATCCATTTGCCATAGAGATATAAAGCCTCATAATATTTTAGTTAATCCTAATCATCATAAACTTCAACTTTGCGATTTCGGGAGTGCAAAAAAACTAGTAAAAACAGAAGCTAATATCTCCTACATATGTTCAAGATGTTATAGGGCTCCAGAATTGATATTTGGAGCAGTGAATTATGATACGTAGATCGACGTTTGGTCAGTAGGATGTGTGATAGCTGAATTATTCAATGGAGAACCTCTGTTTTTAGGAGATAGTGCTGTCGATTAGTTAATTGAGATCATAAAGGTACTTGGAACTCCAAACAAGGTTCAAGTATTAAGTATGAATTCAGAATATGACATGCAATAATATAAATTCCCTTAAATTAAAGCGAGGGATTGGAAGAGAGTATTCAATTTTAATATGTAGGTGATAAAAACAAACGATTCTTTGGCTACTGATCTAGTTTCTAAATTGCTTGTGTACTGTCCCAAAACAAGATTCACTCCAATTCAGGCTTTGGGTCATCCCTATTTTGATTAATTACGAGATTTACATCAAATGAAACAACTACAAGAAATCTACAACTTCAACATTTAAGAATTGTTCGAGTTTAGTAATCGTAAGATATTCCTAATAAACTTTATTAGTTGAAACTAATAAAATGACAAATGATGAAATTAAGAAGTTAATTCCTGATTGGATCAGCAGTAGTTCTTCTAAAATCGTAAAGACAATAGGTTGATATATGATAATTATTAATATTAAATTGCTTTGAATAACATAATTTGAAATAAATTAATTAAGTCATTTATTCCAAGACATTTTTAGATTCAGATATGCTATATTAATGGTTAACCCATCTTAGCCAACTATTAATTATCCCAATTATCAATATAGACTTCTTCTTCATCTGGTTTTTCTTCAAAATATTAGTATTCCTATTGTTATTACTTCATAATATAATTTAGTTCTTTTTTATAAACATTTTCACCAACCAATTCCAAATATTCATTTGCATCTACATATTTCTTTTTTGAGTTATGTTTTATTTTTTCATCAAATTATTTTTCTAATTTCTTGCTATACAAATTCTGACTTTATGCTAAATTTTTATATATTCATACCATTTGGTATCACTTTTTCAATCTATTAATAAGGGTTATCAATAACTTTTGTATTGAAATTGCTCTGTATATCTGACAATACGAAATTTTATTGCTAATTTAAATGTTCAGCCTTGTAATCTTTAACATATCTATTTATCAGTCTATTGGTCATGGTGATGCTTTTAGGTCTTTATGTGGTTAATAACGAAAATGGAGGTCTATCATCCTTACAATCATACCATCTTAGTCTAAGATACCACAATCTATCGTTATGTTTCTCATCCTCATTCTTCTAAGATTCGATGATATTTAATTTGATATTTCTATCTCTGTAATTATCCGATCTAACCAATATAGTTTCAGTAGGAGATCTCTCACAATTTGATGCAATTTAATTATTAACTTACTCCCACTTCTCTTTTGTCTAATCAAACGATTCCAGGATTCTTTTATCTCTTGTGATTGCATTCCTGAGATGAAGAGGAAGTTTAAGTTCTTATTTGCTTTTATCCATTTTATCAGTTTCAATTCTGCGTTTGGCTTCAACTAACTTTATTAGAGCATCTTATCTTGGTAACATTTTAAATTCACCTCTGGGTTTCTTGGGAGTTTTCCTTGACTAACCCATACCCGAAATTTATGATTGAGATTATTATAAGAGTAAAGGTTTTATAGAAGGGACATCATCAGAAAATGAATCATCTCCTTCTTGCCTTCTTTATTTAATCACAACTCTCTATTTATTCTTATTTCTGACAGCCAAAAATTGTTCAGCCTTACCAACAATCGACCACTTTACTACCTTCTCCTTTTTGTCATCCTCAAATCTGGGTCCAATTTAGTTGTCCTTATATTTCTTCCTCTCTTCATTTTTAACCTCTATGTAACGATGATCATATTACCATCGAAGATATTTCTAATTGTATGCAATGAATTAGGTTTCATAAATATAGATTTGCTTGTACCCAATTAGCTTTTACTTTCGAATTAAAAATCGCTACCTGTAGCAGCTGTGGTGGTTGCTGGACGTAGACTGTCCTCATAAGACTTATACCCTAAGTCAACTTTTTAAGATAAAAATAACTTGCTCTTTGTGCTCATTTTATATATAAATTAATTAAGATGTGGTAATTGATGAATATTTTGTTATAAAATTCATTTTTTGTTTGAAACAAATCTCCCTTTCTCTCTCTATCTAGTTTTTGCCTTTTTTGCTCTATAATCATAATGGTTCTTTTTAGAAAACTATCTAGTATTTTTTTTTTGTCTATATTTTTAAATTTTTTTCTGTCTCTCTTGATAAGTTAAGGGTCCAATCTACCCCTAAGTTGAGAATTTAAACTAATTGAAGTATTCAATCATCTCCTTTGTCAACCCTTCCTTAATAGGAAGCAATTGTTTTATATCAATAAATTGAGCCAAAAATGCATCTGCCTTTTAAATGTTTGCCATAGAGAAAGGATCACTAGTATTGCTATCGTTCATAATTATTTATCTGAATTAAATTACAAAATGTAATTTATAATTATTAAAGGTTTAGAGTATTGCATTTTAAAATATTTCTTATTATGTATTAGTGTTAGTATTAGTATTACAAATAACCTTAATATTTCTGGATTGCTGAGAGAACTTTGATCAAAAATAGATGGTAATGTCAACCTTATAAAATACTTAACAATTAAGTGATAGATTATGAAGTAAACGCAATCAAATTAAATAATAAATTGGTTACATCATCTTACATTATTAGGAAGGCTCCCCATATTTTGTATTGAATAGAATGAAATAATCATTAAGCATCTGATATTTTAAGAATTAGTTCTTGCTCCAACCTGGATTATTATAAATTGCCAAATCTAGAATTTATTTTTCTATAAAGAAAAAATTAAAAATTTCTAATATTGAAAAAATAAAGTAATGTAATGTATTATAACATCTATATTTCTTTCTTGAAAATATATCAAATTCAAACTTCGTATAATAAGACTTTCATTCCAACTTGAGTAATAATTACTCAAAAAAGACAAATAATATTTCCATTTAATAGTCAGAAAACCTTAGTGAAAAATGCTCATATGAGATAAACGTAGGGGATATGCTAAGAGGGGTCATATGAGATTATGCAATCTTAGTTAAGAGATAGTAATTTCTGTGCCAAAATTATACCCTAACCAGATTTATAAAATTAATAATAATATCACACTTTTCTTATGGCAAATAAAGTTGGGGCCACTTAGGTTTATGAAACATAACCCATGAAACTCTACGATGAGAATGTTGAAAATAATGGAGTGATTGCTCCTTATAATCTATGTCCAAAAGGAGTGTACATTTTGAATATGTGCACCACAATTGCTAACTCATTTTTATTGTCAAGTATCAATATATCTGTATGTCTCTCAAAAGCATCGGGATAAGTGTATTCTTGGGGAAACAACTGCGAAGAATTGGGTAGGACGTGTGCTACTTAAGCAGAGGCTTCAAGACCTGGCATTGTTTCTTTTCAAACAAAAATTATGTAAATTTGTTCTGGGAATAATCATATCCTGGCATTAGATGTAAATGGGGTTGTCTATAGTTGGGGGAGAAATGAGGCAGGATAACTTGGGTAGAATGACTTAGATCCTGTTTCTTTGCCAAAGGAGGTTGAATTTTTCAAGAAGTCTCCTGTTGTGCAGATTTATGCAGGGGGGGATTCCTCATATGCCATAACAAAAAAAGGGAGTCTTTTTGCTTGGGGTGATAATTCAAATAATTAACTCGGTTTGGGAGATGGAGATCATTCTTCGCCATAATAGGTGATTTAGACACCTTGGGACAATGCAAGAGAGGTGAAAATAGTATATGGGAAAAATAATCTGGGTTATTTGTTTAATATCGACAATATAACCAAGGAATAGGAAAATTAGGTTGTCAATATGTAATTGAAGGAAGCTTAGGAAGAAATTATGAAATTATAATAAAAATTAAATGAGTAGCAGAGTTTATCAGCCAAATAGCCTGCTATTGTGGAAAAGACTATGGGTGAAGATTAATTACTTAAAAATATTCAAACTCAAATTCAATCAGCTACTGGACAATCTAATTCTTAAGAAAATACTTTGAAATAGACGGATGAAGAAATTACCTAATTAGAAAAAGATTTGCAGAGTATTAAATAATAATTATGTAAAATCTTAAGTGATTATGATATTAGTTGATATATTTGCTAAAGAAAACGAATTGAATAATTAAAGGGAAGAGGTTGATATGTAAGTGAGAAAATTAGAAAGAAGTGATTAAGGGAAATCAGCTGAACATGAATTAAAAATCAAAGAATAAAAGAGAATTAAAGAATTATTTTAAGCAAATGACAATATCAAAAATAATTTATTAAAAAGGTAAAATCAATCAGAAGAAACAAAATTAAGAAAATAAGAAGAATTAGGAAAATAGAAAGAAAAAGCAAAGGATTTATAAAATCTCATTTCTCTTTTAAAAATTGTAGAAACTGATCGAAAAATCACATTAAAGAAAAAGTTTTTAGAGTAAAATAAAGTTGATTTAGAGAAGTTTATGGAAAAGATAACTCATTTCTTTAGAGAAATGTGTGATTGTAACATAGCTGAAATAGCCAAAAAAACAAATTAGTTATCTGGAATGGCCAATATTATAAAATAAAGTAATGAAAAATTATCATATATTAAAAATGAATTATTGGGATTCAAGATCAATTCTAGCGATGAAAGTTATGAGATTTTATCGAAAATTCTAGATATCTTATAAGATAACCTTAATTTGAGAAAAAAATTAAATGATTATATGGTAGGAGTTATTATGATGAGCGAGGAAAAAACATAATAACCAATTAAGGTGCAAGAGATTTAGAACTAACAGTAAAAAAAGTTATAGCAATTTATTGAGAAGCAGCAAAAGGAATTATAAGAGATCGGCAGACTGTAAATAGATGGAAGAAAATATAAGGCGCAAGTTCAATCAATAAATAATATGAAGCTAAAATAAAGAGATGTAATTATAAATACTAATTCTAGTTCTGTTTTGGTTTAATTTGATAGACACAGCTTCAATTCTAAAGTTCATTTTTAATATGATTTATAAAAAATTAATAATTAATCAAATGCTTTTCATTTCATTCCTAGCTTTAACAATAGAGTGGGGTTAGTTTAAGTAATACTGTTTGGCCAATAAGATAGTAAATTATCTGTCCTACAGTTAAGGAATAAACAAAATTAAAGTCACTACTAAAAGCTCATATATAGAATAATGAAATAAATAATCTTATTAAATATCTTAAATCTTCTTTATATTAAGGTTGAAAATTTCTTTCCTCACACATTCTAAGTTTCTTTGGTATTAATTATGTTGAAATTTATTTGTAAGCTGCATATTAGGCTCAGTAAAGTAATTACCTTATTTAAATAAGAAGGTTGAAGGATATAAAGGGGCTTTAAAACTAATAATATAGCAGAAATCAATATTATCAAATTTTGTTTCCATCCAGTAAAAAATATCATCAGTTAATTGAAAAAATAAAGAAGTTATGGGTTATTATATTACTGGAGAGAAAATGAAACCTTTCAAAGATGAATTTAATAGAGTATTTTTAAAACTTTTATATTAATGGCACTTAAAGTACATACTAGATATTTAGATAGTAAGGGTTTTATGAAAATTATTTTTTGAGAATGATATACAATTATCATCAAAGATTTCAATTAAATTAGATCATGCTATTACGGGGAGATTCAACCCTGGTATTTTTATTATTTACTAATTATATCCTAAATATGAGAAATTGATGGGCAAACAATAATAACCACAGAAAAATAAAATTTTAAATTAATACAATAAATGTAATCGAGAAAACCAATTTCATCAATACTACATTTATAGATCACTTAATTTGTAATCTCTAATTATATAGATGTAGAATATTGCAAATTTTGGTGCTATACACTTTTTTGTTGAATCATTTTATTTTTTACTTTTATTCAAGTTTTAAGAAAAAGTGAATACACATTTTGTTTAATGTATGAATAATATTTATCGGGTCTCAAAACATGACATCTATGAAAACAGAGTCCATTAATTCAAAAATCCTTTGTTGAAAGATGTTTTTGGTGAGAAACTAGGGCACTTAATTGTTCACTGAGTCAATATACATTATCCTGAGAAACTATTTTATAAAACATTATTTAATTAATATTAAATTCTTTTCCTAATGATTTAGAAGAAGTGTCCAAAGTTTATTAGTAAACTTTATAATATTTTGGAGGTAACTTTGAATAATAATGTAGAATTAACTAAGCGAAACTATTCATTGGAATGAGGACGGAGATGCTATTCTAATTAATGATATTGAAGAATTGGTGGGATCAGTATTGAGTGTTCATTACAAATAATCTAATTTTCTCAGTTTCTCAAGGTAATGATCCTCTATTTCTTCTCAGATAATTGAACCAATACGGATTTCAGAAATAAAGGATTGGGAAAAAAACCTATATATTTAAACATCCTTACTTCCAGAAAACGAAGAAGTAACAATTTCAAATTATAAGAGGGAAGATCTCATTAATATTGTGAGTTCTCATAAAATTAAATCCTTTAAAATTTAACAATAAGAAGGAGATGATGATAATTTGGTTAATATAAATGAGTAGAGCTCTTTGGCAACAACCATAAAAAAACTGTAAAACTAATAGAAGATTATTTGCTAACAATTTTCAGAATAAATTGAATTATAATCTCAAATTAAATCGATCATTATATTCCTTAAGAAAGTAATACTAATAATATAGCATAGAAAATTTATGAATGCGATCAAACAATCGATAATTATTGTTTCATAGCTTAATTGCATTTGGTAAAAGCTATGAATTTGATTCCAAATGATGAGGAGCACTAATAAGAAATAGAATTTATCAAATAAATTTTAGAATAGTTTTCGAATATATATATGGAATACAATGATTAAAATTAAGTGAGTTAGAGAAGCTATAACATTTCAGTAAGATCTTGTACGCCTCTTCCATTTTATCAATATGAGTAATAAAATTAGCAACCAGCTGCTGGGCTGATTGACCAAAAAAATTCAACATTAAAACAAAATATAGCCAATTATTTGATATGGTTGTAATAGTGGTATCAAGAAGCATTACAACTATATGGAAATTTAAAATGATTTATATTACAATTAATTCGAATATATCAGTTTAGTAACTACTTGACTAATTTTATATGATGCCTCAAATTTTAAGATAGAGATTTAATTAATTAGAATAAAAATTTATAGATTATACTTAATACAATCTAGTGAAGTTGATATCAAGAGTTTTGAATGACTTCATCTCTAAGTTGATTCAAATTCTTTTTGTCATATTTCTAAAAGTCTTCCAGATAATCAAGATCTAAGTTTGTTTGAGATCTAAATTTTATAATATTATCTTACTCAACTGAGTTGTTATTTATATTAAGTTGTTTCTAATTTTAGTGTTTGTTTTGGGATAGATGAAACTTTGACTTCGAGGTTTTAAGAAATGGTTAATTTTGATCAGCATAATTTTCAAGTTCTGTTCTGCTTTTGCCATATCTATTTCTTATTGATTCAAATTCCCTTTTAATATCATCTTGATTGGCTAACTTCACTTAAATAGGGATGCTCTGTTATTTTTTATAGAACTACAAATTAGCCTCGAATTATGATTTGACAATCTTATTTTTGAATTTGATAGTAGGAAAGGATGTCTATAAAAATTATTATTAATTTTACCCTATTTTCACTTTGATCATGATGGGCGAAATAATTGTTGTAATAATTTCTGGTAGTTGTTATTCCTTCTTTTTGAGATTAAGTATTCTTTTTATGATTTGGAATAATCAATTTAATTACTTTTGGATCCAGTGATCTATTTGGTAATTATTCAATATTTTAAATTGATAGTGAATATGATAAGATTTAGTTTTGATTGATTTAAGGTTTGTGTTTTAGCCTTAATTTTTTCATTTGAGTTTAACAAGTATTAGAATTAGAAGGAGTTCTTATGAATTCATGCTTATATTATTTTAATTATAAAAAACTTCTATCATCTAATTTTCTTGTTGAATCCAATCTTCTTTATGATTATTAATTTCTTGATAATCTAAATACATCAAATCTCTTTAATCTTTTATCCATTATAATATTAATATTTTATAATTTATATACATTTGATTTCTGAATGAAAACAATCATAGGCGAGATTAACAACAATCATTATAACTTAGATAATAGTGAAACAAGTAATATCGCATGAAAAATGTTAAATTCTTAAAATTTCAATAAATTTCCATCTTTCTTAAAAGATTTCAAAATTTAACAGATGTTTTTTCTTGATTGGAAAGATACTAGTTGCATTACTTAATTGATTATACTATGCTCCAATATTTTGTTGAGATTCATCAGAAATTATAATAAATTAACAAGAGAATAATTTAGTTGTCGTTTGGTATGGTAGACAAGTAAGAAAATAAATATTGGGAATTTTTAAAATGTCAAAACTTGTGAGTTCTATAAAGTACTCAAAAACGATATTTGAAAATGCTATTGACTATAAAACAGAATTCTTTATGGTCAATTTAGAATCTCTGAAATTGATATTTTATTATTCATACTTTTAATATTGAATGAATTATCATTACTTTTTTAATTCACTGATCTTTCTCTCTTAATCAATGGTCTCTTCAAGAACTATCTAATCTTCTTTTGTTACAATCCAATCATAATTTTTATAATAATAATGGTATGGCATTCCTGGAGGATGTAAAATATAACTAGCTTGCATGTAAGTTAATATAGTGTCACCCCCTTGAATTAATGTAATATTATACTTGTTCCATAGACAAGTGTGTAAACTTATGATTGATTTATCATTGATTCAGCGGTAACTCTAAGATATGCTGATCCGGCATAACTGTGAACATCAAATCCACTGATTCCTTGAGCCAAAATGTTATATGCTGGATCTAAGGAGTAAATTGATGGGACTAACCTAGAAAACTTTTAATCTCTAATAGTTTGTCTGTTTGCGTTGTCTAGGAATTGATTATAGGTAGAATAATAGGCACCAACAGATCCTGCCAAAGTCAAGTAATTATTTGAAATGAAATAGGCAACATAAAGAGATCTCACATGACAGAAGTCTCTGGTGAGGAATCTGACATCCATACTATTCGATGTAGGAAGACCCATTTGAATTCTGACACTCGTAAATAAAGAATTAAATATTTCGAAGTCTGCACCCACAATAAATGCTGTAACTTTGGGTGCAGGATAACGAGGATAATATGATATCATGAAATCTTATGACCTTGCTCCGAACCCTTGGCTCAATTAATATAAATCTTTCTCTTGATAATGAACATATTGTATTTCGACTTAGTCATCTACTAGAGCGACCCATCTTACACTAAGAATAGGTACAACTGCTGGACCCCAAATGACATAATTTATGTTAAACCCATAAATGGTTACATCTGAAACGTATGTTTGATAATTGATATTTCTTCCTCGACTCCATTAAATCTCCTAATGCATCAATAGTACTTATGGGCAGCTAAAGTTTTATAAAACGCTAACCATACACACTAAATCTTGTTGAGAAAGTCACTTAACTCTAAAATCTCGAGGGATAAGTTGGAAATAAAAATTGATCTTATTTAGATATACTGTTATCTACTCCTGTTTACCATTCAGCATAATATTCAGATCCATAATAGGCATTGGAAAGGGTAAGACACAGAATTACAATTAAGTACAACATTAAAAATAAAATAATATTACAAAAAACGATATTATGAATATTATCTATTCTTAAATGTATGAGATATGACCATCTCATAGTTCGTTTAACTGCATTAATAAAAGTATATATATACAATTTAGATTGCAAAAACAATGATAATTCACTTCAACTTTATTAAAGAATCTAAGGTTTTGTACTATATTGTATCTTCAGCTCTTTTGGAACTTCTGCTTCTCTACTGATATTCATTGTAATCTAAGTATAATTTTTATAATGGAGTTACCCTTTGGTCTTTGAATGACACTGCTATTTTAGGAACTATTTTTTGAAACCGAATAAACTTTTTCAATTCTCTTTCTTTCTTGCTGAGAGATACTTAACATGATGTCGTTGATTGATGATAATGAATTATGTTTGGTTTTCATTATCTAACCATAGATCTTATTAAAATCTCGTTATTAAAGCGATTTGATCATATCTGACTTTTTTTATTTGTTAGCATTTCCTAAAATGCTATAGTAATTGTTTTTTTATGATTATTGAGTAGGCAATATGATATCACTCATCTCTAATGATTCTCTCATAACGTGATTTCCAGTTAATTTATGTTCGGAATGGGAATTGGATTATCTTGGCTCTTAAAATAACTTCTAATTTCCACATTTATGTGAAGATTGATTGGCTTGTTTATAAATTAAATTTTAGAGATATTCTCTTTGATTAACTTCAATCTGTTTTCTTTTGCCTTCCTTTTCAAATTAATAAATGGTTTATTTCAGTTATACCAGTTCTTATTAAAGAGATTATTCCTTCTCATGTAATTCTTGGTTTTCTCTCTTCAATTTCTAGATATTATTATTTAATATATAATACACTTATGTTGCTTTTTGTTGTTTCTAACAATTCTTGACGTATTTCTTCGCTTTCATCTAATTTATTTTATATTGATTCAGCATATAGTTTCAATTATTATTCAATCTAGTCATCAATAAATAAAATACACTTATATGCTTTCTGATTTCTTATTCATACTTGATTAAAGTTGATTCTAATTTTTCGTATTCATCATCATCTCTTGAAAATCTAGTTTACGCAGGATCATTGAATTTTTCTAATTTTCTATTGATAGCATGAATGTATTTTACTTACAAAATCTTCTTCTCAATTTTTAGCATCAGTTTTGTGAAGATGACCTTAATGATCCCAACCAGATGTGATAAACTTTCATAATCTTTCAGTTCTGATTCTATTTAATTTAACTCTTCCTTCGTTTCTATATGCTTTTCTACTTAGATTAAGATTCTCTCGAGTAGGTCTTTCAAATTGTTTTCCAATTCTCTGTCAGTCGTCGTAAAACTATTAATACTTGTTGTTGTTTGATCCATATTAATTAATATATATATTTATTTTCAGAAGTCCCAAGCTCGTTACTCGATAATAATACGCTTTTCTGAATGTCAATATTGTTATTCTCAACTTGAAACTTTGGCTGTTGATTTTGCACATTACTTTTTGAGTCATTCAAAATTTTAGGCGAGGAAGAATATCACTAGAGTTTGAATGAAAGTGTGTATAAAATTAATTAAAACTCTTAAATGTTTATATATTATATATTTATATAATTTTCCTATGAAGATACTTAAGAACAATGTCTTTAAATGATATGAATCCCTAATTTAAATATGATAGATATATTCACTATTACAAAGATATCTTATGGGTTGTCTTTTGATAATTGCTCTCTTACGAAAAGGATTGTTTAGTTATTTATTTTTTAGAGGAGAGAGTTTTGAAATTTTAAAAATTTTCTATGACATTACTAATCTGTTAGGCTAAATCTACGAATGAAACAATAAGCATAGGAAATGCTTCCTAAAAGTCTTAGTCTTCTTTCAGTTCAGTTAATATAATGGTTGATATTTTTTACATAATTTATGTAAATGTTATGGCGAATTTCTCATCATTATGTATTAAATAATAATCGCTCTCCTCGACCCTTTTGATAATTTACTATTCTCTCATAATTCTTTTGATACTATTCTAAATAAGAATATTTATATTAGATCTCTAAATAATACAATTGTTCAATTATTCCCTTGTATGTTGAGGTAGATGATCCAAATTCCCAACCAAACTTAAAAAATCTGTAAATTTTTTGTATAATATTAGAAGATCCTTTACTGATTATCCAGTTTCACTTCTCTGTTCAGGAGGCCTCGATGATGATTAACTTTAGGGAATGGATTTTACTTCCAAATATGGTTATTCAACTATATTTAATTCCTATTATTGTAGTTTCTATTTTTTGGCTTATGGTTTTGTTCCAGAGCATGCTCCACCCATATTTGAAGACTAAAGGTAATAACTTAATTAAAATACTAAAAAATTTATAAAACTAAATTCATCTTGTTCCTTTTCTATTGAATCAATATTTTGGAATCTATTGTCCAATAATAAAATATTACATAAACAATTTTATTATTCAAATTGATTTTTTTTCAAAACACTTCCTCCTCCACTCCAGCAATTTCAAACACTACCCTTCCCTCCCTATTAGATTTATTCAAGTAATTTAATAACTAAATATTTTCAATATCGATAAAGCATAATTTGCATTGTTTGTAAATCTACGACTTGCTGGATATTTATAAAATTTCCTATAAATTATTGAAAATCTTATTTGTAAATTCCTACTTCTCAAAAAAATGGATAACTACCCATTAATATCGATTGTCTGAGCATCAAACATTGAATTGAAGGCTATCCCGTAAGATTTTGATTTTTTATTACAAACTAAACTTATTTATCACCTAATTTTATTAATTTTTATTAAGAGTTCATCATATATTGTTTAATATGCTTACTCTTATTGGATGAGATTATCACTAAGGTAGTGATCTAAATGACTTTAAAACTATTAACTTCTAATAGAATTCAAATTGTGCATCAATTTTAGTGAAAAGAATTCCAATATTAACATATTTTAAATAGTAGTTTTTAATATAATCATTAATTAAAATTAATAAGAAATTTTATATTGAATATCAAAATAATAAAAAAAAGCATTTATATAGCATTCTTCCTTTTATTATGTAATTATGAAGTATTTCTGATGATAATTGTTTTGATTTATTAAATCATTCATTTTAGATAGATATAATTAAATTTGATTAAAAAAATGAATAAAAGTTTGAGTCTTTCGTTTTCAAAATCATCTACTAAAGCTTCTTCACTAGATTTAGACTCACCCCCAGATCAAGAAAATTCTCCAATATTATCATTTCTCGAAAAATAAAAAAAGAGAGTAGTATCATACATCAGATTTAGAGTAGTGACAATTTAAGTTTAAGCAAATCATGCATACTATATGGTAATGAATATATGAGATAAATTTTAGATAGAGGTTAATGAATATGGAGCAAAGTGGATTATGATGACTCGTTTTAGTGTTCTATAGAAATTCTATAAGGGGTTAAGTAGACTCTTTGAAGTGAAATGCACTCTTTCTTCGCATTTTGAATTCAATCAATTAAGTTCTAGAAACCTGAAAAAAAGAGCAATAAAAATTCAAACATTTTTGAATTAAATTGGAAAGTAAATTTATTTAATATCATTTAGCAATTTCAAGATTCTAAATTCGAGGTATTGCTAACAATTTTTAAATGAGTAAAAGTGTATGGGATAAATGTTGATTGATTACACTAAAGAGCAGAATCTCGTTTTAGATGCTTGAATACTTTTTTATTAATTATCAGACCTTATGCATTCTAAATGTTTAATATTCTTTATTTCATTATTTCCTTTCTCAGAATGTGATAAACAATAACAACTGTATTATAGCCAAACATTTAGTCATGCATATATCCAGCTGAGATCTGATCTGCATTTAATTCAAAGAAATTGTAATTAATTAATTCTGTTAATAATTTCAAATATGTTTTACAGCAGATCAAACCCAAAGTTATCAGATTGTTAGAATAAACTAAATACATCAACCTATTCAAGTAAATCACGTGGATCTTTTAAGGAAATTTCGCCTGAAACTAGAAGTAAAGCCTCATAAAATATCTTAGATATTACTCCTAACAATCCAAATAGACCATTAACTGCTCGCAACGAATACACAAACCCATCAAAGGTGAAGCAGTTACTAAATAACTTGATACAGGGCGAATAAAGCAAGACCTCTACACAATTATTTGGATAAAGCTTATTTCAAAAAAAATAAGTTGATAGCAGATCAAGCAGAGGTGATAGTTTATGTAAATTAAAATTCATTTTCATAGTGTCTAGTAGAATAAGTAATTTTGGAAAACAGAATATAAAGTCACCTTAAAATAATGAAACTTTTCTAAAATCAGCCTTCATAATCCCTGATACTAGTCGAGATTAAGACAAGAAACCATATTAAAACTTATACTACTAATCTAATAAGCAACATGACAATAATACATCCTAGTAGAAATCTAATAAAAACTCAAAATTGCTGACAATCTCTTAAATTGCTCAACAGTGTAAAAAAAACAGTATTACTCCTACAAGATAAAATACTATAAACAATGAAAATGTCAATAACTAAAATAATATCAATTACAAAACTAATAGCAATTAAAAAAATAAATAATAATAAACTTTCATTGCTTAAGTATGCAGCAATAAAAAAAAGTAATTGATTTATTAATCCTAGTCCAACCACTTATATGGAAACTTTTAATATTTTAAAATAGAAACTTGATAATAACAACATATAATCAAATTAGACATCAGGAAAAAAATAAAATGAAAAATCCATTAATGTTTCCCCTCTCAAATCTCCAAAATCTAAAATTGAAAACACTAAATATACACCTAACTAAACGATTGATGATGCCACTTAGTAAAATATATATAAGTCACTTTTGCAAAAGGAGTAAATATGGAATGACATAATCATTTTAATCGATAATCCTAATCAAATGACATTGGCTACAAAATGCACTTAGTTGTAAAAGTTAATTAGAGTGATCAGTGAAAAACATCATGTATGAATTATAATTATTTTCTAAGAGTGAATATTTATTTAGAGTGGAACCTCAAATACTTGAGATATTTTTGTTTGAATCCTTCGCATGTTATCTCTTAGTTAGCGATTACTTACAGGATCAAATTAATGAAGATCAGAACATTAAGAATTTGATTTAGTATATAATTAATAGCAATCTCTATGTGTTGTAAGTATTGGAGAATGTTACAAATAATTCATTAAATTTGAATTTATTGAAGCAGAGAATTGACTTAAGAACCTTCAACATTCGTAAGGTTTGTCCTAAAGGGAAGCAAGCTTTACAAAAGAACAATTTTATCATTAAGTCAATTTTGGGATTGATGTACTTTATCTAATCAATATAAAAGTCCAAAAGGATTGACGAAATAACACGCCCCGAAATTTTTATGATTTTGTCCAGAATAACCACCACTCCAGATTAATACATACTATAATTGAAGAAAATAAATTCTCAGATCGAACAAATTATGCCCCTTGATTTAGAACGAGCCTTGGCTGCCTCCAATAAAGAGTATACTCTAGTTTTAGATTTGGATGAGACATTAGTTCATTATCAAGAGGTAAACCAATAAACTATTTGAAAGTTTCCAAAAGGAGGGGGACAGTTTTTGGTGAGACCTTTTGCAGAGGAATTTTTAGATTCATTATCTAAATACTATGAAATATTCATATTTACTGCTGCTCTTCCAGATTATGCCAATTTCATAATTGATATTATTGATAAGAAGGGAGTGGTTAAATAGAGATTATACAGAGATAAAACAATCTTTAAGGATTAGGTTTATATTAAGGTATTTAATAATATTATTATTTTTAAGGACCTCTCAATTCTAAATCGAAGTCTAGCCAAGGTTATAATTGTTGATAATATGCCAGAAAACTTTTAGTTGCAACCTGAAAATGGAATTTACATTTAAAGTTGGTTTGGAGATTCAAAGGATAAGGCATTAAAAGATTTGTAACCTTTATTAGAATGTATTACTTTAATCAAATATGCTTAGAAATAGCCATTAAAAAATGCAAGGATGTAAGAGTGGCATTGAATTAGTTTAGAGAACAAATGATTGAAAGAGTTTAAATGGGAATTAAAAATCCATATTAATATCTTTAATTAAATTGAATAATAATAAAGGACAATTTTGTTATTAATATCATCATTATAATCCATATTTCTAAGCAATCTAGTGTTTTAGACACTTCTTGACTTGTTTTCTAAGTATTTTAAGGAGAATCAAACATTTTAAAGTTTTTTTGGGAATTACTAATATTCATTCTGCAAAATTTAAATTTAGTATCAAATTATTAGTTTAAATCTCAAATTAAAAGGAATATTGAATATATATAAATTAATTATAAACTATTTTAATTAATATGGATTTTAAGACATGGATCGAACAAAAGGCAACTAAAACATTTATTATAATCATTGTAATACAAATGACCTATTTGGCTAGTGTATTCATAGCAGATGTTATTGTGAGTATATAACAACAAACTAATTTAGATCTAAATGACTAAGGCAATGATAATAATAGTACTTAAGATGAGTGTGATTGGAGTTTAGATGATTATTATAAATGGGCAGTGCTATTTTTATTTCAAATTGGGGATTGCTACTATGTATTTAATGCTGTAATCAATAAGTTTATTTTAAGATTTACAAATCAAATGTTTTGGAATTATTTGCATACATCATTATTTAATTTATAACATTTTTGTGCACTTTTGCAAGGTTTTTTAAACCTACTTCATATTTCAAGAACTCTAATACAAACGAAGGAGATAAAGTATTAGCAGCGTTTGATTACATTTATTTATTTTATTCATTTTGTGTCTTCGTTTTAAGCGTTGTCTGTTATAAACCATTTTATGATGTGTTTGTTTACAGAAATATTATGAAAGTTGGGGCATCTCCTAAAATATAAGGTATAATTTATTATGAGACTTTAGATATGTTTAGAAATTACTCAAATTTCAGTACATTTATGCAATTATATCTTTTGATATCCTTTAGTACATTTTTAACATTCTTCTTCTTTTTTGATAGTGTATATTGGTACCTATATTTAATCGATTCTTTCGTAATTCTATTTTAGATAGCAAGCATTTTTGTTGGATATTGGGCTGTAAGTATTATTTAGATTATTCTAGTTAAAGGAAGAAAACACCAAAAAGTTTTGGATTTATATTACTATGATATTGTTGGTCCAACTTTATATACTTACAAAGACTGCTTATTATATGATATACTATTATAACTAAAAAAACTCTAATGACTTAATTGATGATTGTACCTTGTAAGATACTCCCTATGGAGATAACTATACTGTAATAATAGTTATTGGAACAACAATTGCATGTTTAATAATTATGCTGTTTGATGGCTTTTATGCATATTAATGTAAAAAGGGATTTGGAAATGGATTGAAAGAAGCATTGAAGAGTTAAATATCAGAAACAGGATAGGAACTTGGAGAAAGTAGTTTTAGCACTTAAAAATGAAAATAAGTTATTTGTATTCTTATTAATTATTAAATATTCTCATTCTAGGAATATTTTGGCTAAAACTTACTATTTGTATTAAAAATTCACGTTACAAATCATAATTCTAATTCTTCGTTATAAATATAATTGAATTTTTGCTTTTAAAAATAATGTAACATTTCAAAATTAAAATATAATTTGTATTTAATTGAAAATTAATATTAATAATTCATACATTATTGTACAATTTCAATCGATATGTGTTGAGCTAACTTCAACAGATTTGATTGAGCTTACTTCAATAGATTAATGAGTTAAATTTAGTTTAGCGGTATATTAATTGTGTTATCAATAATTAAAAAATGTAAACAGTTTATAAAATATATGATCAGACTAAAGTGTAAATTTTATTAATGTTTTATATTAATTTTTATCATTATCCAAAACAAGGCATTGATTTATATAAATAGTACCAAATTATTAAAATCAAAGTTCATACAAAATACTCTCAAAGATTCAATTATAAAAGATTAAAATCAAATTTTTTTTAAAAAAAGATTTCCTATCTATGCATTAAAAAATATTACAAAATATTATAAAATACCTTAAAAACACAAATAGATACCTTATTCTAGTGGTGGTTTTGATAGTAAAATATATAAAAAATAGACAAAGATTGCCTAATAATCAATAATCATATGACGTTATATTATATAAAATTGTAAAAATAGATGGTAATTGATAACTAATAATAAGTGTAATTTACAGAAGCATACAAAAACAATTATTTGAGTTTCATTGATAATAATAGTATTAATAAAACCAAGGCTATCCTTATCATAATTTATGTCTGTAGAGTAATGATAAATTTTTTAGCTATGACTTGATTTTTGGCTAAGGATGACGTCTGATTTTAAAATTGATTGACAATAAATAGATGAGAGAAGATGATTCATAAAAGCTAATTCAATCTATAATATAATTGTTGGAAGTACAAAGTTGATTCAATAATAATTTATAATTTATTTTAGCTTCTAAAAAGTGTTAAAACATTTATTATTATAATAAAAAGAGAAGAGATAGTATGTTTAAATGAGTTCTCAAAAATTTTCAAACCACAAATAATCAATAAATATGCAACACATAATGAGCAGTGCTTTGTCTTTTTCACTAGCGCTATCTGGAAATTTGATACCATCTAGGAGGGAAATTACATAATAATCAATTACATTAATCAGCCTTGGAGCATAGTTCATTTGACCATCCGAAGAATAGATGTTCAATTTGACCATTAGTGTAGTTTTCGCTAATTAATTATTCTTCGGCAGGCCTTTTATCAATAATGGAGTATTTAATGGAATTGCAAGATTGGAAGGGCAAAAAGCATAGCAATCCCTTTTATTTCAAATTTGCAGTTATCTCATAAATGAGGTATTCATTGCTATCATATATGAATAATTAATGAAACATGCCCTTCATGAAAGTGCAGCATTACTCTTATACAATTTTACCTGCATATTCGCCATCATATTTAACCTTCATTTCATTTTTTTGAATAAAAGGGATGGCGAATTTTCTTTCTGCTTGAATTGGAATGTTATTGTAAAAGTCCCTGGATGTGATGGTTAAGGGTCTCAAACTAGGGCAACAGATTGTTCTCATCAATTTGTGGTTTTCTTCTTCTTCAATATCCATGATTTTCTGGGGGAAATGTAAAGTATAAATACCATTCCTAATTATGAAAATGTTTCATTTGATTGAAAGAGCTTGAAATTATTCGGAAGTTCGCAAGGAAAGAGAGGAATGCCAATATTTGATGGGATGGGAAGAGTGCAAACGCAGTATTCGAGTGGATCATTCTCTTGTTGCAAAAGAGCACATTTAACAAATTTGAGTCCTTCTGTCATTGTTAATATTATATTTATATGTATTCACACATATTTACAAATTCAATAAAGCAATAATTTGATACAATCTCTGATAATATTTAATTTAGGTTCATAATTCATTAATGTTCGCTAACCTTCCTGGAAAAGTAGCATTGATCACTGGTTCAACAAGCGGCATTGGTTTGTCTGTTGCAAAGAAATTGGCATCTCAAGGTGTTCATATCGGACTCAATGGATTTGCAAAGCCAGAGGAAGTCACAGCCATCAGAAAAGAAATAGAGGGCTAATTCAAAGTAAAGACATTCTATCACGGCGCAGATTTGAAGGAAGGACCATAAGTAGATTTCACAAATATCGATAGGTTAAAAGTATGGTGTAGGAAACAAGCAAGGCTTTAGGAAGTGTTGATATCTTAGTCAATAATGCTGGAATTCAATACATTGAGTCAGCAGTAAACTTCCCAGAGTAGAAATTCAACGACATTATAGCAATAAATCTCACTGCTGCATTTCTTACAACCAAATATGCATTGCCATAAATGCTTGATAAAAATTGGGGTCGTATCATCAATATCGCAAGTGTTCATGGTATTGAAGTTATTCTCATATGATAGGGTTGGTCGCTTCTGTGAATAAGTGTGCATATGTGGCTGCAAAACATGGAATTGTTGGATTAACAAAGGCAACAGCTCTTGAGGTTGCTAAGACAGGAGTTACTATCAATGCAGTTTGTCCTGGATGGGTAATGACCAAATTGATTGAGACACAAATCTAATAAAGGGCTGATTAATATAAGATATCATTTGAAGAAGCTTAAATCAAATTATTAGAAGAGAAATAACCCTCTGTCACTCCAGTGCAAACTGAATAGTTGGGAGATTTGATTACATTCTTATGTTCAAATTCAGCTTCACAAATCAAAGGATCCACTTATACCATGGATGGAGGATGGACAGCATAATGATCTATAAAATAATTATATAAAAGTTAATCAATCATCTTTTTTTCTATGCGATTTGGATTATATTTTGGTTCAAGTATCTTTTGGGAGATATTAATAATAAGGAGGTTTAACAAGTACCTATTGAATCTACTTACATTTTCAATAATAATCTTCCTAAAATCCAAATGATTGACAATCCCAGCACTCCAACACTCAGAATAAATATCATCAAAGTTTCCTTGTAGATTGACAAAGACTTATCAAATTATTCTTGTGCAGTTGTGACGACTTTATCGTATGCTTCAACTAAGATGTCACTCCCATAATCAATGTAGATGTTGTGTTCTAAACCCTCAAAGAAGTCACTCAGATGCTCTTGAGTGCTATTCCCATAATTATTGTAAAAGAACTAAGGGTAGGATTCAATAATTTTGTTAATTTGAGTGATCAAGTATTTCATGCCATGATGATAATATTGAATGATGTTAGGATTATGAATGTAAGTCTATGTTTCATTGCACAGAATTCCCACAGATTGCAAGCATATATCATCTTAATTTAAAGCTTCTAGATTTGTCTTTAATTATTGGTCACTTATGATTGAGACAAAGTTATTGTTAAACTCTATGAATTGATCTTGTTTATCACTTCTTAATTCTTAAGAATAATTGATGAATTACACTTGGCTCATGATATTCATGAATGTCTTTTGCTCATAAGTCTGATAACTTATTAGATCCATATTATGAATTATGTTCATAAAAGAAGATTGAGCCAATTTAAAATTAAATAACAAATCTATGTTAGCAAGTAACTATTAGGAAAGTGCGAAAATAACAAAGAAGATAATTAAGAAATAAGCCAAAATAACAAAGAGACCTATCAACAAAATGATTATGTATCTGGTTTGATTGATGTGCTACCGTTTTAACTTTTCGTATAATTTGTATTTATTTTTCTTATTGTTTGTATTCAAAAGTTAGGTTTAACTTTGATCTGTTAATTGATGATTATGGTATTACATATTCTCAACACTACTCTCAAACATCCTTGTTTCTGAAACGAAATCAATCAACATCCATTCATACAAGGATTTCTTAAAAATTGATTACACTTATTCATACGTCTCGATCTCATCCTGTACTTCATATATTTACAATTTCATAACAACTTTATATAATCTGCGATGGTCATTAGAAAGTCTTGAGATTAATGGGATTTACAGAAATTACAATAGCATAACCAGAAAGAAGATCACTACCATATAAATGGTCAATAATTATTGGGTTTATTCTTCATTTGTTATTTTATCATCATAACAATAATTAAATGCTAAATGTGGTAATTACCCGATTTCCTCTAAATTAGCAACAGCAATTTGAGTAATAATTGGACTCTATAAGGTAGTATTTCTAATTTTATAAAATTGGGCTAGACTCATTTGAATGGTCTCTTATAAGGTTGGTTTTGGGATTAATTTGTACTCTACATTGTAAAATTAATTTACACTAAACTCTACTTAATTGATATCAAATAATTGATTGCTTTGCAAATCGATGAAGTTCTGCAAACCTAAGTCTATCTACTCTAAATAGAATTATCTCATCTTTAGATCCATTTGGAATTAAGAATCCAATTCTATACGATAAAGTCCGTGTGTAATTTAGGAATAGGCTTTTTAGGTAGACAACATCAAATCTATTAGATTGAGACAATCTCCAAAATTATATTTCTAGTATACAGCTATGGTCAGTAGAATGATATAGCCTACGATTAAGAATAAGACAATGTAAAGCAGATATTTTTGTATTCTAAATGTGGTTGGGTTGATGAAATCCTCGATTTTTTATAGGGTCGATTTATAATTGGAATCAAATAATTTTAGGTTTTCTGAATATTTGACTTAGTATTCCTCTTAGATTTATTATTATGATGCTCGACTGTCCATAGCCAGTTTGCTATCATTTTCATTGAAGAAATCTTATTATTTTTTCTTAGCAAATGCTTTGGAATTCATGGCAGTAATTTACTTTTCGGTGTTTTTAATTAAAGATTCTTGTGAATTGAGAGTAAACTTTTATTGAATTTCCACTTCATCACTTCGACTAGATAATAATTGAGCATTATCCATTTACTTAAAAGGACTGGGTAATTGATCTAACTTTTATGAATCTATGTAGATATCTTCAAAGTAATGAGAGGGATGCGATGGAAATAGATAATTGGTCACTTCGGCATCATGATCACTTCTTTATTCACTCATATTTCCCTAGACACTAATTGAATCTTCGGTTTACAATTGCTACTCTATCAACTATCGTTTAGATTGATAATTTTAGAATGTTTGCTTTATGGTGTCTCTCACTTATCTTTTGTATCCCATAGTGGTAAGTAGTAATTATTCATTCACCGTTAATTCAATCAAGAACATCTGTTATTTCAAATCAATGTCATTCTTTTTGTATCTATACTCTTCATAATTTACTGAATAATAAACTGGTACAGGATTAAAGTCCTGAGGAGTGATCTTTTCTATGTATTTGGTGTACTTATCCTAATAGATTTTCTCTGCCCTTGTTTTAAGTTATTCACTGTCTTCTTCACTTGGAATGGAGACTTAAGTTTGAGATTGAGGTTTGACTGAAGTCTTCTACATTTCTGATTGTCTAGTTGTTCCAAATTGCAATGCTTGATGTCTTTTCAAATGTTCATCATAGAAGAATGCACACAACTTTTCATTAAAAACTGTAACTGCCTATTGGACACTGACAGAATCACTTTCTTGATCGTACTTCTAACCCTTATATTAACTACCACTTGAGAAATTGTTGGATTAAACACGAGTATCATCTATAATCTTTTACAAGGCCTTTTCATATTATTAAACAAACAGATGCAAATCTTCTGGGACGAATAAGTAGGTCTCTTTATTACTAACCACATTGTTACTATTCTCTAAATCAATCAAATTCGGATATCTATTTTTCGGAGGAGTCTCCCCATCCATCAAATATTCAATTCCTGTTTATTCGATCTCTCTGCAAATGAAAGGCAAAAGCATCCAAATCAATACCTTATTATAAAAGTCATCAATTGTTAAAATTGAATTAGACCATTGTTAATCATAAACATCATAACTCTCACTCTCTAAAGAAGATATGTCTGATCTGCTCTTCTCCACACTCGGCTATTTAAGCGAAGATAAATTTTAATTGGCTCTTAATCTTTGCAATCTATCTATCATTTTGTATAGACCTTATGTCACTCCCAAAATATTTCCATTCACGTCAAAAAGAATATGTTGCACTCCCTTAAATACTACATTCTTCAATTTCTTGGCTTCCTCTACTGATACTTTTGGCTGCTACTCCTCCAAAGACTTAAGACACCCTATCATTGTGAAATCATCAGTTAAATCTTTACTAAAATTGTGTGCAAGGTACACCTAACATCGAATTAATGTCTTATCGTAAATCTTTGCAAAGGTCTAAAAGTACTTACCTATTCTGGCTGTTCCTCCCCTTCTGATATAATTTTGCATCATCTCATCATGCACAGGTGATAACCACGCAGGCATCAGAGTATTAATATTTCCTTTGGTGTAATCAAGAAATGCCTCCATTGGATTGTCAAAATGCCCGAATCCAAAAAACTTAGGTATTAAAGGTGAAATAACTTCATTCAACACTTTACCAATATTCGGCCCTTAAGCTATACATACTTTAACGGATATTGCCTCCCCTTTAAAGAAATTGATATTCGTAATTTCAAAAGTATTCATGCTTTTCTCCTGTTACAAAATCTCTCTCCTCTCTAAATTAATAGGATAATGTTCTTACCTTTTTCCAACTCAAAGTATTTTCTCACATTGTTAAATAATAACAAATCAATCAAGGCACTATACTTTAGGAATTGAACATTGAAGGTCCTTCCATTCGTATAGAAAATAGGTTGATAGATCTTTAATTAATATAGAATTTAATGTTTGAGTAGTTGTAGTTTCTAAACTTGTTGTTCAATATCGGAAAAACTGACAAATTTACCTGCCAAATAGCTCTTCCAAAATTGGATCTTAAAGTGGCTGAGTTGCATCAACAATGGAAGAATGTTCTGTTTTATCTATTCCATTTAGTATAGTGTCTATACTATGCTTCTTTCACTCTTACTCACCTATAGTTTTACATTAGACACCCTTGTATCTTTATTTATATTATAATCTTCGTCTTTTTGCATCTATGCTTAGAGAATGTATTGCAATAGTAAACAAATCTGAATGAAATAAAAGGAATAATTTCGCTTCTTTTAAAAAAGGATCTTCAATTCTTAATAACTCTTAGGTGCATTATTTCTATACTTATTAATGAAGGTTAAGAATTTCAGACTATAAATTTCTAGATTTTTATAATCGCTCCTATGTTTTTCGAATCCTATCCTAAATAAACACGATGTTAAAATAACTGCATCATCCCACCTTAATATTCCACTGGCTCCATATCTGCGGCATTAACATTTTACAGATTAACATCGATTATAATGCAAACTAAATTTCTATATTAATTCTATCGTTCTTTTCTTACTCCTCTGCGTTGCTTATATTATCTCAAAGAAGTCTTCTATTATCAGCAGTTCCTAATATTAATTCATCGTGTTATGGTATGTTTTTAATCTCTTGTCTTACATTAAGACTTGAAACAAATATTGTGTAATTGGCTGAGTGACCAGCATTAGGGTTGAGAGACTGTAACGCAATTCTGGGTTTTGGTACATGATTGTAGTGAAAATGAATATCAAAATATGCATCACTAACAATCTATTGTAAATGATTGAATATTTGGAAAATCTATGTTAATAATTAAATTTATACCCAAAGGGTAATTAAAAATAAGCTTCGTAAAACAATATTATTATGATTATTCCATGTATGGTTCTACTGACTATGTTCATCATTTGATCTTGACTCTGATTCAAGATGGCCATTGGAACGATGAGTAACTGTGCCACGCAATTATTGTATGTGAAATGTTTTCTCAATTGCAATTCGTTGAATTCGAAATTTATGAAATAGACGTTCGAAATAGTCAGGGATACTATTGAAAAGAGCAAGTTCAGCAACGCCAATACCAAAAGCAATAGATCATTTTAACACATCAGGTTCCAACTTATGTAATGCATTTGAGGAAGGTAGAGAAGCCAAGTGAAATACAGGAAATAGTAATTCACTAACTTTGTGGCAGACTTTTAATTTAAGTGTTTTCTTTTACCTTTAAGATCGATTTTGATATGATATCTACGTTTTAGTTTTCGCTTCTGATTTTTCTATGTAAAATTATAAGATAAGGCAAAACATTTAGAATAGCCAATAGAACCCCCGTCAATATGTTAATTGTGTAAATATCTTAGAATAGGGTTGTCAATATGCTGATTTCTGAAAGCGCTTTTATCAATCTGAAAATATTCTCATCATACTGCTAGGTTATAAAATGAGTGAGCTATAAATGATAAATTAGAATCTAGAAAGCAGTCAATTTCATATTATTTATGGATGGAGATAGATTGGTCTAAATGATCAAATTCATGTAATCACGAATCCATTACATAATTAATTAATTTAAATTCATTTTCACTCTATCATACTTCCACTTCATCTCCTATTGCACTCACAAAACCTCGGCTTTGAAAACTGCAATTAACATTGCCTATCCAATACGAATAATCATAACTGTATATTATAAGATATTATCATAATTATTGTTATATAAATTCAATTCAAATCCATATCCACGTTCTATTCATCTCAATTCCTTTATATATTTAAGAATACCCTCAGAAACCTTAATGTGCTAAAGAAATTAGTAAATTAATTTGTATTACACCTAAATATATTAGATTATAGCGGATAAAAGGCAATCTTGATTTTTAAATCTAAAATTCATTATTCATTGATTCTGACTTTTAGAATAATTGTGGATATATACATTTACTAAAGAGTCATTCAAATAAGTTTATACTGTAATTTAATTTTAACTTCTTGATTCTTCTCCTTAAGTGGATAAAATAAGTTTAAATTTGATACTACAGATGGATATGATAATGATCCAATGAAATATATATTATTTCAGTTGACTTTTTATTTATGAATTACAGTTTTTCATTTTAGTAAAATAAAGTTTTTTTTAAATATTAATGAATTTCAGTGTTTATTAATGTTTCTATCTATTTTCACGTGAGAATTTCCTTTTTGTAATTTAAATCAGTTAATTAAATATAAGTAAGGAATAAGCTTGAAGGTTTATAGAGAAATTTTATAAACATTATATTAATTTAAAAGCTGTAACTTTAGTTTAGTAATTCCTAACTTTAGTATATATTAGGTTTTTCATTCCAATTAGGTAATATGGATTAGAAGATTTAACTTAATAAAATTTAAACCAAATTAATTGTTAAACGTAATCTAAAAATAAGAGCTTAAATTTGTACTCTCAAATTAATTCACATAAAATTAAGATGGAGCCAAATAATTCTTTGACCTATTATTATTAAAACAATATTTTATCCATCTAACTGGATAAGTTTTTCTAATCAAATTATACTTCAATAAAATGCTTTATTTGAACATCTTAATGCATATTAAATCTTAAGAGACTAATAATAAATGAATATTTCTCCAATAATTATCAAGTGATGATTGGATGTCAATGTAACAGTTGATATTCTTGTTTTCTTAATGAAAGGCAATGATTGTGCAATATTGTGCATTCAAGAACCTTTCGTGTGCAATATCATAATTATTCTCACTAATTAATTCAGAGTATTCTCTCAGGAGGGTTTATTCTTTAGAGGAATCTAGTTGTTCATAATTAGAAGGGTAGTCTAGCGATAGCATTTCAAATTAGTCTTGCAATATTAATTATAAGCATAAATTCAAATACTTTTTCTATTTAATAATATAGAATACATAGAATTCTATTGAAAACATATATACAATCATAAAAATAGAGCCATATAAGTGTTTATAAGTGCTATGGAAAGGAAAGCAATGCCTCCGAGAAAATTGAAATTTTTTTCTGATACTTTATTTGCAATCAATTTTCCACCATGAACTGCTATAACGGTGCAGAAAAAGTGGGCCATAATGGCACCAAAGAAGATATAGAAGGGGTTATAGATTGCTGTCAGACTGATGGTGGTAATTTGACTTTTATCGCCCCACTCTCCCAAAAGCGTTAAGGTAAATGCCTACCAAACCACGGATTTGAATTGTACTTATATAAAATCTATAGTTAAATAATGAGGGTGTTTACTTTTGGTCACATTGTCATTGACTTGGTCGGTCTCGGGATCTGGGAGATTCATCAATTTTTTATCCAAGGTGGTCAGCTCCTATTCAACTTCTTGTAGTTCTTCCTTTTCTTTCTACATGGTGTACCAGGCATAGAGAAACTTAACACCAAAACCATAGAAAACAATTGAAACTAGAACCTATGCGTAGAGGATTGAAATCAATTCAGGAATGACGAGTCCAAAGATGGTGCTGATGGTCGTGATGAGTATGAGTGCGATAGTGGAGCCGATCAGAACTGCTATTCGGTTATATTTAATAGACATGATAGCAGCTAAGAAGAAGGTCTATTATAGTATTACATAATCATATATTACTTTATCACCCAATTCAGTAACAATAATTGAACAAAATGATTGGGATAAACTAAGAAATATTTTATCATTTCCATCAAAGCATAAGGTTTCTGCAATCAAAATGAAGAATAATGTTATGCTATGACATTTCATAAAATAAATAATTCTTATTAATAATAGTGTTATTTGACAGGAACATTCCTCAGTATATACAGAGCATCCGTAGGAAGTAAAGTGGAAATTAAATATTCGTAATTTAAGAATGATTTGTGGAACAAAGACATATTGAGGTAGATGAGAGATCACTCGATATTATGGAATGGATGTGGTGGTGACTCAATTAATTGTGATTAGTGGAGTATGAAAGAGAGTTGAATTGTATAAATACTTTTAAAATTAATTATTAATTAGAATAGTTAATAAATATTCTAAATATCAGATGAACATGCAATAATTTCCAAATTATTACCCTTATATATTAGAACCTTAGGTAACATTTTAAGGGGAGATTGAACAACAAAGTATGATAATAATGCATTATAAATTCAGAATAGAGCTCCAGTTCAAATTACAATGAGTTTAACTTCATTCATTAGAATTTTTATCCTCCTGCATATTCTCATTATTAATTCGAGTATGTTCAAGACAACGAAATCCCAAGTTAAATGAAGAATAAAAAAAGCAAAAAAAATAAGTAATTAAATTGAATATAGCAAACAGGAATAACGACTAAAAGGGGTTATTGCCAAAGACCATGGAATCGGAGAAACAAATTGTGGAAGATCTGCAATAAATAGCTGTCTAATAATAGTAGGGAGATTAGATGTAAATATACATTAAATTTGATTAAAGAATCAAGCCCATCACTCCTTACGCAGTGCTTCATTTTAAACAGGGGAGTGCAATGCCCAAACTCCAATCTGATTTGGTATCAAATTAATAGAATGAAGGGGCAGGATCATAGGAAGGTTCTCAATAGACCCAAAAGCAAAAAGGATAGAATCAACAAGTTAAGAAACCGAAGAAGGAGAACATGAATACTGGCCATTGGTCGACTGACGAGCACTCAACTTATATTTAATTTTTGCAGCAATACGAGAACATAATGGCATCTTCGATGATGAAGAAGACTTCTAAGATATTCAAATAGATGAGTGAATTGATTGGAACCAGGACTCCTAGTCAGTGTCGGAGTCATCATTAGAAATTTAACCCTTATGCGTTGCGAGGGGAAAATGGGAAACGATTGCCAAGAACTGAAAGGAGCAGAGCAGGCAGGAAAAAGAAGAATCAATAATCTGATTTGCCTAAGGCAGGTAATGATTATAACATGAATAAAAGAGGAAGGAAATGTGATTTTGAATTACGAGGCTGCCGATCCTTATTACTACATGATGTTGGAGCAACAGAAATACTATTATGCTGGTTTGCATCAGGACTACTGGAACCAAGCATAGGAGGTGGAGTAGAATCATAGCATCAAGAAAGAGGAAGAGCCTGATCATTTGAATCACGGGTAGATGTAGTAGTCTGAATTTGAGGAATATTTGAAATATAGTTCCTAAAGGAATGGAAACTAGCTGGATTACAATTTCGATGTTAGAAATCAAGCAGTAAACGATTTATTAATGTGATAATTATTATTATGTGGCATGATATACAACCAATTAAATTATACAAACGCCCTTGCAAACTTTTCCAATAATGCCCTTTATCATCCATTCTAAACTTTATATAAATCAATTAATACTTGATATGATTAATTCTTCTCCTGATTAATAGTGCTAAAGATATAAGCCCATAAAGTCTCGCTACATCGAATAGGTTCAACCTGATGAATCTCTTTCTTCCAATAATGACATAGATCAAAATGATTAGTAGATCAGACAAAGAAGCCAGAGGACTTTGCGGAAGAAGGGGTCCATCAGGATCCGCAACCTCGACATCGATAGTGACATCATAAAAGAGGATATAAGTGAAGAAAACAAGAGTGATCAAGAATCCGATGTGGGTTACACACAAAATCGAAACATACAAGTGGCATTCACTCCCAACAATGAGGAGGAGGCTCAGAATCCCTTCAAAACTCCGGGACATCAGTACTCTGACAGCTTGTGGAAAGTAAATAATGTTGGAAGCCATCATTTTGATCTTTAGTAAAATGGCACTCCAAAATAATCGAAAGATCATGACTCTCCTAAGGCTGAAATTACAATAAAGTCATATAAAAACCTGAACAGTGCTAATAGCTTGTATTCTCCATAGAAAGGGTCATAAATGCTCATCCAATCAGAAGACACTATTTACTCGAATTTTAATGTGTTTTAGAGACTCGTTCTTTTTCATGTTTTCACTTTTATGAGAGAGATGAAACAATTGTTATCGACTTCGGTTCACAAGATTAATTTTTATCATCTCCCAAAATAGGCAGTAAATGACTCTATTTAATTCAATTTAAAAATCCTATATCAGCAAATCAAAAATAATGTATATTTCTGAATTATAGTACAATTAGGAATAATCAAATTTGACAACTGCCACCCTCTTCAAACTATTTTTCTGGCGAATCAACAAATTAGTGACTCTCCTAGTGATATTGCTGGCTATGACTGAAACATACTCAAGATTTGTGATGGCCATTCTTACGGAGACTTTGATTTCAGCAGTCGAAAACTAAAACATAGGAGACGCTTACATGCAAGCATGTGCCCTTGCTTTATTGTCATTGGTAGCTTTGATGAGCAAACATTTTTAATAGTATTTGATTCCTACTAATTTTAGATATCTGATCAGTAATGCTGCTACAAAAATGCGTATGATTCTCATTAATCTAATTTATGATAGGATCATAGAATTGCATTCCTCTTAGATCTCCCAATTGAACATTGGCAAAATTATGAATCTGGTCAGTAGTGATTTCAATGTAATTGAGTATCAGTTGAGCTACGTCTACCAAATTGCAGTAATTCCAGGCTCCTTGCTTCTAACTTCAATCATCTTATGGGTATCAAACGTTTAAAGTTTAGTTAAGGTTCGATGGTCCAATAGGATTAATTGCAATTCTCTTTTGTGGCATACTGTACCCATTATAAATTTTGATTCAAAAAGCTAATAAGTCCATATTACTGAAGACCAGAAAATTGCAAGATCAAAGAATCTAGGTATTTTCAATCCATCATATAAAGCAAACCAACACCGTCATCGAAGGCATCAAATACATAAAAATGTATGTTTGGGAATCTGTTTTCGAGAAAAAGATCTACTAACTAAGAAATAAGGAATTCCTCTACTACTTCAACATCCACATCTTGAACTTAATCGATAGATCCTTTAATTTCAGTGTCCACATTTGGGGCTCCTTTGGTTTCATTTTGTTTCTCTACTGCTATGACATTCCACTTAGCATCTCCTCAATCATGGGCACAATCCAACTCATGTCCATGATCAAATACTACTGTATATTCCAAGTCTCCTATGCCTTTTAAGCTTTGATGAACTTCAGTGTCATATTCTAAAGGGTTTCAGAAATTCTCAAGCAATAAAATAATGCTCTCACCACAATTGATCTTTACAATAAAACCACATTTACAGCCTACGACCTTCAACATCAGCCTATCCAATTACTCCAAGAAAGAACAAGAGGGTTGAATCGCAAAGGAAGTCTCAACCTCCAATCTGCAACTCTACTGACAGTCTTTTAGTACTACGGCAGATGGCATAAGGATGCAATTCCCACGATCAGCGGAATCAATTTGGACATCAAATCTGGGGAGATAGTGGCTGTTATAGGCAAGGTAGGATCTGGGAAATCCACCCTGCTTTCAGCCATACTGTAAGATGTCCCCTATTATGAAGGAATGATAAATCAGTAAAGAAAGCTAAAATTAGCATATGTGGAATAAGACCCTTTTATCTATACTGGATCGATACGGGAAAACATATTGTTTGGAAAAGATTATGATTACACTCTGTACTTAAAGGTATTGGAAGTCAGTTGCCTTGACTAAGACATCCTTGCTTTTAGGTAAGGTGACAAAACGGAAATCGGGGAAAAAGGGGCCAACCTTTCCGGAGGTTAAAGAGCTAGATTGAGTTTGGCTAGGGCCTTATATTCTATGGCAGATTTGTATCTATTTGATGATCCTCTGTCTGCTGTTGACTCAAAGGTGGCTGGTAAAATCTTTGATAATGCCATTAAAGATTTCATCTTCAAATTTCAACCTAATTATAGGCCCTCTTTAATTAGATCTCATCAAGCCTTCATTTCCTAGACTCCCTCCGTTATGCTTGCTACTCATTAGATTTCTTTTGCTTTAGAATGCGATTATGTAATCATCTTGGATTCAGGGAAAATAATTCATTAAGGGCCTAAGAATAAAATTAGGAAACACATCTTAGAATAATCAAACATTTAGGCTAGTACTAAAAACTTAGAGAACCCACAAAAAATTAGACAACTCAAAATTAGAAGGCCTAGCAGATTAATAAGTAAAGTGGTTAATCAAATGACAAAGACTAATAAAGAAGAAACTCCTTCACTTTATGTAGGCGAAGATTAAAATCAATAAGATGCTACATCAGCTACTTACAGAAGATATTTCAGTTATTGGAAGCCTTGTCTTTTGATTTTCGTAATTCTATGTCAAAATGTGGCCAGTGAAATTATTAATAACTATTATTATAAGGAAATGGCATCATTTAAATAGGATTAATATTACAATAATGATATTGTTTTTAAGAATGCCAGTATTCTTGTCATTGGTGCTTATGTAAATAATGTGATTAAATATTTTCTAAATATTTTTGGTGTCCTCACATCCAATAACATCATACACAATAAAATGTTGAAACGATTGATACGATCTCCCATAGAATACTTTGATACAAATCCTTCTGGAAGATTAATTAATCGATTTTCAACAGATTTGTCTCTTGCCGACTCGTAAATTCAATAAACTATTACTGATATCTTTGAACAGGGTGCTTAATTCCTTGTTTCTTTGATTACCATAGCAATATTGTAACCATACTTTACGTTTCCTGCCTTTTTTACAGTAGCAAGCACAGTATTAATATTCAGAGCAACAAGAATCGTGATATCACAACTCAAGATCTGTGATCTGATATCTAGATCTCCACTCTTTGACTAATTCAAAATATCGGTTTATGGCGTTACTTAGATAAGAATAAATGAAAATTATTCATGGATCAAGGACAAATTTCTCAAATTGTCTAACCAATCAATGCAAGCCAATTTAATGTTTCTTTATTCTTAAAGATGCTTTGGATTTTACATTGACCTGTTCGGTTAATTTGCTAATATAGCAGGAATATTTCTAATCATTGCTATGGTAGATGACCCAACCATCTTTTCTTAAGCTTTACTTTTACTGTCTACTTTCAATACTCAAGCAGGTACACTTCGACAATTCATGGCTTTCGATTCTATGATGAATAGTATAAATAGAATGTTCGAGATCTGTGATATTGAAATAGAAGATTAAAGTAAACAACAATGTGATTTGGAAGTTTAAATTTGGCCTAGATTAGGAACAATTTAGTTTTAGAATGTGGAAATGCAATACAGAAAGAACACTCCATATGTGTTGAAAGGCATGAGTTTTAATATTAAGGATAAGGAGAAGGTAGGTATAGTAGGTAGAACTGGATCTGGAAAGTCTTCCATCATTCAAACTCTCTTTAGATTGACAGAAATTGAAGAAGAAGGGTAAATATTTTTGAACTATATACATTAGTCACATCAACATCGATGATTAAGATATTAAAAAGATTGCACTTAACAAGTTAAGACAAGAAATTAGTATCATCCCTTAAGTACCATTCATATTTAAAGGAACTTTAAGAGAAAATCTAGATCCTCTAAAAAGGTTTGACGACCAAAAGATTTTGAACACTTTAGCAGAAACAGGCTTAGAAAGCTTTTTATAATTACTACCAGATGGATTAAATCATGAAATGGATCCAGACCTATTTTCAATAGGATAAAAACAACTCATTTGCTTGAGTAGAGTGTTACTGAATAAAAAAAAGATTCTGGTTCTAGATGAAGCTACTGCAAATGTTGATATGATCACAGATTGCTTGATTTAATAAATTATCAAAGACAAGTTTAATGATTGTACCATCCTTACCATTGCTCACAGATTAAATACAATTGCAGATTATGATAGAGTTTTGGTTTTGGAAGATGGAAAGGTCTTGGAATAAGGACATCCATATGAACTATTAGTATAGAATCCAAAGATTTCAACCTATATTAATAGTGATTCGACATTTGCCAAAATGGTTCTCTAAACTGGAAGCAAGAACAGTAGTTAGATTTATGGAATTGCAAGAAAATGTTATCAAAAAACTCATGATATTGGAAGCAGAAGCAACGGTAATAGTAAAATCTTTGAAGTATCTCCCAGTAGTATAAATGAATTTAACTTTTGATACTACTAAGCATTTAATTATAGCAATTAAATTTGAATATTTAAGTATCATAACAACTCTTCAAACATTTAATCTATCAAGATGTTCATACTCTTCATTCAAAGTCACTTTTCTATACATAAATCTTGTGGCTGGTAGATTATTTCGATCTTCAGCATCTGCAAGTCATATGAAATCATAAGTTACTTTTTTATGCAATTCTATCATTATAGTTTTCTCCAATCCAAAAATCTTTGATTTCCTTTTCGAAACTGCTTTATCTCACTGAATTCCTGGCCAATTCAGCCTAATCAATGGCTGACAAATCAAAAATCTATGATGCTATGGCATATTCTTCTAGCAAAGGTTCATTTGTCAAATGTAAAATTAAGGGATCATCAGTTGATAAACACACATTCAAACCAATTTAAAAGTACTTTTAGAAAGGAGATTTCTAATAACGACAAAACAATTTATTATTTGATACTGGTGACATTGCTATCCCAATTTATTTTAAATAAAACAAGTATTCCAAAACTGGCGACTTTTGCAATTCCAATCCATGATTTATACCATCAGATACTAAATAGGCAGTGGCCAAATGATCAATGTTTCCAGCCTCGCCACAATGAGGTCGAAATTTAAAAGTATTTAAGCCTCTCTATTATCTCAAGGCATTTAAAGTATATAAATTTGCGTAAATGTAATAAATCCAATAAGTATATGGTGGATTACGATCTCCAGCCCAATCCTTAGGAAATTATTTCAAGTCTGAAATTGCAAAGTATTCATACGAAGATTCATCATCAACAGTATCAAAACCTGTTATTTGGAATAAGGCTTGATATAGAAAAGGGTCTATAGTTGGGTTAATTGTAATATCAAAAAGTGGTCTAAAGATGTTGTCAATCATATCTTAGAAACAATGAATCATGCCAGACTTTTTATAAACACTATAGAGTCTGGGAATTTGAACCATCCATCTAACCTTAGAAGAGTAGAGTTTGTTCTTTATTAACCACTTCCCTAACTTATGCCATTCTTCCATAGATTTACCATAGATTGATACTCTCCATTCACATCCTATATATTGCTGTTTTTCCAATTGATCCATCAATTCCTTAGTCAAATCTGCAAGGTATTTACCTTTAATGTAATTATCTGTTTTCAGAAATATCTCTCGTAATTTAGGAGTGCCCAAAGGATTATATTTATTGTTAAATCTATCAAACCTCTTATAGATTCCTTTGTCTGCTTGTACATCCAAGGAATTCAAAGATAAATCAATGGGATCCACGTTAATACTTTTGAAGATGTCTCTTAAACGAATCTTAGTTCCATCTTTGTTGTTGTCTACATGATCATCTCCACAATTTTCATATTTCCTTTAAATAAATTCCAATAAGTGTTTTGCACTCATGGCTGCTGAATGGTGGATGTGAGTGTCTACTTTAAAGACATTATAAAAATCTCTTCTTATTATATTTTTTTAATCTAATTATTCATTTTAATGATTGAAACTAGTAATTGATATTTATATTACATTTCATGCATTTGAAATTTTTACTCTAAGAATTTAAGTCTATCATAACAAAAGCTAGCAATTGAGTTATTGCCAACACATTTCATCAGATTAATTAGATCGCTTATAAATTATAACATAGTTGGTACAATGACATCAATGTTCTCACCTTTTTTAGTAAAGATGATTCCATCTTCTTAGAGAACTTCAGTATTTTCTAAGATTGGTAAGACATCAACTCTTCTATTCCAAATAATATATGGTTCATTTTTAGAATTGTATTAAACAAATTTGCTTGAAATTTCACTTTATTCATGGCCATCAAATGAATAATAGTCTCTTAATTTCAGTAACTCAAGGATCTTAATAGCAGATTCTTCTGATTCTTTGGATTTAGCTCCCTTGTATTGTTTTCCAGGTTTGATTTACAAAATGTCAAAATTTAATGCTTCCTTGATTTCTTCATCTGCTAGTTCGCTGATTCTTCGAATGGTTTTAGCAGCATAGCCAAATTAATTACCAAAAACAGTTTTTTACTATTTTTAGGATCTATTCATACATTTTTAGAATCCTCTCTGGCCAACTTTAAATCAAGATATTGCGTTTGCAGATTTTATTCTTCAGCAGCATTATATTATATTGATAGTCCTTTAGCATCTGGTTCTAATGTCAATTACTTATCACTAGATCTCCCTTAAAATTCGAGCATTTAATTAAATAAATTATAAAAATAATGTAATTTAAGAGTAATCAATAGAAATTGGTATTGAAATTAATGATTCCAATTATTGTAGAATAATTTTAGTATTCCTGACTTAAAATATAATGCAAATCTAATATTTTGATAGATATATTATTCTATAAATTACACTAAAACTTAATCAATTCAATCTGAAATATTGAATCTAATGGTATTGTTTTGTATGAACAGATAATTTTAAATCTATGAGATCCTCTGAAATGAATTTCATCGCCAAAGAACCTAAAATGTGATTGTATGTCTAATTTACCTTTCAACTTATCTCCTTTGGAGGCAGGTATTTCTTCATTGAAGTACAAGATGACTGGTTTCCAAAAGGGGGACTTGGATGGACCCATGATGACATCGATTGGTAGATGGGTGAATGTAAATGAATATTTCATCCATACGATTACTCCAGTAACGAAGTCTTGTCGATTGATTTGAACTTGATAGGAGTTACTGAAGGACAGATCTTCGAGTGTGCATTTCATCAAGTCAACCTCGTAAATTAAAACAGGATCACTATTTAATTAGTCTTATCTAATGCTTTCGAGTAGAGGCTCATGCTTAACCCATCGTTTCATCCACTTCATGTTGACTCCGTAGACGGAATCCCTTATTATAGGGGTAGGAAAGCATACCAAAATGTCAATTTTTATTCACGGTATTCTCCATCTTCAATTGACTGAAGTAACAACTAACCTTTGTCTGGCAAGATGAGTCCGTCTTTATTGAGGTATTTGTCTCTGGCTGCAATTAACTCCTGGATGTTTCCTCTGTAGAAGAGCAGGTTGCCCATCCAGGCAGAAATGATGATGTCGACCTTGCATTCTAATTCAACTTCCTTGATGGACTTTTTGTGGAGAGTGACGTTGTTGACGTTGTTCTATTCCATGATTTTTTGTGCGTGATCATGTGATTTCATGGCGAATACTTGTTTGGCACCTGATCTACTAAGGATCACTGGAATCAGGCCTAGACCAGCATTGAGATCCAATATCACCTTGTCTTTGAAGAGGTGTTTGTTGCGGGTGATTGCGTTTAGGAAGGGTTGGATGCGATTTTAATCTTTTAGGATATCCTCGTCATTGAGAAAATTGTTACAATCCATTTTAATTAAAATGTCTGAATTTCCATGTGATACTTGTGAAAAGCAATTCAAACTGAAAAGAACATTGGAAGCTCACAAAATGATACACACTGGAGAGAAACCCTACGAATGGTATAAAATAACTTATTTAAATATGGAAAAGTGCTCAGTGTCAACAACGTTTTAGACAATATTCCTCCCTACAAAAACATCAAAGAACACATTCTGGAGCTAAACCATATGAGTGTGAGGTATGCAAATAGGCTTTCTCCCAAGTATATAGGTAAAATATTTTATTAGATCTCCAATTTGAAGAGACACTAACGCAAACATTCCAATGAAAAACCCTACAAATGCGATGAATGTGGAAAGCAATTCATCACCAGCCAAAATTACTAACAACACAATTCAAAACACCAATAGGATAGAAAATAATACAAATGCGAAAGTGGCTGTGGCAAAACTTATTTCTATATGTGCAGTTTAAAGAAACATGAAAAGGAAATGCATCAGAAAAAAGAAAAGCCCATATTCACCACTGAATCCTATAATCAATAAATTAAAAACCTCAAAGATTTCTTTACATGCAATCATCCACAAGTAATACACAAAAATCATGTTGATGTACTCTTCAATGGATGCTTGTACTATTACAACGAAGGTAATAAAATATCATAACTAGAAAATCAAAAAATTGAATATCACGAACTTGTTGATGGAGGCAAACTAGAGTGTGATCCAGTCAAAGATCATTAGCATTTCCAAAAGAATCAACAATTTGCACAGATCGATTGTTCACAATGTCCCCAAGAAGTCAATTGCTGTCTAGCCACTAACCAAGGCAACATCCAAGAATCAGAATATCCGCAATCCTATGTCTTACATTATCATGGCCCAAACTGCGGACACCCCATAGTATTGCACAACGGCCACGTCGATTATCTAGTCAATGAGATGCTTCATTACCCTCACGATGGACATTGCGACAACCACGGAATTCTGAATAGAATCACAGTATAATGAGAACATTAATAATTATATAATTCAAAAATGTCATTAAGAAGCGTTGTCGAAATCGTAACTCATGTGGAGAGTTTTAGAAATGTCGATCTCTACTACCAAGGCGTCTACTTCCTCAGAATCACTATCCACAATGATGCTCCCCAAGATGTACACCCCATCAATCCATATTTAGGTTAATAAAATCTATGCCCATCCACATGACCCTTGTGAATCCTATAAGACCTATCCATAAGAGGCTTAACAGAATGTCAACCCTCCCAAATACTACGAAACCCATATCTTTAGACCCGCCTCCATAGTAACATCCAATTCAGCATTTTATACTAAAGCATTTTTCATTAAGTTTTGTGAGGAGGAAATCGAACTGAATGATATCTGTAATTTCAGAATCGAATTCGATGCAGGTCCTAAAAAAGAACAATCATTAATCATGTAAGTTGATCTAATGTTCTTTGATTGTTTGAATTCCCAAAAGGATCAGCCTAAACAAGAACCCCTCTACACCAAACAAGACAAAGAAGATTATGCCATTCCTGATGGTAAAATTTAAGCCACAGCTAAATTCAAGATCAAAAATGTATTACTACCAAATCATCAATTTGTACCCATCATTTTTGAAGAACAAAACTTTTGTCAAGCCAATATGGTTGTACATACCATTACTTTAGATCATCGTTTCCGCACTCATCCCATTCAATTGTTCCAATTTGCCAGACTCAAATTTGAAGAACGTAATCAATTGCTTGAAGGAAAAGTGCCAAGTACTCTTGATAAAAACAAAAATCAATCCAAACCCTTAATTAATTCAGATCAAATCTCAATGTACGAAGCCATCTAAAAACAATATAAGGACATGAAAGGATTAGACTATTACAGTATGCAGTAAGAATTTGTAGAAAGCTTAAAAGGCTATTATGAATAGCTCTATTAACATTATAATTTGATATATTCTAAATGCATTTTAGAGAAGCAAAGAAAACATTTCAAAAAGTATCTCTATCCACCTCTTAAGTTAATTGTTCCAGAATATATAACAAGTGAGACCTATTAGAACATGAAGGGATAATTAACAAGAAAGGAATTAAATTAAAGAATAGAAGAGAAATTCCATACCTCTGATCCTGAAACAATCATACATTCAATTCTTAATGAAACCAATTTGATAAGTTGTCAACTGTTCTAAATGTGGATCAAAGTGCTTGATCTATATCGAATCAGTCCAAGATTCTGTGTAGCCTTGTTGTAATTTGATTACTAAAAAATTCTTAAAAATAGATGGTAATAATTTTGTATTAAACAACCACCCCAATAATTATTAGACAAGAATTTGGGAGTAGATCATAAATAGAAAAGTGAGAAAATGAGATTGGAAACCAAAGTTCAAGAATTAGGAGTTGAAGATTTGAATTCCTTTCCAAAAACAGAAACACAACCAATTATCTTTGAAGAATTCACTCCCAGAGAAGACAAAGATAAAAATGAAGAAAATATAGTGGATGCAGACATAACCAATAGTGAATATGATATTATGTCATATCGAGGCATTCATTTGATAGTACTGGTTCATGGTTTCTAAGGCAACTCATATGATATGAAATTATTTAAGAACTACATCTCATTAGCACATCCAGAAGCCATGTTTCTGTGTTCATCAATAAATGAAGAAAATACTGAGGGCAACATCTAAGAAATGGGAGAAAAACTAGCCACTGAAGTGATCAATTTCATATCCGAAAACTGTCCAGAAAATACTTTGGGCAGATTAAGCTTTATTGGACATTCATTAGGAGGAGTTATGATCAGAGCTTCATTGCCCTATCTAGATAAATACTAAGACAAGATGTATACTTACATTAGTCTTTCCTCTCCACAATTAGGATACTATTACAATGCTAGTAAGATTGTTGATGCCGGTATGTGGGTATTGAAGTAATGGAGAAAAAGTAAATGTTTAGAATAGTTACAAATGACTGATAATCGAAATATTGAAGAAACCTGCCTCTAAAAACTAGCCTTGGCTAAAGGATTCGCCTGGTTTAAAAATGTTTGCTTTTTCAGTTGCATCTAAGACAGTTATGCTCCCTATGATTCTGCCAGAGTCCAACTCTCAAGGGAAGCGCTTGAAGATCAGTATTCACATATTTTTTATAAATTTAAGGAAGAACAAACCATACGTTTAGATGGTCAAAGCATTATTAAAACACCTTGAAAACACCAATGTTTATCGAATTGATGTCAATTTTGAGATTTAAGAAAAGTATTTCTTTCAAATTTATGTAGGAATCTTGATACACTGATTGGAAGAACTGCGCATATTCAATTCTTAGAATGTTAGCCCCTCTTAAGAATGATTGTAAGTCTATATGATCAATTCTTCTGTTGAAAATTTGATAATTTATTAATAGTTCATTCAAAGCTAATACTAGTTAGTATATAATGACATCAGTCTTAATTAATAATTCGTATTAAATTTAATGTAAAGAATTCAAGCACTTTCCAATTAGTTCAATCCTACTATTGCTCCCCCTGCTGGCAATGTTACATATCCGTGGGTTATGAAATACCCAGATTTCTTCCCTTTTGAATAGGTAGGCAATCTTAAAGGCAAGACCGTCATAATCAGTGGAGGATCAAGAGTATATCCAAATTTTTATTCGCTTAGGGTATTGGATTGGCTATTGGAATAAGAGCTGCCAAAGATGGTGCTAACGTTGTCATACTTGCCAAAACAGTAGACCCACATCCTAAGTTACCAGGTACAATAGCATCTGCTTGTGCTGAAATTGAAAAAGCAGGAGGTAAGTCATTGGGAATTCAATGTGATATCAGATTTGAAAAGGATATTTAAGCTGCCGTATAAAAAACTGTTGAAACTTTTGGTGGAATTGACATAGTTGTGAATAGTGCAAGTGCAATATCACTTACAGATACAGAATCTACAGACATGAAGAAATATGACTTAATGCATCAAATCAATACTAGAGGAACATATTTAATGAGCAAGACTTGTATTCCTTATCTTAAGAAATCCTCTAATCCTCATATTCTCAATTTATCACCTCCTCTAAATATGTAATCCAAATGGTTTGCTCCACATATAGCATATACTATGGCTAAATATGGAATGAGTATGTGTGTCTTAGGAATGAGTGAAGAATTCAGAAATTAAATTGGAGTGAATGCCTTATGGCCAAGAACTTCTATTGCAACAGCTGCAGTTCAAAATGTTTTAGGTGGGGACTCTATGATGTAAGCATCTAGAAATGTGGAAATTATGGCTGATTCTGCACATGTTATTTTAACAAGTTGTCACAAAAAGACTACAGGAAACTTTTTTATTGATGACGAAGTCTTAGCAAGTGTTGGAGTCAAAGATTTTAGTAAATACAGATGCGATCCAAAGTTCTCGGATTCATAATTAGCACCTGACTTTTTTATTTGAGACAATTAAACAATATAAACAATAAATTAATATATTAAGTGTGGCATTATATATTTCTTTATTTTATTAAATGAGTTGGATTATCTTTTGTGATACATCATTTCTTTATTTAAAAAAGTATTAGAATGCTAATATCTACTTAAGATTATAAATAAAGATATAAAATTTGGTATAAGATCAATTAAATAAGAAATTCAAATTAATAGATAACTAAAATCATAGTATCCTGATATTTTTTGGTCAAAACATAATATCTATAAAATAAATAAATTCATCTATTCAATAACAATTATTTTAATCAATATATTAATTTGTTTCAATATTTTATTTCTTTCTTTGAACTCAGTATGGTATTGCGAACATGAATACCAGAGAATGTCTTTAAATAACAAGTTTAAATCATTCTTTTAGAGAAGTTTCTTTGAGTCAATACTTGAATGTCCTACTTTATATTTTAATTTGATTGTCCTCTTCTGGGACTACTATTTTTTGATGAATAGTCAAATGTTTCTAGGTTAGGTGCTGACGACCTGAGTGATATTGGTCTCAGAAATAATTGGGTTGCATCTGTTTAGAGATGATTAGCCTTTTTTTAAGGGGACTTTTCCCAAAGATATGGTCTCAAATTAATGGTGGGAGCGCAAATTAATTTAAAATTAGAGTTTAATTTCTTTTAATTTGGACTTTCTATTTTGGATCTGAGCTTATGGGGACTAGTATCTGGAATTGAGAGGAGAGTTGCAGTAGACTTTAATGATTTAGTTGAAATTGTGAGTAAAGATTATTATTATGGTTGTAAATATGAACTAGACCATAAATCTTAGGTGAGTTTCTCTGATTTCAGTTATAAATTATGAAATTTATTCATTTTATTTGATTGCTTCCCACATTCATAACAATGACAACTAAGTCTTCTTTACTTGTGCTCATTTACTTCATACATCTTATCTCTTATCACTCTCTGCTTTTATTGTCTCTTATCTCTCTAAATGAGTTTATCTATCAACATAGTTCGATGATGAAAGAGTAGTCTTCTTGATTTCTCTTAGTTCTCCGTTTTGATTGTAGTAGCTAATGAAACTCGAGATTTAGGTGCTTCCACAAATTAGTAATAATGCGATGCATTTAAACTCCGAGCTTGGAAAGCTATAAAATATCATACCTCTTAATCTCCCCTCGATAGAACAACTCTAACTAAAGGCTTTTGTTTTCATCTAAAGTCCCTATTAATATTATATTTATATTATCTCAATTTATGGATATTGTATGCAAAATTGCAGCACTAAATTCTCATGGTAAATCATCAAGTATCTCAAACATGATGGCAAGTCCTTTTTCAACGAATACTCCATAAACTTGTAGTTCTGTTTTGTAATTTGTTCCCTTGATCCAATCATCTGTTAAAAAATAAGAAATGAAAAAATTTATTTTAAAGGAGAGAAGAGAATATGATAAAAAAAAACAAATTGTAGAATCAGGTTAATTAACTTAAAGAGGCATGACCAAATATCTCAAACCAAATAGTAATTCAATATATCATTAAAGGGTTGAAATGGTAAAAAAATGAATTAAGACTTTGTGATACAACAATAGAGACAAAATTAAAAATTGCTGATTTAATATTGAATTTAAAAGGAGGATAATCTAGAAAGGATATCTTAATAGAAAGGATCTAAACTTAGATTGAAAGCCCAAGACCGATTTTCAGCTAGAAAACAATTAAGAGTGAACATAATATATAACAATTCATGGATAGAATAAAGTCTTAAACTATCCCTTTTAAATTAAGATCAGATGCTTAATCTCCCTCGAAAATTAATCAATCTCAAAAAATTATCGAAAATTTTAAAACTATATGTAAAACAGAATGATTTTTATTAAACAATATTATTATTAATAGCTTTAATTTTGTATTTATTTTCTATAACTTTGTAACTGCACCCAAACAAACTTCTTTTATTTATTTTCATAATTGTTAATAAATTTCTACTTTTTGATTAATTTTTCTAAGATTTATCCAGCATTACAACATTCTCCTCTTCAATATTTTTAGTCCCAATTAACTTCATTTTATTCAATTAGATTTGTACCCATTTCTTATTTCAAAATAACCTAATTCATTTGTGATTTAAATTTCTCCATTATTTGACTGGCTATTATTATTAATTTCTTTAGGATTATTATCACATTATGATACAATAAATTAAAATTTCTCTAAAATGAGCAATTATGAAGGAGACATTGAAATAATTATTCACTGATAAATGGGTTCGAGGTTGCTACCCATGATACTTACTTTAAATTGAATCATTTATTTTTATCCATTAATGTAAATTTAATTCCATTTAGTTAAATTTCGTATTACCCACTTAAAGATAATATGTATATTATTCTAACCTCTCATAATTTATAAGATTTTAAAATATTTCTACGTTTTCTAACAACTTTTATTAATTTTTTTGACCAAATACTAATTGATTTCAAATTATCATTTCATAATACTTGATGATTAGGGAAATCTTACTTCAATAATATTTATGTAATTATCAAAACCAATTTAATCTAATAATAAATTAGAGATATAAGCAATTCACATAACAAATAATATAATGAATTAAAATTTTTTCGACAATGCTAACCAAAAATAAGTATTGTAGTTAATTTATCAATTTTAGCAACTTTATAAGGCATTATCAAAATATAATGGTCCAACTACTTCAACTCCAAGCATTTTGTCAGAATATTTATCATCTGCAAAAACATAAACATCAAATAATAAAAACAACTCTAATAGAGTGAAGCCTCTACTCAGCCCATAAAATATTTCAAAGCCTATTTAAAATGATTCATTAAGAATTAAAACTTCCACTCTTCACTTTCCTTAAAAACAACCGGTTTCCCATCACATCAAAAGTCTTTCTTCAGATATCAAGCAGCAACCACAACCTCCAATTAGAAGGAGAGGAAGGCAGGAAAGAATGATATTTCAATCGGATTCATAGCAAACTCCATTCTTGATCATACAAAATAAAGTCAGAGATTCAAGAAGAATGGATACTGTCAGAAAGAGTACCTTGCCTTCATTGCAGTTGGAATCACAAAGAAGCATCCAAATCACAAGTCCTAGAATAACAGACATCCCTTTAGTGCCTATTCAATAAGTAACCGAAATTTAAGATTCAAAAAGCCAACTTTTTCAAGAAGCAGATAAAATATATATGGATCAAGTAAATAATGCAGATGATAATGAATTTGTAAATGAAGACAAAAAAGCATCAGAACTTTTCAGTATATTATAACGAAAGGTTAGTATCACTGAGCAAAATGAATTGAATGATCCTAAAAATCATAATGAAAATTAGGAAGAAGTCTTTGAGACTGAAAAAGAAGTCAATTTTGATGATGATGAATTCTCATCATCAAGAGCAATGAAAAAACTAAGCGTAAAGATGAAATTCAAAAATGCTGTATCCCAATAAGTTTAGAATATGTTTAAGCATAGAGAAGTAACATTTTTAATAAAAAATTAGTTAAAATCATTGTTTACAGTCATCATTTCACCTGAATTCAGTTCAAAACATGAAGAGGAAAGGTAGAAAATTAGTGATTAATACGAATAAGGAAACTTTATTTTAGCAAAAAACATGCAAACCCTCAAAAAATCTAATTACATTGAATCTAAATGCATCAAAGATAAATATGTTTTTAAGCATAGTCACAAAATAAACACCATTGTTTAGAATCAACTTCAAAAATTAAATACAACAAACAAAGCTTTTTAAAGAAAAATATCAATGATTAAGGGTACATAATGGACTACTAAAGAATGTGATTAACCACAATTATAGTAATTTTCCTTATTGAACAAATTTAAAAAGTAATCTGTCTATTCAAATCAGATTGGTTAGGGATAAGTATTACAAAATAATTATGAATAAATTTTACCCAATTTAATGGATGATGCAAATAAAATAATTATTACAATTACTAATCCTCTATTGTAAAATACAATTTTGGAATTTAACAAACCTAAATTTATTGTGCATATGGATACTATTATAGATGAATAAGTAATTCAACCAATTTCCCCACCTAAAAAAGCGATTCAGCATTCCTCCTCCTTACATTCTTCTTTTAAATTGTAAAAAATATAAAATTCAGCCTCTTAATCAGTTATTATGAATAAAGATCATATTTCTAATCATAATGTATATAATAGTATTTTGAATACTAATACTATTGAAGACAACAGCAATTTGGATTTTAATTAAGAATATTCTAAAGTAAGAAATTCAAATTAATAATTAGTCAAATTTATATGTGAGACTCTATTATCAAAACAGATTACATAAAATACCATAAAAGATATCTTATACTTAGCACAATTTAAAGGAGATTGAAGATATATTTTACTAATATGTCTCAATGATAACTGGTTCTTAAATGTAAATCTTGTTTTTAGGATTAGTTCTTTTTAAACAAGTCGTAATTTTACGAAATAAGTTAAGAGCATAGAAAAATCAAATTTAATTTAAGAATCGCCAATATTTTTTGAGAAATATGATATTCCCTAGTTAAGAAAGCAGTTCTCATTTGACTTTGAAAATTCAATTAGTCTTATATCTAGTTAATCAGATTAGAGTAATTCATTTGATCAAATTTTAGAGGGACCAAATAGCAGTAATTGATTTCATAAAACTAGATTAGGACTTTAGGTTGATGAAAAACATGAAAGTAAAATGAAAAACATTATACAATCGATGAAAAACTTGAGTGATGACTCTGAATCATAGATCTTTGTTGAGGATGTTGTAAAAAATCAAAAATGTAAATCTCCAATTAAATTTAGAAATTTCAACTGGATTATTAAACACAATCAAGAAGGTGAAGAATAAATTTCATTGTCCGTTAAATGCATAAGTCATAATGAGTGTTTTAGATTAAAGTACTAAGAATGATCTATTGACATTTCAAATGATGGAATAATCTGAGGAACAGATCTAACAACTTATTCATGGAGATTGTGACACTAATGCATTAACAAATTTAGACTCTTTCTATTTATAAAGAAAACTGAGAAATATGATACTGAGTGGCATCGAAATGAGATATGAATGGATACTCATCGGAAGATATTAGAATTAATAGAGAATGATTGATCCAGAACATTCTGATCTTGTTTAATCAACTATTCTTGAAGCACCATAACATCTTATTTCTTCTTCTTAATAATCTCAATAATCTCAATAATCTTCAGAATATTAACAGCTTCAAAAATAAAAGCTAATCAGTCTCAAATAGCAAGGCAGAAGCAGAAATTTATAAAGAGATAGTTTGACCGTCATAGTCAAACCTAAACTTAATTCCAAACATACTATCAATTCCCCTGATGTAACCAATGTCCATAGCAAACCAACATCTTAATATACAAATCAATTAACTTACAACATTTTTACTCAGGCTTCAACATAATATCTTACAAAACCTACCAATCAATCATAATAATCTGTCAAAGTCTCAAGCGTGTAAAATCTAGAGGAAAACTTGTCCCAATTGGAGATGAGTCCACAATCATCCTTAAAGTCTATAAAATCCAAATCAGCCATGGATTCCTCAAATATTATATCCTAGAGTAATCCTCCTAAAATGAAGAAGAGTCAAAAAATCAAAGATTTAGTTAAAGTGGCTAAAGAGAAATTGACCCTTCCTCCTTAGCAAATTGAATAAAAGGAGGAAATAATTTCTTCCAATTAATAAAAATCATTTAATGGATCTCTACTTTAATAACCCATTTTAGAGAATAAAGTATATATCCTTCTTAAGTTTAGACGTTGAGTATGTTTTCCTATTCATTGCGAATGAGAAATCAAGCTTTAGGCCATAACAGAAGATAAAACCTCGATCAATTCAAAATATTAGAATAACTTATTTATGATAATGATTTTCAAGAAGTAATAATAGTCTATTTAGAAATAGTTCTCTGAACATCTGTAACAGGTGCCATAAATGTATATAGACCGAAGATTAGAGAACAATGACACTTTATTGATTTTGGCTTCCAAAAGTGGGTGTAAAGATATGGTTAAAGAACTGGTTAAGATGGGAGCAGACATTAACATTTAAAATGTATTTTTTTACTTAAGCAGGATGATGGAAATACGGCTGTCCATGTAGCTCTATCGTATGGCCATTACAAAATTGCAGACATACTTATTAGAGCCGGAGCCAACACTAATATTCTAAATAATATTGGTAAAAATGCTTGGAGTATATTATGATGAATAATCTCTACTATCAAATTCGTTTTATCTACTAACTTTATGTATGCAAAAAATCTTTATAGGAGATTGGTTTGTCTCCTCTGACTTCTGAATTACAAACATTGAGTGTAAATGTATAATCAGAACCACTTATTGAAGGTCTTGGCGATTATGAACTCTCTTCTTTAAGAATAAGCAATCCTTGTATTTATTTTTTGAGTAATTCAACTTCTTAATTTAATGAATTAATTTTTTCATCTCTTTATTTGTTCTCTTAAACTATTTGATCAACTTTTTTTTATAGTTATTCTTTCTCATTTAAAGTTTGAGTGTATAGTTTCTTGTAATCTTATCTATTCTCATACAAGTATTCATGATTTTCATCATCTTCTGTCAATAAATTCTTATATTTCAATGTCATATTATTTCTACAATCTTGTTTGTTCTATAGATTTATGATTTTATGCTCTAACTAATTCAAACCCTATTTGGCTTCGTTAATCATGATTCCAAACTTTTTTCGATCATTTTCATCTTGAACTGTCCTCAGCATGGGCGATGTACTTTTTCTGGTTTATTAATCTCGTTAAGCATCCAAAAATTTAAGCAGCCCATTTATGTTGTCAAATCCTTATTTTTTAAAAAGGGAATATAACTAATTTATGGTCTTCTCATCTGGCTTTGCTTTTTGATTAGACTCTGCATATGATGAATTGGATGAATATACAGCAGACTATCTTTTCGATGAGCCTTAAGATATATTAGTAATTGTACATGAAGAAATATAAGGACTATTGCATCGAGTTTTGTTGGTTTTATTCAATATGTCTTGGAAAGGGACAGAATTCATGTTAACTGATAAATTAATAATAATTTTATGAGAAATTTAGTATAATTATTCTTATATAGAATAATTGTGATATTTGACTAATTTGATTAAACTTCATAAACCAAAGGTTAAGATTATTTTAATTGATTAGAAGTATATCATACCTCGATAATGTTTTTATTCTATCAAAAGTAGTCGATAAAATTTAATTAAATTGTTGATTAATATATGTGCTCGAATAGCATTCAAATTTTAATATTTCCTATGAATGAAATAATAACTTTATCAGGCATAATAACTCTATCAGGATATTTATTTGTAAGTTATCTAAATAGTATATTTTTACTTTATTACTGTTTTTATTGATGCTACATCATATTCAAATAACTCTTAACACTCAAGCTCATTTTAAGAAAATAGTTATATTCGAAAAGGAATAATATTAATGAATGCGTATATTATAGAAATACAAGTAAATAAATTAAAGAACATCAATTTTTCTAATTTTGATTGAAAGTTGCAAAGAAATGAATTGTTTAATAAATTTAATAGGAGTATTTGTAGCTTTAAAGCTAAAATAATCTTAAGAATAATATAACATCTTATACTTAATTAATTTTAATAAATTGTTTTAAATAAATGAGTCTCAATTCAAAATAAAGGATAAGCATTTGATTAATAAATTCAAAGATTCTTAAAATCAGTATACATCGATTTATTTGATTTTTATTACACATAATTTTGAACAAAATTAAGAGAAACAAATATTATATTAATAATAAATTGTTAAAAAGAAAAAAGTTAATTGAAACCTTTTATTCTTAATAATATCTTGAAATTATGAAAATTCATATTAATCTTTTGAATTGAGTGTCATCAGCCATAAAAATTAATAAAATTTTAATTTAAGTAAAATCATAAAATCATACCTATAATAAAAACAAAAATAGCAGAAAATAGCAATTGCATATTCATAAATAGATTATAAGTGCCTATATATACAAATATTTAAAAGAGGCTTTATAATTTATAATTAACTTAATATATAAAAAATAAAGATATTACTTGGGACTTAGGAATATTAAAATGAAATATTTGTTTATATATACTTTAAATAAAAATAAATAATTAATTAATGGAGCAACTCAATAAACAAATTCAAGAGCAAGCAGATGAATAAGATATTGTTGAGGATTTAAACATCGAAGGTGTGAAAATCACAAAATTCACTGAGGAAATGGCTGCTCTCTTTACTAAGCATCAATCGCTTCTAGGTTTGGCATTTGAAAAATGCGGATTAACAACACTAGAGGGCTTCCCTAAATTGAAGAAATTATAAAATTTAGAGTTTGAAAACAATTCTTTAACCGGAACTGCAATTAAATATATAGCAGATAATTTCAAAGAGTTGATCAACTTGAATTTATCATAAAATAATATTAAGTCAGTTGATGTAATCACAATAAATATCATGATAGGATTTGAAACCCTTAGCCTCGCTAACCAAGCTAGAATCATTGGAATTGAAGGATAACCCTTTGACCAAAGAAGCAGGATATCATAAAAAGGTTTTCCAACTTATCCCATCCCTCTAAGTGTTGGACAATAAGAATGAAAAGGGAGAGGAAGTCCTTGATGTAATATACTCTATTTAATGATTAGGATGAAGGTGATGATAATGATGATGATGAATTAGATGAGGATGATTCAATTGATGAAAGTGATGTAGATGATGAAGAATCAGAGGAGCCAGCTAAGCCAACCAAAAAAACAAAAAAATGACATTTTGCCCCATTAAAACATATAAAATACCGCCAATAATCATTTCAATATCCCCATATATACTCATCACCCTTATGAAACTATATATCCAATTCGTCACTAAGCTCATTCAAATAAGGATTCTATTTTGGATAATATAAATTTATTATACTAAAACCTATCGGATTTCTAATTGCTATTCTCCATTATCAAGACTCATCAGCATTTACTCACTTGGAATATTGGGAGTCTAAAAGTTGGCAAGCTGATTAATTTTCCTCACTGGAATTTTATTGTTTTTATTTAATCTATTAAATATACTATATTCAAACACTATAGAGCTTGGTCGTGTTAATGTCATATTCACATTACATTAATCATGAATACACTAACTTTGAATGGAGCTCCATCCCATTTCTGGGTAAGGATAGACTCTTCCCATATTCCCATGCGTTAATATATGCAATTTAATGAAAGAAAGAAATATTAATTGAGCTCATTATACATTTAAGGCTAATTTTAATGAGCAGTTTCCTTAAATTTGAGATATTAGTAATTTTATTAAAAATCCATCAGCAGTTGCATTCTGAATTTAAATATTATATTTTGAAGACTCAGTAATTAAGAGGGTAGTTATTCATTATAGAGAAAACTGTAATAAATAGTAGACAGCAAATTAGAATAATTGCAAAATTTGAATTAATTAAAAAGTAAATATGAATGAAGATATTGAAGAGAACCTTAAATAAAAGTCAAGATGATCTAGACTTATTATACATATCAATATAGAGTAATCATATTGATCCTCTATTCTAATTTTACTTTTTATTCATCATCTTTTTAATCTTCTGGAATGGTGAAGATAAAGTCTTGATTAATTTTATTTTTTTTGCTGCCTACTTTCTAAATCCAAATTAGATTCTTTATTTCTTACCTCTTGATATCATGAAATAGTTTGAGAACTGTAATCAAAGAAAAAAATTGCAGTGTTGATGATCCATACAAATATATAAGTTGACCCACTGGATCTCTTATTAAATCAGTTACTAGGACAGTAATACTCAGACCTCCAAATAAGATTTCAAAAATAATTCCAAAGTAAACTAATAATTGGATTTTAAATAGAATCTATTTGTCAATGGCTAAATTGGCAGATTTGTTATTATACTATTCCTAGTATTCATCAGACTGATAGTGAATTTACTAAGTCTTCTGGTCTTGAGAACTATTACTGATTTAACTTAATTTCTTATTTTCATTTTATAATTTTTATTTGAACTATGGAGTTGATTTCTCTTATAGTTTTCTCTTTTCAACAATTTGTTTGGTTTCTTTAACAGATTTAATTTATTATTTAATAGTGTCTTATTGGGTTATTCTATCATCATTATTTTCCCAATCGATACCATTTTATTAATCCTCTTATAAGCAACAACTATTGATTTCACCCACTTGTTATTGTGCTTAATATTGGTTATCCACCTGATTTGAATCAGAATTGTTATCTTGATTTTTGATTTATTTTATTTCCTTTTGACTTTCCTATCTAAAAAAAGATGAACCACGTACTCGTTTAATAAAAGTTCTAGCAAAGGAAACCGATTTTATTTTAGTGACAGCTATTTTAGGTTTAACTTCTTCAATTTATTTGACTTCATTTTTCTAATCTTCAATACTCACTTATCTAGACANGTATTAAATATACTATATTCAAACACTATAGAGCTTGGTCGTGTTAATGTCATATTCACATTACATTAATCATGAATACACTAACTTTGAATGGAGCTCCATCCCATTTCTGGGTAAGGATAGACTCTTCCCATATTCCCATGCGTTAATATATGCAATTTAATGAAAGAAAGAAATATTAATTGAGCTCATTATACATTTAAGGCTAATTTTAATGAGCAGTTTCCTTAAATTTGAGATATTAGTAATTTTATTAAAAATCCATCAGCAGTTGCATTCTGAATTTAAATATTATATTTTGAAGACTCAGTAATTAAGAGGGTAGTTATTCATTATAGAGAAAACTGTAATAAATAGTAGACAGCAAATTAGAATAATTGCAAAATTTGAATTAATTAAAAAGTAAATATGAATGAAGATATTGAAGAGAACCTTAAATAAAAGTCAAGATGATCTAGACTTATTATACATATCAATATAGAGTAATCATATTGATCCTCTATTCTAATTTTACTTTTTATTCATCATCTTTTTAATCTTCTGGAATGGTGAAGATAAAGTCTTGATTAATTTTATTTTTTTTGCTGCCTACTTTCTAAATCCAAATTAGATTCTTTATTTCTTACCTCTTGATATCATGAAATAGTTTGAGAACTGTAATCAAAGAAAAAAATTGCAGTGTTGATGATCCATACAAATATATAAGTTGACCCACTGGATCTCTTATTAAATCAGTTACTAGGACAGTAATACTCAGACCTCCAAATAAGATTTCAAAAATAATTCCAAAGTAAACTAATAATTGGATTTTAAATAGAATCTATTTGTCAATGGCTAAATTGGCAGATTTGTTATTATACTATTCCTAGTATTCATCAGACTGATAGTGAATTTACTAAGTCTTCTGGTCTTGAGAACTATTACTGATTTAACTTAATTTCTTATTTTCATTTTATAATTTTTATTTGAACTATGGAGTTGATTTCTCTTATAGTTTTCTCTTTTCAACAATTTGTTTGGTTTCTTTAACAGATTTAATTTATTATTTAATAGTGTCTTATTGGGTTATTCTATCATCATTATTTTCCCAATCGATACCATTTTATTAATCCTCTTATAAGCAACAACTATTGATTTCACCCACTTGTTATTGTGCTTAATATTGGTTATCCACCTGATTTGAATCAGAATTGTTATCTTGATTTTTGATTTATTTTATTTCCTTTTGACTTTCCTATCTAAAAAAAGATGAACCACGTACTCGTTTAATAAAAGTTCTAGCAAAGGAAACCGATTTTATTTTAGTGACAGCTATTTTAGGTTTAACTTCTTCAATTTATTTGACTTCATTTTTCTAATCTTCAATACTCACTTATCTAGACATCCTGACATATTTATTCATGGATTCCGGAGACTTACTAAAGCTGTCATTTTAAGAAATTTATTCAATTTAGTCATTATTTTACTTCTGCAATTCAAGAAATTAGTGTTTGCAATTCTGAATTTATTTCCTAATACATTCCTGAAGAGATTGCCCATATACCAAAAATTCGAATATGAAAATAAAGAAATTGAACAATAGAAAAATATAACAGAACATCAAAAAGGCAGGATATTACACACCTTTCCTTAGTCCTAATTTTATAAAATGAAAATTGATACCATTCATTGTACTGACTGTAATCTAAACTAAAAGGACTATAAACAGTCTGAACTTTAATACCTCTTTGTAATATTTGAAGATGAACTTCCTTTTCTCTTTGTTTGCATATACATTGAATGAGATTTCATCGTACATTGTATACCAAACAATCAATAGACACCCATATATGTAAAATAAAATTGTGTAAACCACCTCTGATAACAATCTCTCTATTACGATCGTCTTCCCTTTCTAATATGCTTTAACCGACTTTTACTTACATAAACTTCAAAAGGATCGAGAATCAACCAAATCAATTTACAAAGAGATAATATTATCGTTAGAACAAGGATGTAATTCTAAGGTGAACCTATTAAAGCAAGGGCATATTGCAGACAACTACAATGAGTTCAGACTAATTACGTGTAATAGGCTGGTATCTTTGATGTCTTTAAAGAGACCTAAAATTATCGAATAGTTATAAAGAGAATAATCAAGAAAGCAGCACAGTAAACACCTTAGAATGTATAATATGGACCAATGAAAATATCCTACAAATTCTTCTAGCACTCATCCCCAAATGCACCAACATCGCAAAGGCATTTTCCATCTATCACTATTCCTTTATCACAACATTCTATTTCGCATTACTACATTATAAAATTATAAAGTAAAATAATTACAACTTCGATTAATATAATGAGTAAATATTCATTATTAATAAGTTATTGATTTTATTTCTCAAGAATCTTTATTTATAAAATCATAATTAATCTAAACTAACAAGTACATTTTCAATTTATTAATTAAGAACATGTAAAGTAATTAGTCTTACCCTCACTCCGATAGGGGAGGATTGTCCAAATTAAAGCAGTGAAGTTTGGAAAAAATCATATTAATTGAAATGAATATTTGTTTTTAATTGAGAAACCCCTTGAAGAGATCTATGATGGATAAGTATAAACTTATAGAAACGATGCTAATAAAAATTGCAAGTAATTTAAAAAAGTTATCTCTGAATTTTTTAATGAATAATCTCACAGCTTATTAGAAAATCCATAGCAAAGGGAATGCTGTCATGATTTGAATCAAATAAAAATTACTGATGAGAATACAAGAAATGATAAAATAATTAAAGATGTTTGGGATTTAAAAAGTTAAAGCAATTCAAGTAAATTATTATATAATTAGAGAGACCAAGGTAAATTGATGATCATTTAATGAGAATGGATCAATCTTAGCCAGAATTTAAGTCTAAACGAATTAATTTAATTAATAATATAAAAGACCCTTAAATGAAATTGCTTTTAATTTATAACATATCAAACGCTCTTGAATCAACTTCTTAAACGAAGAGCTGGACAAGTATAGAGGAAACTCATCTCTGGAATTATGAGAATTGACGTTTTTGATTATGAATAGATTATATTTGAATTTTGTTTCATGAGTTCATTAGAAAACAAAAAAGTGATGTAAATGAAGATCATTTACATAAAGGGAGCAGGATTTAAGATGAGAATTTTGAAGTCAATAAATTTTATTAAAAATATATAATTGATGTTTAGACAAGACGAGAACTAAGCTGAGTCATCTATGCTAATAATTTAATTGAAAGGTGGATATATATATATCACAATTTAATTATGATAAATTTTATTTTTTGTTCATAAGTTTTTAATTAGATTTGTATAGGCTCAAAATAAAATAAGTATGTGTTTTCCTGCGAGTGTTATGAACATGTGACCTGAAATTAATTAATTCAGATTACTAAATATAATTAGCAGTAAAAAAAGATGTTTAAATAGTGAAGAATTAATTATATATTTATAAAAAAATACCAAAAAGGTAAAGTTATAATTATGAAGGAATATCGTCAAAGTTGGAATTAAGATGTAATTATTATAAATAAATTTCAGGAGGATCAATAGCTATAAGAATTATACAAGGTTTATGGTGATAAATGGAAAAAGATTGCTGAGTTACTGCACTTACAATAGAAATCGCAAGGAAAGATTAGAACTGCAGCCGCTTGTAGGGAGAGGTATCAAAATATTCTTAAACCTACTTTAAATAAAAATCTATGGACAAGGGAAGAGGAAGAAAAATTATTTTCATTATAAAAACTCTATGGGAATTGCTGGACTAAAATTACAGTAAAGATGAGAAATCGATCAGAACTGATTTGCAAAAACTATTTTTATGCAACCATCAGGCGAGTACTGAGAAGATTGAGCAAGTAAGTCGGCATCTTAAAACGTAATAAAATTATTTTGTAATTTAGCTTCTCAAATGTTAAAATCTATAAAGCCCAGTGTCTTAATGAGCATATACTTGGAAGACAACTAAGAAACTCAGTTGGTTTTTAATTAGGAAGTACGTCTAAAATTAAAGTAATTGATCACTAAATATTAATTTATACAAAAAGAAGAAAATATATCATTAGATAGTGAGGAAACAAAAAATATTAGATAATTGATTAGAGATTTAGTTGATGCTAAGTATAGATCATCATATAAATTAGTATTTAGTATTTAGAGTTTAAAGGACGGTTTCAAATATAAAAAAAAAATAAACTGAAAATTTTGATTAATAATGAAGAATCACTAAAGGAGCAAGAAAATATAGTAAAAAGAATTAGGTTATAAAAAAATGTGTTTGTAATGAAATATCGAGATTCTCAAAATTAAATACAGAAAAAAGCGTAAACTCTTAAGGATAGCTCTTGTAATGAAAACAAGGGTTTTTAAAACTAGATAGCAAATTAGAATTCTTAAATTCCTGAAAGTTATTTTTCAAATTAATAATACTTTAATCCCTAATAAAACTCAGCTTATTTCCAAAACTATATGGTTTACTCTAAATATAATGCGTAATATCAGTATGGAAATTTCTTTGATCCCTACTCGTACTTTCATTATTAATACAGTCCTTACCCATTTCAATTTTAATAGAGGATTTGATTCTTTGAAAAAATAACCTGAATATATATTTCAAACTTAAATGTATTAACTTAATATAAATATAATTTATAATCATGCTTCAACTTGAATTTAAACTTGCTCCTATTTTTGGTCCTTTTATTGTAGATCTTGTTTTGCAAATATGTTAAATATCTACTCTATGGAGGCTTGCTTAATAGAATATTAGGAAATAGTCAATTGTTATTTATTCTTTTCAAAAACTGAGAATAATTTGCCTGCTGAAATGCTGGAAAGCAATCTGATCCTATAGAAGGTTTAGAAGTGCTCAATAATTTCATATTGACCAAGTTATTATTAGACAAATTCTAATAGTTTTTTTCCATTCTATTCTACAAGTACATACTCTGCCAAAGTTTCAACGCTAATTCCATGTCTATTTAAATCATTATACAAATGTGATCCTGATTCCTTAGGTTGGATATAATTCATTAATTGGGCTTGATTAATCTTTTGTAAAGCACTGAGAGTGGCTGATTGATTGAGCTTTATGCCTTTACTTAATCCCATTTATTCAATGATTTAATCAAGGAGATTAAGTTTTGGTTTCTATAATTTGACTTCAACCTCATATCCTTAGCCATACTTATTCTTGACATGCTAGACAGATCCAAAACATCTCAAATTACCATCTACTTGAATGGCAACTTTTGTTGAAAGTGCTTCAGCCTCTTCCATTGAATGAGTAGTCAAAATAATTGAGCTTTATTTTCTCTAAGTGGATATCCTTGATATAACATTCCACATGAATCTTCTAGCTTCAGGATCCATACCTGTTGATGGTTCATCAAGAAATACAATGGGTGGATTACCAATCATAGCAATAGCCACAGATAACTTTCTCTTATTACCTCCTGACAATTACCCAGCTTCTACAGACTCAAATCTCTTAAGATCCATTTCCACCATCTTTTTTTCAACCAATTCATGAAGGTGTGCATTAGAAATGCCTTTGATTTTGGCAAACAATTCTAAATGTTCTCGTACAGTAAGGTTCTCTAATAAAGCATCAAATTAAGGACAATATCCGATATTCTTTCTGGCATCTTAAATTTAATCAATCACACTATATCCAGAAACATAAGCTACTCCAGAAGTTGGTTTCAGTTCTCCTGATAATATTTTGAAAGTGGTAGTTTTGCCAGCTCCATTAACACCCAATAAACTAAAGACTTCTCCATTGCCAACTGAAAAGGAGATATTGTCAACTGCCACTTTATGTTACTTCTTCTCTAACATAAAGACCTTTCTTAAATTTCTGACCAAAATTGCTTAATCTTGAGGTCTATAATTTTAACAGAGTTATTATTCTTTTTCCACATCATCATCCAATATTTTAGGATTGTATGGAATTGAAGCTTCATTAGATCCCAATTTTTACAATGAACCATTATCCTCGAAGAATTCCAAAATAAATACTATAATCATATATCCAACTCCACTGATTGCAAGAACAATTAAATCTTCACCTGCAACTCTCATTGCAAAAGTGTTAGGTGGGGTTATTGAATTCTCAAAAATCAATTCAAAGAATTGTTTTAAACTAGTCCTCAATAATCCTAATGCAAAAGAGAATGATGGGATTGGTCTAAAGACCCAAACCAAATAGGAAGCAGCATCTCTTGTGGAATCAATAAGGAAGAATACGTAAATGACAATACTTATGATGGATCCAAATACAAGGTGAATGAAGAAGGATGATAACAATGAGTTTCCAGGCACTTTGAATAAGAAGCTTAAAGCATAGCTAAAGGGTATAATGGCCCATCCATAAAGGATAAAGAATAAAAAGACTGCTCCGTAATTGCCATCCAATATTAAGGCATCTATATCAAAGGCCAACACCATTAGTGCACTTACAATTGCAGGTATCAAATGTTTGACTATATCTATTATCCAATTGCTTGCCCAATAGGCTAGGACTGAAACACCAGAGACTAGTTATTGATGCTTAATATTTATTTCTCTTTCTTTTACTATAAATGAAATAATTGATGCGGGTATGAAGGCAAAACCAATTGAAAATATAAAGGCTGATAGATATCCAGCAACTGATTGATCAATACTCTTCTCATTTTGAGTTTGTGGGAATGGGTAAAAGGATAATTCAAGATTGGCTGAAGCAGTATTTGTAACCTTCCTTAAGATTGCTTAATTCATTTGATTTAAGAGAAGGGGTGAGCTTTGAACAAACACTGAATTCTGTAAAAACCAATAAGAGTAGGTAGAACCAACAAATGAATTAAAGAAATACCATCCTGGACTTTCTCGTAATTCAAATTGATCAAAATATTCTTAATCAGCTTATTCTAAATTGGATGATAATTTGGAAATGGTCCAATCATTGGGTGAAAAATATTACATCAAGTTCTAGCCAGCTTAATCTCCACCCCAAAACAATTATAACTTTAGGTCATCATATAAACCTTATGGTGTAAGGATTGCCATCTCATCATCTTTCATCCATTTCACTGTCATGATAGCCAATCCAGAAATGACCACTAAAATAGGTACAAAGATTTCACAAATCAATCCTCTAATATCCCTTCTGAAAATTCTAAATCTCTTCTACATCAATGCAAATAGATGCAAAAAGAAGGTGGAACAGAATCCCTAGATTTTCTCAATGTTTAAATCAACATTTTAATTAATCTCATCATTCTTTTCCTTATTTTACACATCATCAACTTATTCATGTCCAGCTCCTATTTTGGCCACTTTTAAGAACACCTCTTCTAAAGTAGTGATACTGATTCCATAGGTCGCTATGTGTAGAGTTTTCAAGTTCTTATCTAAATACTCAAACAAACTTGGGAACTTATCAATTGAATCAATTGGTAACTGCATAACCACTTCTGCAGACACATTAGATAGAACTGTAGCAGTGTTAATGTAAGTAGTGATACTGTCTATGATTTTTTAAGATTCCACTTATGTGCTGTCTTTAACTAAAGTTAAATTATATCCAACTCCGAATCTATTCTTTAAGAACACACTGCTTCCAGAGCATAATAATTTACCCTCACCCATAATACCAATTCTATCTCCTAAGAAATCAGCTTCATCCATAAAATGAGTAGTTAAAACTATGATTCTATTGTCCTTGTAATTCTTTAACATTTCCCAAATATATCTTCTTGCACTTGTGTCCATTCCTGAAGTAGGCTCGTCTAGATATACTAATTTTGAATTTCCAATGAATGCAATAGCAACTGACAATCTTCTTTTTTAACCACCTGATAGATTCTTACTGAGATAATCTGTTTTATCAGTCAAATCAACATCAGCTATTATTTTAGTTATTTAATCTTAGATTTCACTAGATTTCATTCCTTTGAATTAAGCAAACAATTCCAAATGTTCTTTTACTGTCAGATTATCAAATAGAATATCATGTTAAGGACACACACCCATTATTTTTCTTAGTTCTTCTAATTAAGTTTTGACATCATAGCCATATCCAATTACATCTCCTTTTGTAATTTCCAACAATCCTGTAAGCATAGAAATTGTTGAGGTCTTACCAGCACCATTATGTCCTAATAATGCAAATATCTATCCTTAATACATTGACAAATTGAGGTTACTTACAGCCTACTTACCATTTGGATATGTTCTATACAATCCTTTAATGATGAGAGCTTCATTTTTGAATTCTTGTTCCTTCAAAGCTTATTCAACCTCTTCAAATTTATCATCATGAGTATTCATTCTTTCCAATGACATAGATGAATGACTTACTCTATCCATTCTGTCCTTTTTCCAAATCCAACTAATGAAGAATAATGGATGTTTCTTAACCCCCCATTCGTTTGGAAATACTTAATCCAAATATACGGCCAAGATCAAATATGCAATAATATTGATGATATGCCAAGTCCAAGCAATAGAAATACTGTAATTATTTATGGCAGTCGTCAAATTTGATCCATCAAATCCATTGCCTTGTGATTCCATAAGAGTGATAACACCAAATGAAAATGCCAAAGAAGCTTGACTTGAAAAGGACACTCCCCAATATTAACTTCTACTTGGAATAGCATTTGCAGGTACCAAGTTCAACATCAAAAACATTAGTAAATACCAAACTATTGAAACTATTAATCCTGTTAAGGCTTATGAGAAAAACACTGATAAAAAGAGTGATTACACTATTAGAACCAAGCAGAACAAGTAATAATTTAAGAATATAAATCCCCAACCGGACTCTACGAATATCATACTTTCTAAACGCATATTAAATTATAAACTTACTTAAAATAGCTGTTGCCAAGATTGATATGATGCCATATATTAATATGTACTGGATTATCCATGACAAGTAAAATTAAGTGTTGCTCAATCCCATTATCTTCATACCTTCTCTCAACTTCTTCTCTTTTTCGTAAATAATTCCATGAGTCATCCTTAAAAACACAATCATCAAAGGCAATGCCAGATATATTCCATATGCTCCATTTACAAAATCTGGGAACTTATCTTCAATATGATCTCTTGATCTAACATGACTGAGAGTGGGTTCTATTGTGACAGATGAATCATATTATTGAATAATTAAATTATCAATCCAATTTTGAATAGTAAGAAATCCATTTTCGTAAAATAAGTATGTAATTTCTTGATCCTCACTAATAATATATCTAAGAATAATTACTATTTAAATGAATTAATCTTGTCCTTTCTATTCAATGGATATTCTATGTAATCAGTTGAGTCAGAAGTGTTGAATCTTAAAGTATAGCTGAAATCCTTCTAGGCAACATCATCCCTCTCAAATATTATTGCTAGACAGAGTCCTTTTGTATCTTATAACTTATTATATCCCTCTGATCTCACATAGTCATCAATTTCATCATTATTTTAGAACCACTTCACATCATATCCATAATAATCAACAAAATAATTTGATAATTTCTAAGCCACTTCATTCTCTTTTGGTCCAATTCCTATTAATCCATTTCTGTAAGAAGCTCCTGAATAATCATGATTATCAATGCAATTCCTAGCATAAAAAATATGAATACTTCAATTAGGGCAGTGATTTCAGCAATTGCTCGGTGTCTTAATTTGGATTCTTGGAAAAACTGTTTAGGTTTGGAGCCAAAATTCGAGGCAAATCTGAATCATTATGTGCTTTTAGGTAGGATGTTTCAGGTATATCATCTATTTCCACTTGAGCTCTATTTTAGCATAAAAATGTTACCTGATTGTTAATAATAATCCGATGAAAAACAAAGGAAGTATGATTTCACATACGGAACAACAACAATTCCTCTTCCACAATATATAGTTCTTTCTAAGTAAGGCTGTTAAGTGAGACATGATTTAGTAATTTATTTAATGCAAAAATCTGTATAATCAAACTCTTCTATGGGAGCATTCTATAAAAAATTCCCATTTTTATGGAATAAATTAATTATTCATCAATACTCGTTTATTTATTTAAACAATAATGTGTAATAATATAAATTAATTTCTTAGTTAATAATAATTTTATATTTAATTTAATATCTTGAAACCTTTCTTCTGTCACCTTATAGTTTCTGAATTTCAATTGAAATCATCCTCGAATATTGTTTTATTCTAACATTATACCAATTTGAAATGTATATTAAGATTTTAGACTCCATCTAACTTTCGAGGAAGGGGTTTTGGGTATTCCAGATCATATCAAATCGTTTTCTATTGTCTGGTACAATAAGAAAACAAGATTGAAACATTTGAATGTTTTAAATTTAAGAATATTATTCAATATTTTATTAATATAATTGGGGGAAGTATTAAAAATTGAATATTTATTAAAGACATGGGGGTTTATAAACTTGGTAACTCTTAACTAAATTTGAATTTTTATTTATTTTTTTTGAGATGAGCACCAGAGACGAATTGCTTTATATGGCTAGACTCACAGAGTAAACTGAGAGATTCGAGGACATGGTTAACTACATCAAACAATTAGTTAGCGTAGGACAAGAATTGTCAGTAGAAGAGAGAAACTTGCTCTCTGTTGCTTACAAAAACAGCATTGGAGGAAGAAGAACAGCTTGGAGAGTCCTTTCTAGCATTGAGAACAAGGAAGAAGGAAAGGTATAGAAATCTCACATTTTATTAATTCAAAAACTTGTCCCTTATATTAAATCATCTTTATTTCATTATTTTAGGCTCAAACCAATCCAGCAAGTCAAAGAAACCTCACCTTAATTAGATCTTATAAGAAAAAAATTGAATAAGAATTGAACGGATTTTGCAATGATGTGCTCAACCTCATCGACACCTCACTCATCAGGACAGCTACTAATTCAGAAGCTAAAGTCTTCTATTACAAGATGAAGGGAGACTATCATAGATATATCTCAGAATATTCAAGTGGAGATCAACATAAACAGGCTGCAGAAGGAGCATTAGAAGCTTACTAACAAGCTTCAAATGTCGCTAATTCAGAGCTCAAAACCACTAATCCCATTAGATTAGGTCTTGCTCTCAACTTCTCAGTTTTCTACTATGAAGTCTTGAATGACCCAACAAAGGCATGCAGCTTAGCTAAACAAGTATAAATTTTTCAAAATATCTTACAGGCTTTCGATGATGCCATCGCTGATATCGAGTAAATCGAAGAATCTTAATATAAGGATGCCACCACAATTATGCAATTAATTAGAGACAACCTCACTCTTTGGACTTCTGAATTGGAAGATGAAGAAGGACCCAAATGATGGAGGTATATGATATATATATATATATAAAATATAAAAAAATATAAACACACACCATTATGTCCCTAACTTTCAATCCTCAAGGTAGAAATTCAATCAATCATAACTAAAATTTTGTTTAGTAAATTAAAAGTTATATATATTTTTATAAAATTTTATATAATATATCAATTTATTAAGAACTAATTGAGTTACTCTCCTAAAATTCGAAATATGCTTTAATATAAGTAGCCTTAAAATAGAATTAAAAAAAATCTTATAAATATAGATTAATTCAAAATGTAGAGCATTAAGCATAATTAATTAAAGCCTAAGTTTATTTATCCTTGTAGAAGATATTTTAAGTTACTTTGTCAAAAGATAGCTAAAATTAATCAATAGGTTATTCAAATGAGAAACTTATTTTATATTATGAAGTAAATATTTAAATAATGCAAATTGAAGATGTCATCATTATTTTACTAAGTTAAATCAGCTGCAAGTAGCTATGATACTTAATAAATAAAATAGATAGTAATTTAGATTTTAATAAATTTAACTTGGCTTCATTCTTAATTTTATGAAAAAGAAATGTTCTTAATGATTTATACATCAAAAATCTCTATTATAAATTAATAATGCCATAAATCTTGTATATAATCTATTAGGCCAATTAAAATTAATTCTTATATCATTTAATAAATTATTCATATAATATTATCAAAAATAAAAAAAAATAAAATATAATATAATATCTAATAAATAGATATATATATTAATGTAAAAAATCATGAATGTATGTAAAAACATATTGGTATCGACAAATCTCCAACATTTTCAATGGTGACTTAGTTTTTAATGATATTTAAGGTGTTTGGCTTAAGTATTCTTTAAGAATGAGTAGATTCACATACTATATTATGATATTAATGTCTAATTGCGAATTTTAATTCAGAATTTTAGTTTAAAATTATTTAAACAGATTAATTTTGTTGCAATCTAATTATGAAAGCAAATCCTGAATCAAGTATTCTATATTTGGTAATAAAATTTACTATGCTGAGATTAGTTAGATATTTGTTTAGTTCTTAAGTTATCTCTTTTTTTTAATAATTGACTAGATTGCACACAGACTCATTCATTTGAATTTCTGAAATGGAAGACTCAAATAAATGCAGGGGATTAATGAGCCTTTCAATATCTAGATTAGAAATTTGTTAAAAGGAATTTATTTCATTGATGATCTCAATTTGAGATTAGTCCTTTTAATATTTGGCAGGAGTCTATAGACAAGAGGCAGTCAATATTTGCTCATTAAATACATCCTTCTGTTGATGTTCAAGCATAATTTGATAGAGATTCTTGGATCTCGGTCTCAACCAAGTCGTAGTATATTTATATTCTGTTGACTTCATAAATTATAAAAAATAATCAATCATTTAGTAATGCTATTCTCACATTATTTCTACAGGATGGACATAAAGGTTTTGCATTAAGCCATTCGTCAATACAAATATCATGAAAATAATGATTACATTTTGGCAATTAGACTACAATTTCCATCTATTCCAATTAACATAAGCAGATGGGGCAGTCTTCTTATTATGATACCTAATATTCGATCCACGGTTTTCTTGTCAATGTTTATAATTCTTCTGGAGACAAGCCTCGGTTTACAATAGGGAAATCTCCTCTGATAAGTCCAAATATCACAATAAGCACGAAGATGATAATAGTGCAAAAAGAGAGAGCATAACAAAGTGCATTGCAGAGTAAAAACAAATCGAATACCCATTCACAAATCTATTAATTGTGTATTGTACTATTATGTAGATTGATCCATTGGCAGTTTGGGCTGAGAAGGAATTTACAACTTTCACAGTTGCCAAGAAGATTGTCATTTCATATTCAAATCTACTTTTCTGTTTATAGAATCTACATAAAACTAATAGAAAGACCTATAAAATGCAAAGCAATTCTCAACTCTTACAATCAGCAACACATTGATGCTCATTAATATTCTTGCCTAATTTGCATTCAAGTTTGGCCATTAATAAATAATGAATGAGGTAAAGAGAATAGGAAGTACATATTTGAAAATTCCTTTTATTAAAAGTTTTATGATATTTAAGATCATTTCTAAAGGTTGATAATGTTTCGATTTCCTAATTTATTTTTTAAATTATGAAACTCATTAATGAATTAGTAAACAAATTGATTTATAATACCTAATCTTGTTCATTTATATCATTTATATAAAGATTTATAAGCTGTATATAATTATTCAGAAGGGATAAGTCTATCTTTAATATAAAGTGGAGCTAAAGTTTGGGATATTTGTTATTTGACTTTAAAGAATATGCCATTAAAAAGTTCTTATTATGAATTAGATAATTGATATGGGAAAGGACAAGAATTATTTTACTGTTATTATAGCAATTTATTATAGTCTTCATTGAAATTTCTTTATTCAAATATTTTAAAAACTAGAAATAATTGATATTTTTGTTTTTGTTTTCCAGATAGAACTATATTCAATAAAGTCATCTTGTTATTTTACTACCGTTTTTATAATAATACTCTGTTTCATAAATATAATGACAATTTCACTCTTTTTCTATTAATAAATGTTAAGCTATCATCTTTGTGTCATTTAAAATAATATTTTAAGAATTGGCATAATTAGTTATTTCTTATTTCATTATATTTGACATATCAAAATTATTTAGAAAACTATATTTATTTATATAAATATTTATAAAAGCTGTTATTAAATTTGAATGTCAATTATTGATCAAATTGATTTGAGTTTAGAAAAGGCAAGTAGTCTCTAATAAAAACGTTTTGAGGCAGAAGAATCAAAATAAAAATCCCTGAATTATGAAATCAATTAACTGAGAAGTTAATTTAATGAGAGTTAAGATGATTAGGATGAAGAGATGACTCCTGAGAGAAGTCATAGTCAAAATTATAGTTAATCATAATATTCACCACTCAGAAATGATATTAAATAGTTAGAATTATAAAAGTAATTACTTTAATCATCCGAGAGGAAGTTGTAGTAAGAAATTGAAGATTCAGACAATGATGATAATTAGTTATAGATATATCCTAAATATGATAAAAAACTTAAGTAATAAACTCAATAATAATAATAATAATAATAATACCCACAGCAAAAATAAAATAAGAATTAAAGTAAACAGCATAATAAAACATAAAAAGAGAGTACCTAAAAAATGAGATCCAAGAATCATCAACTAGAAAGTACTTAAGTAAGGAAAGATTTATTATAAAAAACATAAAAAAGTGTTCCAAAATCAACTTAAATAATAACAACTACAACAGAAAGAAGAAATGACAAAGAAAATGGATATGTAATTTAAGAATAAAAAACTGAATATCAAAGGTTGTAATAGCACATAAAGTCTGTTAAAGCATAAGTTTCAAATCAATTAGTAAAAAATGAGAAAGTTAAACAAGAAACACAAAATGATGAATAAAATTAATACAAAATTAGAGGATATAGAGACCAAGCTGAAATTAAATATTTTGGGTAATTATTTATTCAAATTTTTAAGACGCCCTTTGCCATGTAATGAATGTGTATTTTTATTAAATAAAGGAATGAGTTCAGATTATTGCTCTTAACACGGTAAAATGAACAAAGAAAGACCACCAAATAAAACATTGCCTAAAAGATTAGCAAAGTTTTTTTGATGTTTTATAATTTGGTTTTTATTCAATTTGCTTTTCATAGATATGATATAAAATAAAATTAAATACTAAATTTTATAAAAAATTGGATACAAAACTTGTATCATTCTAAATGAGCATTAAAAATAGGTGAAACTGAAACATTAATTCTTGATAATGTTTATTTTTAAAATAATTAATGGGAATTTAAAGATCTTCTATATTTATTGTTTCAAATTCATCATGTTCATAATATCTCTTAACATCATCGATAGTTTTATAGTTACACCCCTTTTATTAATTTCAATTCTCCTTTACCCATTTACAAAGCTTACTCTACAGTGTCAGGTTCTTTTACAAAAATTTCTTTAACAAACTGTTTATGTTGGTATACTTTTGATCGATTTATGCACTCTCTTTGTCTATTTTCAACATAATTATCCTTTGAACTTGTTACTGTTGTTTCATTAATTAAATGATTAATCGATAAACTCTGTTTTAAGAATGCTATCTTTTATTTCCAAAATGTACATGTTATTTTGTAATATTGTTTAGAACAAGAAGTATGTTATGTTGTTGACAAAATAAAGGTTAGGAAAATATTTGAGGGTTAAGTTGAGTTTGATTAGCAGGAGATGGAAATCTTAAAATAATTCGAAACATACTTAATATCTAAACGCTTTATGCCTAAGTTCTCACTCAATTAATTTTAGGTGGACTGAACCCTAATTGCTGAGGATGTTATATGCTACTAAATTTAAGTTTGATAAGACTTATGCAGCCATCCAGGCCTATATTTAATGGAAGAATCAAGCATTTCCACTTAAAGAGAATTAGGACACATCCAAATTCTTAGTAAAGGATATCTATATATTCTAGTCAAGTGGTTCTATATACCTTCATGGAAGAGACAATAGATTTAGACCGATAATCGTGGTTAATGCTGTTAAATTGGCAGCATAAAAAAATATTGACATAACCTTAGATTCAATGACAATATTTTTAGAACATGTGCTATCAAATTACATGTTACCTGGATAGATAGAGAATTGGTAATGGATTAATTCCTATAAAACATAGGGTTGTTGTAATGGATTTAGGTGGTTTGGGAATTACAAGTTTGCCAAGACAATAACTGTAAAGAGTATTAGATTATCTATAAAATAACTATCGTTCTAGAATGCATAAATGTTATGTAATTAATTGTCCTAGTACAATAACATTTTCCTGGAATATTGTAAAAGGCTTTTTAGAAGAGATAACTGTAAGAAAAATATCATTTGAAAAATCTAATATTCCAACAGGTTTATTTGAGCATAGTCATAAATCATAGGTTGAATAAAAATATGGCGGTGTTTCCTTAAATATTGATAGCCACTTTTGGTATATAAAAAGGTTTATTTTTTAAAAGGCCTCCTAAGGAGATTAGTTAATAATATTTTTTACCAACCGATAATATCTCAGATATACTAATTTCAAAACAACAATATAATAAGCTCTATGAAGTCGGGAAGCTTTCAAAGAACCATATTTGTAAGGAACTTCTTGAAGATCCAGGATAATCCAACTAGAACTCAAATATGTATTAGGATATAGACAAAAAAATGAAAGAAGAAGTACCTGATCCAGAAGAGGAACAGCAAGTTATTAACCATCTCATTCAAAGCAATCAAGGGTTCTATTAAACTGAGGTTGAAGAAAAGTATGATGTGGTATTCTGGGAAGAAACAATTCAAAAACCATTAAGTTTTCATGCTCACAAAAAAATGTTAAAATATTGAAAAATATCTATATTTTATATTTAGACAGCAATTATCTTCTGCATACCTTGAAAATCTTGCTAGGGTAATTAAATATAAAAAAAAGAAGAATAATATTAAGTCGATTTAAATGACTGAATTATTAAATATTATATATTTCTAACTTAAAAAATGGGGAATGATTGCTCAAGTGCATGCAATGTATGCAAAAATTCGGAAACTGTTGTTGATGCCACTTCGTTTCCAAACGATTTAAAATAATATGAAAACTCTAAGAATTTAGATTATACCAATACGTCCAATTAATAATAATAACAATCACTGTAATAACAGAACTTTAGTTAATTTTAACATCAACCTCTCGTGACTGAAGAAGTACATTCTCCGCATCCAGAATAGTTTAGATCTAATTAACAATTACAATAATACTTCTCATAAGCAGACAAATAAGAAACAACTAATTATCATAATGATTAAAATACACAACCTGAAAGAAGACCACCCTTTACCTTTAGAAGTGGAGCCATATATGATGGAGAATGGAGAGGCTAAGTACGTGAAGGTTTTGGACTTTAAATTTGTAATTATATGATTCTAAAAATTAGGGCCTGACGGAGCCAGATATGAAGGGCAATGGAAAGATAATAAGGCTTGCGGTTAAGGAAAGTTTTGGCATGTCGATGGCGACATTTATGAAGGGGAATGGAAAGAGGATAAGGCAAATGGTTTTGGAGTTTATATACATGTGAATGGAGCTAAATATGAAGGATAATGGAAAGATGATTTATAAGATGGAAATGGCCTTGAAACCTGGGCAGATGGGTCTAAATATGAAGGTAGTTATAAGGAAGGAAAAAAGCATGGATTTGGTAAATACATTTGGAATGATGGGTCATCTTATGAAGGAAATTGGGTGGATAATAAAATCTGCGGAAGAGGAATCTATTGTTGGACTGATGGCAGAGTATGAAATTAATTGATTATTATTAGAAATATGATGGAGAATGGTTAAATAATAATATGCATGGGAGAGGAGTCTACACTTGGAGGGACGGTAGAAGATATGAAGGCGAATATTAATATGACAAGAAGCATGGTTAAGGAGTCTATATTTGGGCAGATGGAAGAAGTATTCAAATATTATATAAAAAGAATACGATGGATAATGGGCTTATGGAAAATAAAGTGGTTAAGGAAAGTATCATCTTCCTGATGGAACTATCCGTCTGGGTTTATGGGAAGATGGTAAGAGAATTAGATGGTTGGAAGATGATGCATCAGTGAATAAAAGTAATCATTAACGTTACTGATCTAACCAATTTATTTTTATTCCATATAAATTTCTTAGAAAATTATTGCAAATACATTTTAAATTTTGATATAGTTAAAAATGTTAGTATCTAGTTACTAAAGGCTTATTCTAAATTTTATGCTAGAAAAATCCTTAGACTTTTAAACCATATTAAATGTTGCCAATTTTGATTTTTACAAGCAAAATTAGCTATTATATCAAATTTTGGATTCATCGTTAGAAAAATTGATAAATTTATTAAAAAGTTTATCAAATTCATATAAAATTTTAGGAAAAGTAAAAATCACAAAAAGTAAATAGAAAAACCTAATCTTTTTAGTCTCATGGTGGATTTCCTAAATATAATGATGGGTTGATGTGAATCAAATTTATTAATTTGATAATTAGAAGATAAAGCTATGCAATATATAAAATAATTTTAATATTTAAAAGAAAATACATATTATATTTAGTTAGATCTTCTCCGAACAAATTTAGCATCAATGATTCTTCTATTGTAATTTTGAATTATTCTTATATGTATTTCTAAGTTGAATTCGTTTTTCTTCCATTTATTGACTTCTTTCAGTTAATTATTTTAATTTCATTTCTGATTTTTGTAATTCTTCTTATAAGCATGAATAGATGTCCTTTTGGCTTTGGTCTACCTTCATTTATTTTTACTATCCTCTATCCTAGTAATTTTAAGATTGCATTTAATAATTGGTAATTTGGGATTTAATTTACTCATTTAATGGATTCTAAACAATTATTTATGGATTTTAATATTGAGGGATTATTGTTTGTGATGTAAGTATTTTTGAATTTTGTTTTTTGGGAGGTGTTAATGAGGTTGGCATTTGATGTAAAAATGATGTTTGAGATCTTGATTATAAAGGCATATCAATTTTTTATCTAATTATTGGGCTTTTGGGTTATGATACTCTAAATTGAATTTAGTTTGTTCTTATTGGAGAAATATTTTATTGGTTAACATTTCTTTAATCAAATATTTATTTTTTTCTTACAGTTTATATTAAGGATGGGTATTATATATTCTCCTTATAATATTAACAAAACTAAGGCATTTTTTGAGTAATTTGAGGGATTTTTGGTTTTAAATAGTCCTCATCATTCTGATATATAGGAGATAAAGAGCGCTATAACATTTAACAAATAAATTAAAAAAAATATTTATTTATTAACAGACTCGATTTATTTCTTAATTTGATAAAATTATTATCAATTATTTAATAATAAACAAAAATTACTCACAAAGAAGTTATCTTTATTAATAAATAATTAATTAATGATTCATAATGTTTATTCCTCATTCAAGTCAGTATTATAAAAGTAATCTAAATATAAAAGAGGACATTTTTCATAATCATATTTTAAAAATTATAGAGATCCATAAAGTATTAGTTGTTTATGAAAATCGTTAATATTTTTATAATGAAATAACAATATTCAAAATAAGAAAACTCGAAAGATTTTGAAGAATTTCATCATATTGAAGAATTGAAGGAATTATTTCTTTTAAATTCAATAAATGATGGATCAAGTTTTTAGAAAGTGGTAAAATTGGGAGGTGATTAAGGGTTGGCAAAATAATTAAAATCGCATTTATTAGTAGATATGAAAATTAATTTAAATAGAAAGGAATAGATTCAGAAGCTCAAGTGTAAGAGAATCGGGAAAAATTTGGAAATAATGATCCTATAGAAAAGGAGCCTGCATAATTATACGAATTGATTTTAGAGTGTTTTGGAGATACAATGCTGTAAATCCTATTGGTTGCTGCACTTGTTAGTACAATAATTGGAATTATAAATGAAGGTGTAAAAACAGGGTGGACAGAGGGGTATAATTGAATTCTAATATCTAGAGCAACAATATTTTTAGCTGTTTTTTTAATTGTTTCGATAACAGCTGGTAATAATTATTTAAAAGAGAGATAATTTTAATAATTAAGACGTAAATTGGATGATGGAATGATATAAGTAGTTAGAGGGGGGATAGTCGAGATATCAATAAAAGAAATAGTCGTAGGAGATATATTGCAATTTGGTATTGGAGACATCTTTCCAGTTGATGGTACATGATGATATTATAATTTAGGTTTGATGATATAGGGATCTTAAATTAAAGTAGACGAATCTCCTATGACTGGAGAGTCTGATGAGATTAAAAAATTACCATTCAATGAAATGACCCAATAATAATTGAATAACAAAGATCATCATCATTATAGTCCATTTTTGATAAGTGGTACTCGATGTTTAGATGGAAATGGATATATGTTGGTGTTGCAAGTAGGATAAAATACGATACAAGGATAATTAAAATTATTATTAAATTAAGACAACCCCCCTACACCTCTATAACAAAAATTAGAAGGAGTGGCTGAAAATATTGGAAAATTGGGTACATTGGTGGCAATTTTAACATTTATTGCTTTGATGGGACATTTACTCTATGATGTATTTGTCGACCATAAACACGAATTATTTACTTTGTTATCTTTACAATTAATAATCGAGGCTTTCATGATAGGAGTAACAATAATAGTTGTGGCTGTTCCAGAAGGTTTGCCATTAGCAGTGACAATAGCCTTAGCCTATTCTGTAGGCAAAATGAAGGATGAATAGAATTTAGTAAAGAATTTAGCTTCATGTGAAATTATGGGCGGTGCAAATAACATTTGTAGTGATAAAACAGGAACATTAACCTAGAATATTATGTAGGTGACTGCATTATGGATTGACAATCATACCTACCTTAATCAAGAGATCAATATAACTTCTAAAATTTCAAAATAATCTATAGAGATTATGTCTGAGTCTATATGTTATAATTCAATAGCAAATCCTACTAAAGATAGAAATACTAATAGATGGACATAAATTGGGAATAAAACTGAATGTGCCTTGATTGAATTAGCTGATAATTTTGGATTTAAATACTCAAATTACAGATAAAATGATAGAATTCTAAGACAAATTCCCTTCAGTAGCAAAAGAAAGAAGATGGTAACTGCTATTTTAAATCCTAAAAATTAATCTATTAGAATATTTAGTAAAGGAGCATCAGAAATTATATTACAATAATGTTTCAGGTATGTTTCCAATAATGGTGCCGAATTACCTCTCGATAAAACCAAGAAGGATGACATTTTACACAATATTATTGAAAATTTCGCATCTCACTCACTAAGAACAATAGCAATAGCATATAAAGACCTAGAACCTTAAAGTTAAGCTATAAAGGGATTTGTGAATGCAAAAGCACATGTACATTAAATAAATGAAGATGAAATTGATAAAGATTTAACATTGATTGCCATCGCAGGTATCAAAGATCCAATCAGACCTGATGTTGCAGAATCTATAAAATAATGCACAAGATCTGGAGTGACTGTTAGAATGGTTACCGGAGACAATATAATTACTGCTCAATCTATAGCATTAGAGTGTGGAATATTGGAGAAGAATAGGGCATAATAAGAATTCGAAGTAATTGAAGGTAAGAGATTTCGAGACTTGGTGGGAGGATTAGTAAATGCTAAAAATGAAGAAGGAAATGAAATAAAAGTGGTTAAAAATATGCAGATATTCTAAAAAATAAGCAAAGAAATGAAGGTTATGGCTAGAGCATCGCCAGAGGATAAATATTTATTGGTTACAGGTTTGATTTAAGAGGGTAATGTTGTTGCAGTCACAGGAGATGGTACAAACGATGCTCCTGCATTAAAAAAGGCAGACGTTGGATTTGCTATGGGAATTACAGGATCGGATGTAGCCAAAGATGCTGCAGATATCATTCTCATAGATGACAATTTTAGCTCAATTATTACAGGTATCAATTTAGATATTCCGTAGCTATGAAATGGGGTAGAAATATTTATGATTGTATTAGAAAATTCATACAATTTCAGTTGACAGTCAATTTAGTAGCTTTGTTCATGTCTTTTACAGGGGCTGTGATCTTAAAGTAATCTCCTCTTAATGCAATTGAGATGCTTTGGGTTAATTTGATCATGGATACCTTCGCTTCTTTAGCTTTAGCTACTGAGCCTCCTTCCATTAAGGTTTTAGATAGACAACCGTATAGAAGAACTGATTAAATTGTCTCACCGACAATGTATCGAACTATAGTAGGGGCGAGCTTGTATCAAATACTGGTACTCACATTTATATTGTTTCTCTTACCAAAATTCATTGATTGCTCCATCCCAGAGGAATTGATTGGATAAAAAGTATTTATTTAAATTATAATCATAAAAGTACCCTAAGAACGTAGTACAAATGAGTATCTTCTTTTAAGCATTTGTGTTAATGTAAGTATTTAATTCAATTTCCTGTCGATAATTAGATTATCACACAAGAAATCCTTTTGCTAATTTTTGCAATAATCCCTTATTTTGGGTTGTTTAAACCATAACGGTAATTGTTTAGGTTTTGCTTATATAATATGGAGGAAAATATGTAAAGGTCTCTCATTTGACATTATTTTAACATTTACTATGTGTAGGATTTGGAATTGGTGGAATCGTATTTTCCATATTATTTAAATTTATCCCAGAACAACTATGCTAAAAAATTCATCTATTTAGAGAAGAAGAAATCAAAACAGAAAAGATGGATGATACCTTAACCAGTAAACTAAGAAGAAAGTCAACTATGCGTCTACATACTAGTTAACGAAGTAAGCATGATATTGGTAGTCTAAAGAAAATGAGCTCAGATAAATTGTGAATTTTAAAATTATACAAATATTTAATCAGTAATTTATTTAAATTTCCTATATCATCCATTTAAACAAACATCAAATCTAGAGAATTTTGAGAAATATTCCCCTACCTCCATCTATCTTAAATAAGCAACCAATAGTTATAATCTCATTACATTAATCTATTTCAAGCTACATGGTAAATTTAAAAATCTAAAATTTGTTTATAAATAGAACATTCACTCTTTCTTAAAATTGCACTATTATGGTAATTTTAATATTTAACTAAAACAAAAACTATGGAAAAGTAATATTTTATATATATTTCCTTAGAGAAGCCTTGGAAATTACGTTCAAGTACTTTTGCTATAAATACACTTATATTAACATGATAGTTCTCCTATTAACACTTTATTAATTTTAAGGTGCTCCTTTGGCACTCTCACTCTTTTGTATGATATTGAATGAACTAGTTATCTGGGTTAAATATTCGAATGGATAAGTGGTAGACAAGTTTGATCACATTCTCCACGTCTTATTTTATGTAAGTCTCTGATGTCAATTTAGATGTATGTCACGCTTATGTATTATTTAGATCTGAACTCCTACATTTTCAGCAATATATTCATAATCTTGTCGTTCATTCTAAAAATAGCATGTGACAAGAAATATAATGAGTAGCAGGATTATTCAACCATTATACGATTGGTATTTTTATTTTATATTTAGAGTATAATTTTCTATCGATTTTCACTATTAATAGCTATGCTTTGTATCACTTTAAAAGTCAACAATTATGTAGATTGGACATGGTCATAAACTTTTTGGTGGTATTGGATGTTTTTGAGTGGATTAATTGGAACAACAATAACTTTTTTTTTGATATTAATCTCTAAACTAATTAGGTTTAAATGCAGCACAAGAATAAACCAAACAAAAAATGAAAGTACTACATTCACACTCTAAATTAGTTAAATTATTAATATGGCTATTGTATATTGCAACTTTAAGCAGTGTAATAGCAGGAATTTGGATAGTAAATACATTAAATGAACTTGGAATTGATTTCAATATAAAAATAGGAGACGTTTTTATCTACATCATTATACCTTTGAATATTCTCATATTTTACACAATCTCATATTCATTTTTCAATTCAGTGGTTGAATATGTTTTAACAATAAATTAAATTGAAACTACAAATTCAAATCCAAAAATACATTCATAAAATAAAGAGAAATAAAATAAGAAGGAGTTAATTAAGTCATCAATTTTCATGTAAAAACTATCAAACGCTTACTTTAGAAAAATAACAACCTTGGAAATTTCAAAGCTCAAAGATGCAAGTTAAAATGAAATACTAACTGAGAGAAATATGAATAAAAATATTATTAAAAAAAATAAACCCTTTCATTGTAATTCTAATAACAAATGTATTATCTGTTGTGAAAAAGTTTCGAATGCAGTATTTATGAATTGTGGCCACGGGGGAATTTGTTATTAATGTGCAATTCAAGTAGCATAAAATTAAAAGGAATGCTTTCTTTGTAGATAGATAATTTTGTAGATTTATGAAATTGATGAAAAAGATGTTAGTATATTCAAAAGAGTGATCTCAAAAACTAGAATTTCCAATTGATACTTTTTTTATTAATATTTTTAACAGTTTATGAAATCTCAATTCGAAGTTTTCCTTAGGCTAAAACCTTCCAACAAGTAAAGATAATCATGTATAGTAGCTAATCCTAAAATGCTATGCAATACTAAATTTATCAGAATAAAAGATTACAAGTATTATTGCCTAAACATGTTAAATTCGGAATGATCAACAACAGTCGAGACAATTTGGATTTCAATTTTACTCATGTTTTTGATTAAAAAGCAAGTCAGGAACATGTATTTACAAATGTCACAACTCCTGTTATAAATAGGTATTGAAGTATAATTCAAATTTAGTTTTTTGGATGGTTATAATGCCACTATTTTTGCTTATGGATAAACAGGATCAGGTAAGACTTATACAATGAGTGGAGCTGAAACATGGTAGTTGAGAGGAGTTATACCTAGAGCACTTTCATATATTTTTGATGAAATCGATAAAAGAACTAAATTTGAATACAAAATCTATATTTCATTTATGGAGATTTACAATGAAAATGCATATGATTTATTAGAAAAAAGACATTTGGAAACTCCGTTGGAATAGTGGAACAAAGTATTAATATCCTAATTTTAAAGATAGCATTATTTGAAGATGATCAAAATAATATTCATTTAAAAAACCTATCCATTCATTAGTGTAACAATGAGTAGGAAGGAATTGATCTGCTGATGATGGGAAATTTTATAAGATAAGTTAGCTCCACTCCTATGAATTAATCAAGTTCTAGATCTCATTGTATTTTCACAGTAACTCTTGAAGGATGTGACACAACAAGTGAAACTTGTTTTGTTAGCAAATTACATTTAGTTGATTTAGCAGGATCAGAAAGAATTAGCAAGTCATAGGTTGAAGGCAATTTATTGAATGAAGCAAAATATATCAACTTATCTCTAACCTATTTAGAATAAGTCATAATAGCATTAAATGAAAGGATGAAAGGAGCCAATAGACAGCATATTCCTTATAGAAACTCATTGATGACAACATTATTAAAGGATTCATTGGGAGGCAATTGTAAAACTGTGATGATCGCGACAATAAGTTCTGAAAATGATAATATTGAAGAGTCACTTTCCACTTTAAGATTTAGTTAAAGAGTGGGACAATTAGAGAATGAGGTAATAAGAATTTACAATATTTTAGATAAGGAGAAACGAAAAAGTAGATTTGGAAGCTGTTGTAAAGAGATTAGAACAAGAAAAACTTGCTTTGATAAGGGAATTAGAACAATATTAAAGAGGAGGGACATCCACTTCAAGTAATAAGAAAATTTAATAACAACAATAAACTTTGTTGCCTTAATCAAGTGGAATGCCTATTAGTCAAAAAGAAGTGTAAGAAAAAGTTGAATTATATCTTAATGAAAGGATTCCTTTATTGGATGTGAAAAGTGTTGAAGAAACATAGAAGTGTTTTGAAGCTATGAAGGATTTATATAATACAAGAATGAAGGAATATGTGACAGAACTTACATTCATCTCTGAAAAGTTATAAAAATATGATGAAATATTGACAAGAAAGTATGAAAACATAATAAGTATTAGAAAAGAACAGAGTTCCTTCCTTGAATAAAAAGAGAATAGTTCACCTGAAATTGAAGTTTATAGAAGAAACGAGTCTCCACAGATTTAATTCAAGAAAAGACCAAACTAGTGATAATAAATATATTTATATATATATATATATATTTGCTAATCCAATTAATTAACCATATCAAATACTCAAGGATGCTCCTTTTCCATCTAATTCTGCTGCTTCTTCTTAACTAACATTGGATTGTTTGGCCTAAATCTAAGCATTTACTTATGGGCCCAATTAATTAATTATAAAGCTTAAACCCTTCTAATTAACTTCTGTTGAGTTCAAATTGACCGAAAGGTTAACCAAAATAGGCAAATTATGAAGGAACTAATTTAATAAAGACAATGAAATACTTTGCCTAGTTTACGAGCTCCTTATTCAGTAATTTTATTATAATGAACACTGATATTAACACTCTTTAATGAAACCCATTTAGATGCAGAGAATTATTTATTTAAGTTTGCCAATGAATTATCAGTTAATTAATTTCTTCCGACATTAATTGTCAATTCAACAAGAGTTTCTGCGAAATTGGTTACCTGTTGGATTAATCCAGCAAATCCATCATCTTTGATTGCATTACTTTGTAATGAGTATCCTGAGAAGTTAAGTGTCAGCTTCTTGACTCCTTTGTATGTTGACAAGGCATCTCCCAATTATTGAGCTGATTTATTATCCACTTGAGATTGACTTATAATATTATGATTATAATCTACCTGAAATTGAATAACACTCTTGTAACTTAACTTCCTCCAATAGATTTCACAGCTTTAGAAATATGTTAGACTGCTGCATTAACATTAGATTATTCTGCCAATACATTTACTTCCTCTAAATTAGGTAATTTCACATTCTTAAATTCGGTAAAGAATTCTTTTGCTGCGTTTACTTAGACCTATGAGGAGAATTCAAAAGTCAACACCTTTAATTATTCTGCCTATGATATTGCTATTGTTATATTAAATATTATATACCTTAAGCAATATGTGATAATCCTTAAGCTTTTCCACTCACTCTCCAATTAATTTGTAAATTCAAAATGCCTGTTAACTTTTATATTGATTCTGCAATAGATTTTGATTCCTCCAAGGTAAAATCACCAATGTGGAGTATTATTCTTGTCTCTGGAGTAATCATTGTATTTAACAGTAATGCAAATGCTTCAGCTGTCTCAATATTAAGACTAACGAAATTTTGTTATTGAATTGAAGAGTCTTCTTAGATGATGTTTAATAATTGATCTCCTAATTTCTTAATTTATGAATTCCAAAACTTTAAAGCTAATTCTGTTTTGTCCTAAACAGCCTAATTTAAACTTTATTCCAAATTATCTCTATAGAATTGTTCTTTGGTTTTATTCCACACACACAATTCATTTGGGGCATTTCTCCAAGCTCTCACCTTTTTTGTTGTTGCAAACAAGTATTCTGGTAATTCTGGGGCTGCTCTCAATTCAGAAATCTATTTATTTTTAATTCTATTATACTTTATCTACTATTTCTTTTGGCTTTGGAATTGTAGCCTCCTATTCAGGATCACTTCTTAAGACTGTCTACAAGGAATCAAATGCTCTTTACACATTGTTACCTTCGCCTTATGCGCTTCCCACCAACTTAGACACAATATTATTGCAAGCATCTTCATACCCTTGCTATAGTTTTTAATTTAGTTATTTAAAAGAGCTAACTTGTTCTTGAACTTATCTCTCATAAGCTTTTTTTTATGTATTATAATTTTGAACAAGCTATTATGATTCAGCATCTGGAACATAGGCTAATGGAGACTTTTTAGTCAAATCCCTAATTTATTTATGTATGCCATTTTTACTATAAAAAGTCTTCAATAACAACTAATTCAGACTTTCCTCCAGTTTCATGTAATCTTTGACTTACATGTCTAGCTGTCAATAACTTGCTATTCAACACTTCCTTTGACTCAGAAACAAGAATATAGGGTTCGTTATCAGTTGGGTTCAATAATTGAGGGAATTCGAAATCCATTAATTAAATATTGTCTCATCCCGCCTATACTTAAATTCAATTATATTGTATATTCTAATTCATATTTATTTATCCAATGAAATTTAATATAAGTTATAATATATATATCAAAATAAAATTAATTGAAAATTTAATAAAATGTAACAACCTCAAAATCATTCAGATTAAATACATTTAAGTCAATCTTATTCAAATTTATGTTGGCTAATTTGAAAATTATTTCAAGAACCCTTTTAAAATTTATAATCTCATTTTTAAATCTTGTATTTATAAATCTATTCGAAGATTTTATATAATATTGTCTTTACAATATATCTAATTGTATTAAGATTGAAAAATATTGATATACTCTGGATATTGTAAGATGTAATACCTTTATTTCAAATAGTTTTATTGCAGAATTTAGGAATATTATTATTAAATAAATATATAAGTTCAATAAATTCTATCTATTTCAACATATAAGATTAACCTAAGCATTTGAGTTTATTGATCAACTTAAAGAATTGTTTATAAACGATTTTTATCAGAATATATATTCAATCATATAAATGTGGTATCAAAAATATGATATTAAAGTTTATAATTGAAAATCAAAAATTTGAAAGTAAAAACAAAACTCTATTTTTAAGCATATCTCTATCATTTTATAGATAAATAAAATAAAAAGATAATATGTTTTTTAGATACAAAAGTGTATAATCAAATTAACACTTTCAAGTAATTATATCTAGATTATTAAACAGCCCTAAGAAAGAATTTATGATTTGGAATTCTGAAATGACAAATTTGACTAACGTTTTATGAAATTAGATTTGTGTAATTAGTATAATCATTTTAACAATAAAAATTAATGTTTTAAAAGGAGCAAAGAAATACTACCAATTCTGGATATCAGAGTACTTCAAACGCCTATATTATGGCCATGAAGGCACTTCAGGAAAAAATAAAAGCAATGGAAACCTAAAGAAATGATTTATAGCCTTCTAATAAAAAGAAGATTAAGGATGATGAAATTTTGATCTAGTAAATACAAGAATTGAGAAATTAAAATGAATCATTATCTATTTAACTATAAAGACAATAAAATGATAAAGAAAATATTAATAATTATATATTATAAATTGAAGCTTTGCAATAAGAGAGATTAATATAATTGAAAGAATATCAAGATAGAATTGAAGAACTTATTCAAAAAATAGAAGAAGGTAAGAAGTAAAGATATGAGATGTAGAATAAAATAGATCAATTGTAAAAGTAGTTGGAATAGTATAAAATAAATGAAAGAGGATTTATGCAGAAATTGGATCAACAAAAATTAGATGAGAATTAAAAATAAAATGAATTAATATTGGATTTAAAGCATAGAGCGGAATAAGGACAATCATATGCAAAAAAACTTGAGAAGAGATATGAGAAACTGTAAAATGAGAAACACTAATTGGAATCAAACTATATAGATTATAAGGAGAGATTCCCTGCATTTAAATTGCAAGAATATGAAAAATAAATTTAGATGTATAGAAGTTAATTGGAAGAAAAGGAAAGGGTATTTTTGAAAATGATGGAAGAAATTTAGGAATAATTTTAAACAACAGAAGATCAATTGACCAGGAGAATCTAAGATTTATTAAAAAAGACTAATGAACAATAATCTACAATAAATAAATTGACTACTGAATTAAAAGATTTAAATTTAAAGCATCAGTAATTGTAATTGAGATTGGAATATGAAGAAAAAAATAACAAATTTAATCGTAAAAGGATGAAAAATGCATCCTCTTTTGAAGATTTAGAACTTGATATACCAATCAATAATCCAAGCTAATATTATTTAAATTATCAAAATAAGAAAGGTGCAAAAGTAAATGGAGAACAATTCTAACCCCAATTCTCTAGTCCTGTATTTGAATAAAGTTTAGTAAAATCTAACAATGCATTAAAACAAGCAATAAAGGATTGTTTAGAAGATATGAAATAAACCAGCCTAATAAAGCCTGAATCACATTTATATGGAGACCAAAGCTTATAATAAATTTCAAAAAACAAAAGAATATCGCCTCCTATCTCGGCAAGAACTAATGAAATTGATAATTAGCTGAAATAATTGAATAATAGATATGAATAATTATTAAGATAAGCTCAGAGAGAATCAGATTTTAAGATAAAAGCCTAAATTCGAAAAGAATTATTAGATATCGCCGAACAAATAAAAGAGTTAAATAGAAAATGATGAAAATAATTAAGCCATTCACTATTGATATAAATCACATTGATAATAATTTTTACTTGTGCATCTCAGAGTTGAGAGAATGATAATTCATAATTTCTTCGTTTGGGAACTTCTTTCTGCAGATTGGGCAAATATATAAAATCAGTCTAGTTTGAGCCTCAACTTGATTTATAATGGGTTTAGAAGGTGTAACCTTGACCTCTGGCTTTTTTGTTTATTATAATTTTTCCCATTTCTTTAATTCTAACTCAGCCTTTTTCCTTATCTAGGCTTCAGTTAATTGAGGCTGTGCTTTATTGATAGCTTTGGTAGGTAGAGGAGATGGTTATTCATCCTCTTTATCTGATTTGACTTCTTCATCTACTTCTTCAACCTTTTATTGCTTTTTTTATTGGGATTATTATTAACTTGGTTATTACTATTATTAAGGTTTAGGAGCATGAATCTTGGGCGGTAGTTACGTCATTAAATTCATTGGTGGAGTTGACAATGTAAGTTTTTACTCTTATTTCAATATAATCCTCTCTTGAGCCAGTTAAGCAGCTTGGTATGGGGCTTAAACAATTGGTTAGACAATAGAAACTTCCGGCATTTATATCGGTAATTAAGGAATAGGTTAAGTTTAAGGTGATTGATTGTGTTAGATAGGTGGAATCTAAGGGATTTAATGCATTGGCATAGGCATAGGCATAGGAGAAGGTATAGGTATTTGCATAGATATAGGCATTTAAATTGGTATGGGAATCTACATTTGAGTTTATTGCTGTTGTTGGATAATATCTTAGGGTTATTATGGTTGTTGTTATGTATTAACTTGAGATGAAATTTATGAGGGAATCTATGGTTGTAATGGTCCTTGTGGCTGCATCACAAATTAGTTATTTGGATAGAATCTAAATTTAGTCCTATAGTATACCCAAATGGTTTAGAATGGTCTTCATATCGTGATGCTCTATTGTTTCTGGAATACTATATTATTAGTTAATCACCATGAAGTCTGACTTCGTTTTAAGTAACATATCTATAAACATTCTCTGCGTCTTCAACACTAAAGAATTCTACAAAAGCAAAATCCTTTTATTCTTTCATTCTTGGATCCTTAGGTACTTTGTTTTTGACTAGTCTTATATCTTTAACAGCAGCAAGTGGAGCAAAGATATCTAATATGTCACTGTCAGTGGCATCAGCTATGGACTTAATTTCAATAAGGAAAGAAATACTTTTGCTTTTATCATCAAGCTAGTGTTGCATATGGAATCATCAGTAAATCCAGTAGGAGGAGCCATCATGACACTCAATATCTTACAGTTTATATTTCTTGGATTTAAACATTTATTGCATTTGTGTCTTTTTGCAAAATTTTCATATCCACATTTATCACATATCCAATCATAACTTGTAGGAGGCTAATTAATTAAACTGTTTTTTAATTCATGTCTATTCTAATTATTATTATTATATTCATTACTCTTCTCTATCTACCACTTGTATCATCATAAAAATCTACATTAAGAGTATGTTCACCTATTTATATTTTACCTTTTAAATATATTAACACTTTTCTTGCATAATCAACAGTGCAATATTTTATGTATGCTTACCCAAATGCATTTATTATAGAAATTTCCTCATGAGGAATGACATTGGCTTCCATTGCAGCCTCATTAAATGCACTATCCAATTATTATTTAGTTAAGTTTTCTGGTAAATTCTCCAATAATAATACCATGTTATCGTGATTTTTGGGTCTATATCTGGGTATTTTTTCAGAACTTGATGATGATTCTGATTAGGAAACAGATACAGAAACTGAAGATGATGGTCTTGAAGCACTTGATGATGAATATTTCCTATTTTTTCTCTTTTGATGACGATCCTTTCTTTTTCTATCGTTTTTGTTGTCATATCTATCATTTCTATCATTATTTCTTTCATTATTTCTTTCGTTGTTCCTTTCATTATTTCTATCATTGTTTCGATCATTATTTCTCTCATTATGCTTTTCATTACGATCATAATTAGATTTTTCATTCCCATACTTATTATTTCTCTCATTATTTTTATGATGAAAATCCATTTGTAATTTAAAATAATATCAAATTTTACATACAAATTTTCACTTATAATTTATTTAAAATATTTAAAAATACATTATATGATTGAGCAAATAGTAATACTAGAATTTAATTAGTTTGTAATTTATCTATAGTTTGTAAGTTAAAAACAAAAATAATAAATTCTAATTCACTTATATTCAATGTGGCAAAGCTTTGTAGTTGCAGTAGTTTTATATGAGTTAACAATGTTTATCTGTTTTAGTTTGAATTTTAAGCACTTTAGGATTTTAATGATAAATTTATTTTCATTTATAGTTATAAAGCATCCGTTTTATATAATTTTATATTGAAAATGAAAAAGGAAATTTTGATAGTAATGACTTTACTCATGTGTATTAATGGAATTTAACAGAGTAATGGAATACTAGATCTCTAAAATTTAAAAGCGCATTAACTATTTACAAAAGTAAACAAAAATGTTACATAATAAGAATGTGTAATTTGATTAAGAATTCGATGAAGTTCCAAATGTGGTAGTATCAATCAAATAAATAATTGGGGAGCAATATGAACTTTACACTAGAACTAGCAATATCAATTTAAAAGGTATACATACAATGTTTTACTTAGACAAGGATTTGATTTATAGATAATCAGCTCATCAAATGTAGATGAAATAAAAATCAATTATCTAGCAATCAATGATAACTCTTTGAGCATTGTTTGTGAGAATTACCAAACAAAAAAGGACTAAATAATAGTTCCTTTAAACTTAGAGCACTCAAAGGTAGCAGCATTTGTTACAGGATTGAAATTGTAAAAAAATGAAAATGTTAACTTCAAATTGAGTTCTATAACTAACTCATAAGTTGTTTTTGAAACTAAATAAAAAGCTGTGGGTCTTTGTTTAGTTATTGGTGATGAAGATAAAATTTTTGTAACTAAACAATAAATAACAACTACTTTGAAGGATAATAAACTTGAGTTTAATGTTGAGAATATTGAAGATTCAATAAAATTGTAATTTTTAATCTATATTATGATTAGACCTTTGGAAAATTAAATATTATCATTTGACGATATAGTGAACAAACTTTCAGTTGAGACTAAGGAAGAAGAATAGTAAACTCAATTGTCAACTGAAGAAGAATAGTACCTCGATATTGATAGTATCTAAATAGAAACCTTAGGAATAAACATTATTTAGTAAAATAATGAGGAAGATGTTATTTAATCAGTTGATATTGAATATTTAGAGCCTTAAAAGTAGGTGCAAGAAGATTAATTATTAAAAATAGAAGAAAAACACATAGAAAAAGTTGAAGAAAAGATCAGTGAAATAGTAGAAGAATAAATGCAATTAGAATAAATTGAAGAAAAAAAGTTTTTAGCATAAATGAGTTAAGTTAATGTTGAGAGTGTTCAAAACGTAGAGGATTCAATTTAATAAGAAATTGCCATAGAAGAAATATATCAGGTTGTACCTTCAAATGTAGATGAGCTTGATATGGATGCATTATATAAAGAATTCACATTGGGTTAAGAACTTAATGATGATTTGATTGCATATAACAATCAATTTTAATAGTAATAATAATAATAATAATAATAATAATAATAATAAGATACTCTACAAGTAATTTAATCTGTAGATGTTGTTTAAGATTAATTAGTTAATGAAATATAATCTGAAGTTATTATTGATACAAAGGAAGTACAAACATAAAATTAAACACCAGAATAAAATCAATTATAAATTGATGTACCATTATTTGATGAAGATTTATCATTTGATGATATTGATTTAGAATTAGGTTAAAAAAAGGATGAAAAAATATAAAAGGCTTCTTCTGCTTAACATATAATCGATATTTATAATGCATTTGCAAATGAAGAGGCAGAAAAATTAAATTAAAAAGAGAATGAAGAACATCCATTTGTTGAAGTGGAAAAAGAAACTCAACCTGAAGAACAGCCTGATGAGCTCGATAATTAATTATCTGGGCTTAGAGAGGGGCTAGAAGGAATTGATTTTTCTTTATTTTTTGATGAGTATGCAAAACCTAATCAATTGGTTGTAAATCCAGAACCAGAATAATAATTTGATTAAGAATTAATATAAAATAAAAAAACTTAATAAAAGTATGAAGAACCAAAAGAATTTAAATAACCTAAAGAGAAAATAGAAGATGTAATGAAAGACCTATAAATAACTAATGATATCACATCATCAGAAGATGAGAAAATATTAATAAGTTAACTCAAATAGAAATCAGCAGAGTTAAAATAGAAATTATATGATTAATATGAGACTGTTCCCAAATTGGAATAAGCTAAAAAATAAACTGAAGTATCAATACATCCTATCGATGAATAATGTAAAAATTCAATATTTAATTTATAGATCCAAAAATAGAATCCGATTCTAAAATAGATTATGAAGTAGAAAGCAAATATATGGAATGGTCAATGAGTTAAGATTAAAAAATAAAAAAAATAGGATTAGATTTGACAGAAGATGACCTGAGAAATCCAAGATTTTCATTGTTATAAATGGATCAAAAGTCAGAGCTAGATATTTAGAAATAAATTAATGATTTCTTGGGATTAGATGACATATCATTTGTAATGATTAAGTAAAATCTAAGAAGAAGATGACATATATTAAAATAATACATTTAATTATTTATGAAAAGATTACAGCAGATTTTTTTCACTTATATAACATAATTATGCAAAATGACAGATTCTATCTTTTAGTTTTATATAAAATAAATCAATAATAAATATATGGGTAAATGATTAAAATTAAATACAATAAAATCATTTCCCTGAAGAATTTGAGTAATTGAAGAATTTAGCTTTTGGAGTATCATTGCTAGAATTCCAAAACTTAGGACTCCTTTCCACGGCATAGTATTTCGATTTAGTTTATAATAATTCTTTTTCCATTGACTAATATTTCAAACTTCTTGTTGGTTGAGCTTAAATCAAATTCTATATTTCTTGTTTACAATCCTTAAAAATAAATATGAAATATATACAATAACTTCTTATAATAATAATTGAACTGATTAGATAATCTTATCTCCATCTCCTAATTTATTAGATCTATTTTTGTCTAACCCCAAAATCTAGTATAACTTGCACATTTGACTATTTAATCGTTAATTTTCTAATAACAGCTTTTGCTATAATAGAGATATATATATATTAATTACTGTGTCATAAATTAATTTTGAATGAGCATCTATGCCGTAATAAGATTTAAATGATCCATCTGAAGGTCTATATCTATGTGATGAGGATGGTGTTTCCCTCATTGACATATCCTAAACGGTTTCAGAATATTTTGATCCTGGAATGTGTTGACTTCCTACAGATCCTCTCTTTGATTTCAATACTTCATCTTATAGAATTTAAACTTTGAATAAAGCCTATTCCTTTTGTTTACTTATCTACTAATTCTCATACTCCCTTTCAGCCTTCAATAACAATTAGAATTACCAATATAGTATTGTGTTCTTATTCAAGTCTTGAATATTGATCCTTAATTTATTTTATTTCATCTTCCTATTATGAACAAAATTGATTGGCCTTTTCATGCACTTCCTTTAACGTTTACTCACTTTATAATAACGCTTGCTCTAATTATTCAATAATCTTATGTTATTATAATTAATTACTTTCATTTTCTATTCTAAACTCTATTTCAGCTTTTTATTTTCTTTGGCTAATTAATCTTATGAATTAAAAGAGGCATTAAGCATAGAAGCACTATTAGAATTTTAAAATCCATATTCTTTCTAAGGAGTCTTCTGCTAAAAAATTCTTTTTTGAGTTTTACTATCTGAACTGCCATATAGAGTTTATCCCTTTAATTAATTAATATAAATACTTTTACTCCTTTTATTGGAGAGAGTGTGTTGTCAATTTTACTTAATAATTCTGATGCTTCATAAACTTTTTATTTTTGGCTGTGTTTTTTCTCAAAGTCTAATTGCTGCTATATCTTTTTAGTTTATTATTTGTAATCTTCAACTTACTTTATTTAGAATTCTAATTCTCTTCTTAATCTTTCAACTTCTCGTTTATATGATTCACTTTAAGTGTCATTTATTTATAATTGTTGTTTTAATGAAAAAAGTTCTTTTGATAAATTTGTCAATTAATTTGATTATAAGAGTATCTAGTTAGTTTGATTTAATTTATTTTATTCAACTTAATTAATTAATGAATTTTGAGCCTCTAGTTACTGAGTTTTATATTTCACTTAATCTGACAATTTGTAAATAGTTTCGTCCTTCTTCAAGATTTCTTCCTTATCATAATTAATGTCCTATTGCATTTCATCTAGCTAATTGTTTAATTATTAATTTTCTTATACTAATTTTTCATAATTCTATTTTAATTGCAAATTCTATTCTCTCTACTCTTATTCTGATTTCTTTATTTCCATTTAAATCTTTCTGCTTTATTCTAACTCTTCTTAAATTGCTAGCATTTCCTCATTGAATTTTGACATTTCATTTTATTATTATTAGGCTAACACCTTATTCTTTTGTTTAATTTCTTATATTTCCTTTTTTGAATGTTATAAATCATCTTGTAAAGCATGTAATTGAGCTTATGACTACTGATATTTTTATAGAACCTCTGATTAGCATTTTTGCAATTCATTTACTTTGCCTTATAAAATTTACTTTTATAGCTTTGCTTCTTCTAATTCTAATATTTTATTTTCTTGTAATGAAATTTAGTCGATTAATTTAGTCTTCTCTATTTTGGCTTAATCTATCTCTTTTTTAATAGATGATATTTATTATTAATAATTATCCAATAATTTATTTAATTTTTGATTTTCTAATTTAATTTGATCGTTTTCGTTCTTCTAACTCTAATATTATTAAGAAATTTATTAGGATAAGGAAACTTCCTTATTTAATTTATCCACTTCTTTCTTATAATGAATAACCCATATTTTTTGCTCCTCAATTCCTTGATTACTAGATAGTAATTACTGTTGCAAATCCTTAATTTAATTTTTAAATTAGTTAGTTACAATTTCCTTTTCTTTTTATGAGGTTTGTAATTTTTATTCCAATTGATTAATACACTATTCTTTCTTATCTATTTCCTCTAAGTAATTTTACTTTTCCTTTTCTAAATCTTTAATTTTTTTTTCAGAAGTTTACATTTATTTAGAATTCTGTTAATTCTATTATTTATTTACATTATTCTCGGCCTCTAATCTCATTTTTAAATTCTCAACTTCACTTTATTTAGATTATAATATTTCATTTAGAGATTTCGTCTTTTCATCAAGAATTTAAGCCGAAGTATTCTCTTTAATTTACAAATCATTGATTATTTATTTCTATTTTTCAAATTGATGATTCAATTAATCTAAGGCTCCTTTCAATTCGGAATTACAATTAGAATACTTATCTATTACCTTCGATGCCTCTTCTAATCTATTACTATGATCATCAAGATCCTCTTGTAATTTTAGTATTTCATTATCTTTTTGTTTGATTATATCGAAAAGTAAATTTTGTTGATTCATGAAATCTTCATTCTGAATTTTCAACTCATAATCCTTCTGTTCTACATCTGTTTTCAATTGCTCAATTACTTGATCTTTCTCTGGAAGAGCCTTGCTTCTCAACTCAAAGCAATTATCTTCAAACTCTTTTTGCTTTTCATTAACTTAAGATATCTATTCTTGATATTCCTCTTCCTTCATCATTAACTCTTAAACTGCCTGATTCAATTCTTCCTTCTTAATCAAAAGTTCTTATTCTAATTATTTAATAATCACCCTATTTTCTTCTAATATTTTTTCATAATGCTATTTGAGTTCTTCAATTTCAGCATCTTTCTATTGAATTCTTCTCTCATAATCATTCTTTTATTACTCTAATTATTTATCCTTCAACTCCAATGCTCTTTTTTATTATTCTTCGAGTTCTTAAAATGAAGCCTATTTATCTTCAAGTTAATATTCATATTCATTTCTTTGTTAATCTATCTCGTATTCCAGTTTATCTTAATTTTCTTTAAGAAGCTAAAGATAAATTGAATATTACCTCAAATTCCTAATTTCTATTTTCTAGTTACAATTTTGTTTAACCTAATTGTGTGTTCAATTATGAAATCTAATTTTATAGTTAATTAATTTAAGTTTATATTTCTATCTCTTATTGATTAACAAATTAATCTAGCTATCTTTTATTTTCATTTTTCAATTGCTAGATCTCAACTTCATGTTGTTTTACTGCAGTTTGTAATTAAGTCTAGTACTCTTTTTAAACATTAATTTATTCTATTTTAGATTGATTAGTGAAGCTTTGAATCTCTTTTTAATGCTATTGCTCCTATTGTTCTTATTATTGAATTAATGATTATATTTAATTCAATAGATTATCTATTTACTTTTTATTTTCTAATTCTATGTTTTATTTTTCTCTAGTCAACAAAAGTGTTTATTCTTTGAGTTCACTATTTTCAGTTAAACTAGAATGAATTTAATTTATTAAATTATTTTACTCTTGCATTGACTTTTGTAATTAAATTAGTAGAGCTTCATTTTATTACTTTTATTCTGATAATTAATTATTTAATTCCTCTAAATTTTGATTACTTTATATTTATTAATTATCTTTTTCATTTTACAAAAGAATTATTTTTTACTTTAATTATTCATTCTCAGCTTAGTATTAATTGACAGTACTGCTCAATGTGTCTGACTATAACTTTGCTTACTCTAATTATATTTATTAGGATTAAAGTTATTAATTTAATTATTGAATCTCTTACTTGCTATCTTGTATTTATCCATTTAATTAATGAGCTTCTTAAATACATTTGTCTTTTTATTCCACAATTTACTTGATCTCTTATTCTTTTTATATTAATTATTGATTTAATTATTCAACTGCTCTACTCTTCAATTCCAATTATTCATTTTATTAATCTAAAGTTAAGTCTCTTTATTTGTGATCAATGACTCTAATTTCATCTTCAACATCTATTGTAATACCTATTTTATCAAGAGATTGTTTAATTTTTTCTTCTTTTTCGACTTATTTTGCTAATCGTTCATTAAGTACTTCTTGTTCACTTTTTAATTAGGTAAATTCTTCTACTGGTACATAAACTTAAGAGAGTTATGATTAAATTTAATTTTGTAATTTCTTTCTTTCATCTAAGGATCCCTTACATAATATATAAAATCAATTACATTAACAGTTGATACAATTGTATTGAGCAATTACACGTTTTCGGTTATTTACAATTTAGCTTTTTCTACATTTTTGGCAGATCCTTCTTTGATTCTCAGACTGTCAGAGAACTTTTTCATGACTGCAGCCTGACTCAAAAGGGCTTTGGAGAGTTCTTCTTGATAATCGTTTGATAAATCTTCAGCTCCATTGGCGTGTTTCAATCTAACGATTTATTCATTTTATAATCTAATGATTAATTTTAATTGCTATTCCAATTAAGAACTTAATTAAAAAGCTTCCCTTAATTCTTTAATTCCGCTTAAGTACTTTTCTATTTCTAAATACAGGGCAGTCTCACTCTCAGTAGATTGTTCAAGATATACTTTGAGTATTTCTTCAAGTTTAATGTATCTTTAATCATTTGCGTTAATATCTTCAAAATTGATATTATGCATGGCTAATTATGATGAGTATTTTACCTATATTTTATTTGATAGGAGATTCTGCTGATTTGGATGTGGTTTAGAGACCTACAATCCATTTGGCTAATTCTTATTTTAATCTTTTGATTTCATTTTTGAGACTTTCCAAGGATCCACTTTCATCCTCATTAACTCTAGCCTTATTCTTAACTTGTTTGACTCTTTTAGAGAATAGGAGTGTAGAGAGTGTTTCCTAATAAAATAAATTGGATTATTGTATATTTGCAATGAGATGAGTTCTGGAATTACCTCCTAGAGAATCTTTTAGTAAGAACGTGAGTTTTGAGTCACGATAATGCACATATCTATTTTATTCTTTGTCTTCCACCAATGAATTGATAACGTTGCCGAGAATGTGGAGACTCCTATTGATTTAGCAACCTTCTCGAAGTCTTTCACCTTAGACTTAGGTATGCTTCTATCGTTCACTTCCAGCCAGATCCACAAAATGGAATCTAGAAAATCTGTGATTGATAAGTGAATGACTTTGTCTTCTGGATTCCAATTAGATAGTGAAAACACTATGCGAACGGGAAGATTCAAAATTCATTTAAGTTGATGAGATATGTCTATTTTCATTGCCACGTTAGACCACTTCCATGGCTTCTACAACATTGGAACAACATTCTTCAGTCAGAAATTCAACGTATACTCCTTTGTTTAGATCTTCTCGCAGTTGCAAGTTACCCAAATCAGGATTAAGAAGATCGATAATGTGTTCATTATAAATTTCGAGATGTGAGCACTTGATTAAGTATTCGACTGAAGGATCTTTTTCTTAGTCATCAAAGACGCATCGAAAGAGATAATCTATAATACGTGGTAGTAGCCCTGGCTACAGCGATGTCCCAGTCATAGTGTAAGTTTTACCTGACCCTGTCTAACCATATACAAATACACATCCGTTGTAGCCTAAAATTACTGTTAATCATACCTTCTAAACAATTGCTGGCTTGTTGTTCTCCAATCATCGAAAAGATATCTTCCTATGTGGTATCTGGTCCAGCAACATTATCGAAAGAGAAGAATTTCGACTCTTACTGATTCTATCCTTCTATGACGATGGTATTATTCAGGTGTGGGTCAATTCGAATGCACGTCTTTCCTTCATCAAACATGGGTCTAGTTACATGTCTTTTTAATGTACTTTATTCTTATTGAAACTTGTATGTTATCTCGTTCTTGTTGTTTTCTTTCTGCCATTTTAATTAAAATAAATGCAATATTATGTCAAACATTTTATTCGCATACCTTTCTCTCATTATTCTTTATTGACTCCTTATATTGCCTCCTCTCTCTCCCACTTGGTTAATTCTTCTCAACTACTTCATTTCAAATGAGGACAAGAAGCAATTTAAATTAATTCCCTATGAAAACTTGGATAAATCTCAAATAAAAAAATTTGATTGCGATTGACCAAAATTATTCTCATTCAATCTTTATAATTAATTTATTAAAATGATGCCAATTGAATTTAGAATTGAAATTTAATTCTAATCAGATTTTAGTATGTCAGCTTAGTTTAAATACAACATTTATATTTCTATCTCAATCAATATATTAATTAAAGTATTAGAAAAAAGAATAATTTGATCCATTATTTAAATTAATTATTATTTACTAAAGTAAATTATAAATAAAAACTCAAAAAGATTTTCAGAATCCCTTAAAGTAATAGTTAGAACAAACTCAACTAAGTAGAATCAATCCATTTTATAAAAGATCCACATCAATTATATACCTAAATAGCATAATCCTTGTGAGCAATTAGAAATATAAGCTAATAAGCATTAGACTATAGATCAATCTATACACCTTTTTCAAAAGGGTTAAGAGATAAACATCCTGAAATCAAGTATAAACTAAGACATTAAAATTCGAAAAACATCATTTAATCCTAATCTTAAAGATCCAGGAATTTTGTAAAAATTAGTATACTGTACATCACATTATTGGTGATTATGGAAAATTTATTGAATATCTAATTTTTATCATTGTTATTGTCATTTCCTAAAGAATAATACCCATTCACTAAGATATTAAATTAATTTAAGTAATAACATTAGTAAATTATATGACTCATTTAGTATAAGCACTAGTAACCATAGAAAGTATATCAGTATATTATTATAAAGTGGAATAATATAAGTACAGACATTATCAACAGATTTGAATCAATCAAAAATGTTGGAAGGCTAAATCTGTAACTTTGAATGAGTGTTAGACTCCCTTTGATTTTTAGGATTAATCTAAAATTCTTAAATTCTAGAATAAAATTAATACAAACTAATTACAAATCTATGACGTCAAGGTTCTCAATCTTTGTAACACAAGATTGATGACAGATATCATTTTAAGTAAATGGATAATAATTATGTTATTGAAATAATATCGAATAGTCATAACTATTTGAATAAGGAAAAGGTTTGTAGAGAGAGAAAAGAATAATCTGAATGAAGATTTATACTTCAGAATAATAAAATATATTACTTATTATTTAATTATGTAATAAATTACAAATTAGAAGTTTGAGTCACTCAGAGAACAACTGACCTCGTCTTATAAACAATCTCAAATACTATCTACTTAGAGACACCAATGCTAGCTTTATTAATCTTCAATTATTAGGGGTGAGGACAGTTGTCTGGAATAAAGTAAACTTGAACAAGAGTAAGAATAGGATTAAGAATAAGGAACGTTGCCCTCTTCAATAAGGTCTATGAAGAAGAAAAAATAATAAGCTCGCGTGGTATAGATTTTACTCATCCCTTTAGATGGCATCATAATATAACTAAAAAGAAATACTTTAAAGTACTAGCAAAAAAAGCATAATCCCAAAAATCCTTATAATTTAGAGGAACTACAGGAGACATTTAAATATGAAATCATTTCATAAAAAACTTAAATAACTTAGAAGCAGGAAATTCGTAGTTGATGAATTTCACTAAATAGAAAAGAATTACAATGAAGACTTAAATATCATAGTTGGTAGATTAATACCAGATATTAAGTAATAAGTTAAAATGCTATTTAGTTAGGCGTGATTAAATTTTAACTTAAGATGAGTTGCTATCTCTATTTTTAAATGTTGAACAAATACAACAATTAAATTGCAAATTTTATATCACAATACAATGTAATTAATAATTCTATCTAAGAAATTTTACAAAAATATAAACACTTTCTTATTATTTCATAATAATTCAAGATTTATATCCCTTTTTTTAAAATCTATTATGATTACTGCAGCAGATTTTAATTAGAAAATATAAATAAACTACGCAATAGCAAAGTAGATAATTGTTTTTATTTCTAGGCAGAATTCAACTCATACATTCAAAATATAGAGGCGTGTGGAATTCTTAAAGGCTTGACATTTGAATCCTTTCTTGTCAAACCTGTATAATAATTACCCAGATATGTGTTGATGATAGAAAAATTAGTTAAATATACAGAATTGAATCATCCTGATTACAATGGTCTTAAATAGATACAAGAATAATTCTGTAAAATCAATGAATAAATTAACCAAATGATGAATACGTAATTAATTTCATTATTAGCTTAATAGAACTCAAAGTAATTTGAAATTACTGGCGTAATTCGGAACAATTGATTAATAGGAAATTGAGATGATCTAAAAAAAGTAGCAAGAAGAAGAGCAATTCCTAAAAAAATTATAATAATAAGTTTCTATTTAGATTGTTTCCACTTTCAAATAGAAGGATGGAATCCATACATTCATTGTCTACATAATCTAAGTATTTGTATCTTAAATTAAAAAGATTTAAATCAATACTTACAGAATTAGAACATATCAAAGATATAGTGATTTGATTGAACTCCAAACAGCTCTATTAGATAGAAATTTTAGAACTGAATAATTCTAAAGAAACTGTATAAATCTCATATCAGAAGACAAACTAATCTAAGCTCGATAAGAATCCATATAAGATTTCCTAAAATCCATATTTTTTAATACATAAATGAAAAAATATGAAGATATTCTCATTTAGCATCTAGATCTCCCTGAAAACTTTTTTGCAATAGATAAAGATCACAATGAAACCTTAGTTACAATGAGAGGTAGTTACACAACTTAGATGAGAAATACATTGTTTTAGGAAGATGAGTTTGAAATTGTTGTATTTTTACCAGACGATAAAAGCATTACTTTGTAGATAACTAAACATTGCAAAACTATAGATTTAATAGATACTGTTTGCAGGTCTATATTTTTAGATAGAAACTTTGATTTTAAATTGATGATTCTACAAAACAATACTTGCAGATACTTAGATGACAATGAAGTTGTTTATAAAGTAATGAAAAATTATAATCACAAAAAAAGAAGTATTATAATAGATGTATTATTTTTAGATTTCCTGTCTAAATTATTAAATGGGATCTATTATTCATTCAGTTCTCAGTAATAACCGAAATTTTATTTGAAGAAATATCTGTATCTTAGCTATGAAATTGAATTTTAAGAATTTAATAAAAATAAACGGAGATCCCTTTTATTATTTTATTAAGAATTATCTCAATTAAAATTCAATCATTCCAATTTAAGCCAAAAAGATTATGTAATACAAAGTGCATTAGCAATCTGTATTCTATATAACAATCAAATACATAAGATTAGAACATATGAATAAGTGAGAATGCATTGGTTTCAGAACTTTGTGCCTCTATTAATTCTAAATAGTGTAAAGAAGGTAGATTGGAGAAAATAGATCTTCTAACAAATTAAAAGAATATTGATTGAGTTGCAAGAATAGTAAAATTAACAAGAATGCAAAAATGAAATAAGAATCTTAGAAATTTAATTCCTTAATAATCTTTATAAATAAAAATAGCATGGAATAAAGATGTTCACAGTAAAAATGATGTAAAATTCATTTCTAAAAAAGTAAAAGAGAATGCCTATTAACATTACACTTGGTATTCTACATAATGAGATCTTGATCTTTGAATTAAATCAATAAGTTCCATTAATGTAGTTCCCAATTTAGTAATTGCAGTAGATATCTATTTAGAATAGTGTAATGGTAACTACTTTTCTTGATGGATACATTACATTTAAACATTAATCAATTATGGAAGTCTATAGATTAATGGAAGAATACTAACAAATCAGTCTGTTAAAAGATAAATTAGGCTACCCAGATACAGTAGAAACAAACGATGTCAGTTAAATTAGCTGAGTTTATTTTTATTATAAATTTTGAGTTAGCATGTGTTTAAATGATAAGAGTAATATCATAAATCTAGAATTATTTTATCTTTCTTTACTAATTCTTACTAACTTTCATTTAATTAATTCTCTTGTGATTGATTTGTATTTGAATTTAGTTTCATATTCTTGATATACTTTGATTCATCTTGAGTGGAATTATTAATTTTTTATTGTTTCAGATCAAGCCAAGGATACTTATTTTGAATTAATATGGTTGAAAATTCAGCTCTGCAAAATGGGCAATTTTTTTATTTTTCTAGCCAAGAAGTCAAACACTTCTAATGAAAGATGTGAAAACATGGGGTAACTGAACAATTTCGTTATTGTTTTTTCTACCCATGTTTTATAGATTCCAAGCATATTACGCATTCCTCAAACTGCGTCAATCCAGGATATAATTAAACAAGTTTCTTATATGCAATTACTCCAAAATAGTCCTTGATAAATTTTTCAGTAAACCCTAATATAATAATAATCAAAACTACCATTAGATTGTTTTTTTTGTCTAATCACTTCTATTTGAACTTGATTATTTTAATTAATCCGTATTTATCTTAGACGTAGTGCTTATTACTCTGCTTGTAATTTTTTTGTTTTCAAGAAACTGAGAACACAAGTTACTAACAATAAAGCACCAACAACTGTTCCAACAACTATGATAATTATTTTATTCCTTTCAAGTTACCCATAGTCTGTAGTGTCATTAGATATAATTGTGATCTTAAGTTATGCTTTTTCAGATTTGTTGTTATATAATCCAATGTAAAGGATGTTACTCCCATATTGACTGGATTGTAAATTGCTAAGCTCTTCCAACAAAGATGTGCTATTACTTAGGACTTTACTCCTGGTCAAGTCTGGAATAGTTTTCTGAGGAATATCTCTAAATGCTAAACTATATACTTAATATAGATTAATACAAATTTACATACTGTTTTATCATCGATGGTTGTGTCCGATAATAATTACAAATCCAGATTTTTATATTGATAATAATAGAAGCTCCATGAAAATGAATCTAATGCTACATTTTCTTGATTGCTACTCAAGATATACTTAGAAGAAAGCTAGCAAAAGTATCCCACTTAATTAATTTGACACTCACAGTGATCGATTTGACAATATGATTGACTTATGGATTTTGTATCATTGTAACCCTGGCAATCATTTACGCAACCAGCTTTGTACGGGTCTTCATTATAAGTTAATTAATAGTCAATTTGACCTCCTGATTCTGATTAGCATAGTAAATAAATTGTATGGTAATAGAAGTACTCAATAAGCTATGAATTGCTATTTGATTGTATACTATGTAAGTCATAAACAATTTAGCTTTCCTTATTTAATTTTAAATTTTGTATGTCGAAAATTTACGATTCCAAATCCAAATTTGAAACGAAGCAAGCCACCGTTGATTCTCTCTTTCGATCTTTAGCTAATAAAAATTTCATGATTATGCTTGGAACCATTTCGGTGTAATTTGTTGTTAAAGTAAGAGTCTAATTAATTTGAATAGTGCCTTAATGATGATAAGCATTGCAAATGTAAAAGAATAGAAGTATGAACATTTTTATTATATATTATAATTTAGATCAGAAATTAATCTAAAGCTTGATATGCCCTTAATGAATACTAATATGAATCCTCCAAAACTTATTTGAATATATTCAATACAACAGTTCAAGCATAGTAATAATAGTAGTATTCAATAAAGAAAATAAAAATTGTATAATAAAAACAATAAATTAATTCTAATCGATGAAAGCAGATTTGTGAAAAGGCTTGGGTTAATCGCCTGTAACATTAATTGGTTGACAAAATTCTATTAGTTAACATTTTTGATGGATTAATCCAAGTAATTTTTTATAAAATAAATATTAAACTTTAACTATATGAGATTAGCATTATTATTTGTTTATAAAGAAAGAAGGAAAATTTTAAAATGAGAACATTGTTAATCTATTAGATTGCGGGGATTTTGAAAACAATGCAAAGAATCTTAATTCTCATTCATAGGGGAACAGCATAAATAGATTTCACAGATGAATATACAACAAAGTTTAATTTTCATTATTATTACTAGTTTTATTTATTACAATAACAATTTAAATACAGTCGCTTAACCGAGATTGATAAAATAAGCTAATTTTTAGATCTATAATTGTCATATGGATTTAATGATAATATACATGTATTAGAAAATTAATCAATTAGTTCTTCAGAAAATAAATTACTTTTATTTAAACTTAGTTTCTTCATTTATTATTAACGTACTAATCCTATATATTATCTGACTTTTGAAGAGACTCTCAAGCCTCAACGTAATTCTTCAATTTGTTCAAAATTGACTGACATGTTTTTTCGTTAAAAATTCCTTCGCCATTTTTTTTTGAATGAACAAGTTGTTTTTTACCATTTTTTGTAACTTCAATTTCAAAATATCCAGAAACCTAGCATATAAATTGAAATTACATTCGGGGTCTGTTCACCTGTAACCTTTGCATTAGGATATATTATTTATAAACATTCAATAAAGAAATTGTAAAATGAACCATATCCTCATCCACTGCAATAGACTATGTGGACAGAAAATTCAGTGTCTTTCTTAGTACTCATTTGTTTAACAGATTCAGGAACTGTAGGTTTAGAGCCCATTATAATATTTAAATTAATAAATCTTTTTTGTTATTGAGTTATTGATAAATTGTATAAAATCTATTCTTTTTTCTTAAAAATAAATAATTGATATTATCTGTTATAAGTAATTGTTGTAAGCATCATAATAATGAAAATAATTAATTTTGTTTTATCTATTTAAAATCAATATTGAAATCATTTAGCGGCAGATAGTGCATTGTTTAATAAATAATATAAACTTCAATCATTTACTGGTTCTTATAAATATCAAACTATTATTCAAAAAGAATTTACAACATTAAAAAACCAGATATCACGAGTTTATAATATGAAAAAAAGAATCACTAATAAATTTACTCATTATTAATAAATTTTTGTGTAATAAAAATTATATTCAAACTTTCGAATTAATTATAAATATGACTTGAATCAGTATTTGTAATTTATATAGAAGCACTTAGTATTCCATAATTTGATTGATAAATTAACTTTATATGATAATTAAAGATTTTCTAAAAATTTTGCAATCTAATTTCCATTTACAGAATTCCAGCATCTTATATGAAATTTCTCTTCTTTAAATAAATAATAAATAGAAGGGAATTTATTATGAGATTAACAGAAGATTGTTTTTTTTGTGATAAATAAATAGTTTATTATGAAATATTTCATTTATAATTTTATATAAAAAGATGTAAGAAAATCAAGACTTTGATCCTGACATTCCTGTTCCGCCTCTTTTGGATTCGCCTAAGTCATAAGAATATCAAAAAGTATATATTTTTCGAATAATTTAGTTACAATAAAAGTATTAAGCAATCAAGTAAATAGTGATGTCAAGTGAAAATTCAAAGAACCCTTCTGAGGTTTTACAAAAATTGTAATTGTTCTTCAATGGGAGATAGGGTAAGGTGGAATCATAATCAGAATAAACCCAACCTGAAATGATCAAGAGTGCTAATGTTTCGAGGAGATTTATATTTTAGAAACCTGGAACTGCAAACAACTTAAATTATACTCAAGAACTAGAAAAATAGAATTCAATCTTAAAATAAAGAATAATTAAAGTTTCTTAAGCGAGGGAGAATGATACCAATTAAATTTAGCTTGAATATAACAAAATGAAAGTCAGAGTAGAAAATTTAGAATCAGAAAATAAAAAACTAAAGACAGATTTCTAGAAATGCTATACTCAATTAAAGGAGATGAAGCAAGAAAAGGAGGAAGAGGAGAAGATGAAGTGGCATAGGGAGGCTGTTTCAGACAAAAACCCATATTTGATGGAGGAATTTAGGAAGAAATTGGATGAAAAGGATAAAGAAATTAAAAGATTATCAAAGAATCTTAAGAAAGTACATATTATGTGTGAATATATCCTAGTTTACAATTCTAGAAAAGAAGTTATGGGTAAAGGAAAAGGCATTCGAAGTAGAAAGAAGCGAATATTTGGATAGGATTTTATATTTAAGTGGAAGACTTGGCTTAACGAAATTGGAATGATAGCTTATAAATTTTCAAAGGTTTTTATTTAAATTAATAAAATGTTTAAAATTTATTATTTTAATGGATATTATATCTGAATATCAAATTTATAATAAATTTAAGCTTATTAATCAATTAAATATGTCTTCAATAACAATAATAGTTAGTAAGGGTAGCATAAATAATCAAAGTTAATTCTAAATAAATATTATTAATAATATGTTTTATTTCAATCTAACATCTCTTTAAACACTGCAATACATTAATTTGTATTAAATTTAAATCTATCATAAGTTTTCCTTCTATAAATTCTCTTTTGACCCATCATAGCCAATTTATCTGCTTTTTTGACATATTTCCTTTTTTCTCTAACTTACCCTTATTATGCTATATCAGCATCCTTAAATTACTCAGTCACTGAAACATATTTTCTATCTGGTTAGGCAAACAAAAAGGGTTATTATTATTATAACTATTGTGTAGTTTAAGATTATGGATTAGGTGTTTATTGTTAGATTTGGTGAATAATTTTGGGTTCTGAATCTTCGCTGTCAGAGTTATTTTCTAGCATTCTAAGCAATCTAATAGATTGTTGCTGTTCTGCTTTGAAAATTTCATCTTATTCTTATTGAGTGTCCAATTCTCGGCCTTCTGCTTTGATCTTTTTAGATACATTATTGAAACCATCATTTAATGGGTCTGAATTGTTTGTATTGATAATGATTTTCTTTTGCTTTACTTCAGAATCGATTAGTTTGGAGATTTGCTATAATGAATCTAATATTTTAGATAACTGACTGGTTTGCTGTTTGACTTGATTTCTGAGATCTTAGATTAATTTATCCCAAATCTTGTATTCCTAGTTGTCAGCAACCAACTAAAAAGTCCATTAATTTGATTAATCTTTATAAAAGAGCATATGTTATCCAACTTTTTTTAAAGCCATCTATTAGGAATTGGTAGGGTGCTCAACTTGGAGGATTCCTTCTACTTGTTTGAAGTGATCAAACTCAATTGTTTCCTTTCTTTTTTGGTACAATAGTTTCAGACTTTCTTGGAGAATTTAATCAAACTTTGCAATTTAAAGTGTCAATTCAGTTAGAGTATCTAAAGGTTCTGGCTTGTCATGTTGTAAAATCAAGTTAGCAACAGATCTTTTAAATTATAAGAGCTCTATCGTCATATGATTTTGGTGATCTTTGGCAATACAAATTGGACAGAGGACAGCATGTTTGCATAAGCCTTTTAGACAGATGTGGGTCTTAACTTATCCTTCATGATATTGACACTTCATTGAATTGTGAAAAAAAATAATCCTCCTTTTAATTATTTAGTTTCTATGTAAATAGGATAAGTAATATTAACAACTCTCTATTTTATATAAGGATTAATTGTAGGTTTGCCTGGAGGAGCAATCTAAGTGTTATTTGCACATGAGAAGGACATCGGGATATTCACATTATGTACAATACCTTGGGCATTCAAATTTGTATGGTCACCAATCTAAGATTATTATTTTATTGAAAAATTCGGCAAGCGAAAAACTTATATAGTTCCATTTCTTTCACTTATGGGAGTTCTCTTGATATTGGTTGCCAATGCTGAACATACTCTGCTCAATCTATTTTATTATTACATTGCATTGATGGTTTGTTTATCCACCAGTGACACCGCAATAGATGGATGGTCAGTTACATTATTATCCAACGTAGCTCAATAAAGTGTATGTTAAGCGTTTGGATAATAAGTGGGATGGTTCATCTCTTAAGCCATTTTCATATTGCTGAATCAAAAAAACATAATCAGTTTCGCTCAATATTAATAAACTTTAGGAATAATGTGCATAGCTATGTCGATTGTTGTTATTTTCATTAAGGAAACGAATCCAGATGAAGTCATACATTACCAGAGTTTGATCCATCAGATTAAATAAGTGAAGGGACTGTATTACAACAGAAACTTAAGATTCTTATGTTTATTCATCTTCCTCTAGAGAAATGGAATAGCCTTTATGGATGTTGCAGCTCCGATTGTAATGATAAGAGCAGGAATGGAAAAGGCATTCATAAGTCAGGCTTAAATTATCATATTCTGTTGTACTTTTTGGATTCCTTTGGTCATTGGTTACTTTATCTCAGGCAAAAAGAAAGAGAATGCCTTGGTTATAAGTGCTTTGACTTATCAAACTATCAATATGACCTTCTTTTTATTAGATTATTATGAATATCGAAAGCACCCATTAACTGAAGGCACAATAAATTAATTTTAATACTTATTTTGTTTCCAATTGTTAATACACGAGTATTTATATTCTTTGAATAAGTAGAATTTTTAAGAAAATCTTTACTGTCTGTACTTTTTCATTTGTTGCCGAAATTGTTGAACCATAATTAGCAGGAATGCAAATATCTATTATTAGTTCATTACATAATGTCAGTAGAGTGATCTTGGATCCCTTGATTTTGTAATCGACTGCATATTTTAATATATATGCCTTGGTTTTAGTATGCGTGCTTTATTAGATAATTGTGTTGAGAAAGTATGGAGATGAATTCAAAATCAAGTAATTTATAGCCAAAGAAAATTGGACACTTCATACGCAAGACACACTTGATGGTTATCAAGAATTATAAGAAATTAAAGGATTAAATAATCAACCATGATTATTATTATTATTAAATATAATATCCATAAACATGCTTCGAAAATTATTCTTTTCATTTTCTCAAGACATCGAAAAGGTTATGGCTGATAAACTTACTTAGGTCTTGAAAGCCACTAAAGTTGAAGTCATCGATACATCTGGAGGATGTAAATCATTAATCAAATTACCATAGGTGGTTCTATGTATCGATTGGAAATTGAATCTCCTGAGTTTCAAGGCAAATCAAAAGTGAAATAACATTAAATGGTCGTAGACGCTTTAAAAGCTGAATTAGCAGGTGCTCATGGGTATTCGATTAAAACTAACATCCCCAAGTGATTCACATTATTTGTTTATATATTCAAATTATATATTAGCTTATTGGGTGCAACTCTCATCACTTTAACTTTTCCATAACATCGACTTATGAAGTATGAAGAAAGTAGTATTTTTTGGATTTCTATTTTCAAAGGGTACTTTCACTCAGGAAATCAAACTCAAAAGGTTTGATGTACTCAAAATTCCTCATTTTTGTGTTTGATCATTTCAGGATACTAGATATTCTTGAATGAAATAAAGAAAATTTATTATGAGCAGAGTTTTTTAATTGACTAATGATGGAATTTTAATTCATTCAGATTATATTGATTAATAATATTTCGTCATTATTTAATAAATGCATTATCAAAGTTCTTGTGATTAAACCCAGAAAAATGCATAAATTAAATTTATTTAATGAAGAAACATACAAAATATTTGGTGGAAATACCTACTCATGAATATTAAGAGAATAAGGTCTATTATGTTATGAAAGTAACAAATTTAGAGACTAATGATTTCAAAGAAGTGAAAAAACGATACTCTGAACTTGAATCAATACACTATAAAATTTTGGAATGGATCAACATATTCAAAATTAGAATCCCTTAGTTATAATTTCCAAAAAAAAAAATCTTTTTTTTCAGCACTAATCTATCAGAAGAGAGTGTTAATAAGCGTGTATTTTCATTCATTAATGTAAGAGAGCTGAATTATAAAAATATTTTAATGATGTCTTCTCACATCCTGAATTGCAAAGTTTGGGTTTAATTGAAGACTTCATTCCTGTGACTAAACACAGAAAACCACTTGATTAGAGTCAAATATCTCAAATTTCTAATAATTAATGGTCGGAAATTGAGGCATTAAAGAAATCTTTCTTAGCTAAACATGAAAATCAGGTTTTTTCATTACCCATAATTAAGCCCCAACAATAAATTAAGTAAAATATATTGTACATTCATTTAGATAGCAATACACTTTTAAGTTTTGTGAGCATGGTTTCTATGATAATTCAGCAATCTACACTATAGAAATCACTGATCATTATGCTAATAAGAGTTGGAAATTCAATCAAAGATACCAGGATTTGAAAGAAAATCATAGATAATTGAGAAAAATCTAGATTTCATTTGAACTACCAGAATTTCCTCATAAAAAAGTCATAAATTCCATGGATAATAATGATTTAAAAGATAGGAAAACCTAATTAGAAGTCTATCTCAACTCAATATTTAAGTACACTTGTCATTCTACTCACTTAGATATTATGATTTAGTTTCAAGCAATCTTATGATATTTTTTATTGCCAAAAGCCAATTGGATGGGAATGAAATTGGATGTAGATCGAAAGGTCCTTCATAAACCACATTAGAAAATTCAAGTATTAAAAGTTAATCTAATATCTTGGATTAAAATGATGACTTCGATCCCAAACAACCGAGAAAAATTACCTGTTGATGTTCTCCTACTTAATTTGTATTTATAATAAATTTAACAGTAATATAATTAAATATTCAAATGAGCTACAATAGCAGAACTATTGATTTGATTCTCAAGGCCCAAGAACCAAATTAAAAGCAATTCACAACATTCCAACAATTCTTTAAATCCAATAATCCACCACCTCTCTTATTTGAAAAAAACATAACCCCTAAGAATGTCAAAGCTTAGCGTTCATTTTCTAATAAAACACAAGATTCAATCAAAGAAACAAAAAGAAAAAGCTTAAGCCAACTTAAATACCCTGAATACAGAATGTTGAAAATATATGCAAGAATCAAGCCAGGAGAATGCTAACTTAATTATGACAAGTAATCAATTCTCATTGAAACAAATCCTTATAATTTTGATAGAGTATTTGAATAATCAGCTACATAGGTATATAAATAAATTATCAAAGGGTGATATTTTTGACATCGTGGCAAAATAGACAGTCGATGATTTTCTGAATAATATAAATGGGTGTTTAATAGCATATGGGCAAACTGGAAGTGGAAAAACGTTCACTATGTTTGGAGAATCAAGCAATCCTGGTATAGTTTTAAGAACATTCACACATTTGTTTTCGAGAAATTAAGAAACAATTTATGTTTCCATACTCGAAATTTACAAAGATCATGTGTATGATCTTGTATCTGGTGTTTAAGATTTAAAATTGAAGGAGGACCTTTAATTAGGTTTCTATGTTGATGGATTAAAAAAGATTGTATCAATTTGAATAATTTAATTTAGAAAGTTGACAAATTAGAAAGCTGTTAGGAATTACTTTAAATCGCTGAAGAATATAGACATGTGGCTGAAACTAAATTGAATGCTCTCAGTAGTAGAAGTCATTTGATCTTGACTATTTAAATGGGAAAAACAAAGCTTCATCTAGTTGATTTAGCAGGCAGTGAAAAAGTTAATAAAACTGGGGCAATTGGTGAAACCTTGTAAGAAGCAAAGAAAATTAATTATTCATTGTCATGTTTAGGACATGTTATCCAATGTTTATCATAGGGATAAGATCACATTCCATATAGGGATTCTAAACTTACGAAGTTGTTAATGGACAGTCTATAAGCAGATTGCAGAACGTCGATTGTAATTCCTTATATATAAGACTTTAGATTGTGACTCTCTCTCCTGAAAGTAAAAATTCGGATGAAACAGTTTCTTCATTAAAGTTTGCCTAGAGGGCTAGGTTTATTAAGAAGGAAATTAGAATTGCAACCCAGAAAAAAACATATAGAGATTTAGAATTGGAAATCACTCAACTTAAATAGGAACTATTGGAAACTAAATAAAGAATGAGTTAGACGAGTTCAGTTTCATAGTTTCAATGTCGATACACTACTGATTCGGAAATCCCATGCACTGAGAGTTTGAGATTAACTTATAGGAGCATGACTAATGAAAACAAGGAAAATTATTTACCTAATCTCAAAACTCAAGAAAATAATACTTAGTTAGAATTAGAAAATAAGATCAATTAAATCTTGATTGAATTACAGGGGTTGAACAAAGAGTAGAATCTTGATAATGTGAAAAGACAAGTTGCTAAAATAAACGAATTAACTATTGACATGAAGAAAACCTATAAAGTTTTAGTTAGCACTCAAGGGTTGAACAATAATCATTTGCATATTCAAAGCTAATTTATCGAAACCCAATAAGAACAAAATAAGTAGTTACAGAAGATTGCAGAATAAATATCTAGTATGGACTCAAGCAAACCAAGTTTCAATATAGCTATCAATAATATGATTAAGAATCTATAATAATAATAGAAATAGAACATTGAGGATATGTAATCCAAATTGGAAAAGATGTATTATGATATTAAAAAAAATACAACTGTTTAAGACTATAATTTAAATCATTTGGCTTTGAAATTAGTTGCATCTCCAAATAGATAACAATAATAATAACAATAACAATAAATTAAGAGATCTTAATCAAAAACAAACATAAATCCTTCTGTTAAGTATTTAAAAAATAAAAAATGATTATAATTAATCCATATATAATACTATATTAAGATCATTTAGTCTTTCCATTTAACTTGAGCTCTTTTCTGACTATTCTTGAAAATGGTCCCATGTATCCATCAAAGATGTAAGCCAAAATAGCTAAGGTGTAATTTGTATGATATGGTAATTAGTCGTAGAATTCAGGGGCAATCTTTTTAACTAAAGGTAATCTTGACCAAGGAATGTTTGGAAAATCGTGATGTTCTGTATGATATCCCAAATTTAAAATTAAAAAGTTGGCAATTCCGAGATAATTATATGTTTCTAATCTATTGATGAATTCATAATGTTCAGTGATCAAATGCGCAGCCAAAGGATGAATACTAATGGATATTAATTTAATCATTACCTTAGTCCAAAATAGGTTGAAAGTATTAACCATCCCAAAGCAGATGGTCCCATGTAAATGTAAATCAAAGAATTTGAAATTATTATTGATACTAGGTTTAATATCTCATATTTATTTGGTACCAAGGGTCTGATAAACATAGGTCTAAGTGAATAGAATAAGGGTAAAAAAAGCATAAACAAAAATTTAAGGAGAGGTCCTTTTACATGATCTATCTCCCATTAGGATGGCAAATCGGGATCTAAATCAGGTAAATTCATATATGTATGATGATCTGAATGATATCTTATTAAAATAAAAAATATTTTTACCTTCCAAAAGTAATTGCAGATGGAACTCCCTGACCAAAATTTAAGAAGATGGCCATCAATTTATTGTATTACATACTCTCAAAGCACAAGTAATGAGTAAAATCATGCATTAAAGCATGCAGAGCATGGCTCAAAACTGCTCCGATGCAGTATGATGAAGCTAGATACCACAACCAGTTTGTGGTTGCAAAGAAGTTGATACACCAAAATTGAGCCAATACAATGCCAACTCCAAGCCAGGCTGACATTAGATCTGGGCCAAAAAGAATTTTAATTTCTGGGTGTTTTTAGAGTATTTGCCTTCTTCTTATCGCATGTGGTTCATCATGACCTAGTCAATATATAATGTAAATTATACCCATTATATGAAAATAAGACATATTTTTTTCAAAATTTGTATTGGCGAAAATTGATTCCTTATAGGAGGAATGTCCATTTCTCTTTTCTTGCTCCTTGAGAAGCTCGGGTTAATTTGAATCTTCTAATAATCCTTGTGGGTTAAGGAACATTGTAGGTAATAATTATTAAAATATATGAAATTTTTGATTTTGGATATTTGCTTTAATAATATTATTTGTCAAATCATAATATAATTTATTAAATTAATGCACGAATAATATTAATACGAACTATTATAAAAAAAAAAATCTGCTGTATAAGGATCGAACTAATGCTAAATGTTAAATCATACACACTATTATTCATTATGTATGGTTTGAATAAAAATATCATTTTTGAAAGGAGAGAGCCACATGTCCTTCATCTTTGCATTCAAAAAAACTTATTAATCCATATGTGGTTTGAAATAAGAGTTATAAATACTCACAATAAGAGTATGATATGATCATCTTCAGGTAGAGTTAATCCATTCTTAAAGTGTGAAAAAATTAATATAAATAATATTTGAATAATATATTAATATAAAAAAAGAGAGGGCAAATTTGGAAATTAGTAACATAAAAGTGCTTAATTTGTATGAGAATAAAGATTAAAGCATTGGATAATTTGTCATACTATTAATTCATTTTACAATATTTTATTAAGTTATATAAAAATGCTTAATATAACCATTAATGTACTAATAAGTATAATTTATCTATCGAATATCTAATTGAATTTTATTATAATATCAAGCTTTTTAACCAGATGATAATAGACTTAATTTTTATTGAATTGACTTAATATAAAGTGCATCTACTTCTGATGCCTTTTCTACTGCTTTTAGTGGTTTTGTAGTCCAGGAAGCCTCTACTATCTAAAATTTAATATTATAATATTTTACAGATTCCATGCTTTTAGTTTATTTGTCTAATTTGTTGACTTAGTCTGCTTTTCTTTTTAAGTAGCTTTCATGTTAAGATGATTCACCATTAGTTTTATCATCAATAAACTATTATGATAATGTCAAAATATTACTTTTTTTTTAATTTTGTCAACTTTTTAATTATGCAGCGCTAATTTCTTTCTTCTTAACTCTTCTTTTTATTCATCGTCTAAATTATCTAAATTGACAACTTTTCTTGGTGTTTACTCAAGTCCTTCCTCTCTCTTTCTTCTTTCTTCTTCTTTTTTTCTTTCTTCTTCTTTGATCTTTTCTTCTTTTTCTAATCTTTCCTTTTCTTTTCTTTCTTCTCTTTCCTTTTTAGCTTATTACAAAACTTCTTATAAATAATCATGTCTCTCAAGCTAAATGATAACGTATTTAAATTACAGTTCCTAAAGTTTGATTTTTCACAATTTTTGGAGTAGAAGTGATTTATGGCAATTCTAATTTCTTTTTCTTCTATTATTCTTATAGTAATTTTAATTGTTTTTCTCTCTCTTCTTTTTCTAACTCAAGTGCCTTTTGATGTAATTCTCTAAATTCTTTTAGATATTCCTTTCCTTTTTATTTGGCTAAGGTTTCCTCATATTCATAATCAAATTCCTCCTTTTTTTTCTTATCTTCTTCTTTTTATTTACTCAATATAATTGATTATTCAAGTTCCTTTTTAGTTTTTTCTTATAATTTAATAAATCTCTCCTTTTCTTTTTCTTTCGCTTCTTTTTCTTTTTATTATCTAGCTTCTTCTTCTCGTTAATAGATTTCAAACTCAGGTTCCTTTTCTTATTCTTTGTCATTTTTTTTGACCATTCTAATATATCTTTCAGGATGGATTGTTTTATCCCTTAAAACAAGTAATTCTTCTTCTTTTTCTTTATCTTTTTAGATTTTAATGGTTTCTTTAACTTTTTTATCATAATTTATGATTTTGGATTTTTTTTCTTTGGCTTAATTAATCAAGGTTTCTTTAGGAATAACAGAGATATCATCAAGAGATTTATTAACTCTAGACTCTTGCAATAACCATAATTTGGAATCAAAACTTGCATTAACATTTTAACTATATTTACCAGCTTCTAAACCTAATTTTTCAAGTGCTTTCATTCTTTTTTCCTCATATTCTCTCCTCTTCATTTTAAGTTTCTTTAAATATTCTTTCATGTGTTCCTCATATTCTTAATTATAAAATTCATTCTTTTCCATTCTCATTTTTCTCTCTTGATTAACAATTTATTGTTATTTTTGTATCTTTTTATTATACTTATCTAAAACTCTCATGTATAGAGGCTATTCGATTTCAATTTTCTTTGGTGGATGTAAGATTTTACTATTAGGAGATGCACTCTTGGGTCTAATCTTTTTCTTCTTATCTTTTTTCTGACCTTCATTTTTATAGGGTTTCAATTTGACTTTAGGAATATCTACTGAGGCAATTAATGCTCTTTCCTTATTCATTTTTGATAATTTATCATTCAAACTCTTAAAATAATCATCTTCCATCTTATCCATTTTTTCAAGTCGCTGCTTTTGTTTTGCCTTCAGATCTTCGATATTTTCTCTTAATTTAGCATGTAACTGTTCTTTCAATTATTATCTATAAAATGGTAAGAATAATGATTACGTTTTGATGGCATCTTCTTATTTTTTCCTTTCTTCTTCTTCCTTTTCTTTCTTCTCTTTCTCACTCAATATCTTATTAGTTTTTTCTCTTCTTGTCTTAGCTTCATTTTGGATCTTCTAAACAGTCTCTTGGGCTTATTGTTACTTGGTGAGATTCTCCTCTTGCATATACAATTTGAGAGTGGGCTGACTGTAGGCACTATAAGCGTTGTTGATTTTCTGACCTTTGAGAGTTTTCAATTCAGTATCAACATTTTATAGTTTGGTTTGCAATTAATCTTTTTCTTTTTCGACGATCAAGACCTTTTTATCCATCATGTGTCCTTCAACATAATTATATTTGGAATTCTTATAAAAATATTAACTTGTAATTTACTTCTAATTGCAAGACTCCTTTGCGAATTGCATTCAGGATTTTATCTTCAACTCTTTCAGCATTTCTCAATGATAGCTAAGAATACGATAAGAAATAACCTTCTGAGAAATGGAATCTTACTTATTTTTGAGAGTTTCAAAATACTTATTTTAAAAGTCCATCATAGTTTGCTTCATCTTTTAGATGTGATCCTATATGCCATAAAATAGAAAAATTACTATATCATTAGTTGAAGCTTTGACAGTTTCCTTTTTGGGTGGAGATGCCTAAGCAGTTTTGGGTTGTTGAATCGGCTGTTGTTATTATGGTTATTGTTATTTTTAATCATTTGGTTTACCAGTAGTTTTTGGAGGGTCTTTGGCAGGAGGTTGTTATTGTGGCTATTATTTTGTTGGTGGTGCTGCGGGATTTTATTTCATTATTTATAAATATTAATTTGCACATTTTTGCATATAAATCAATAACAATTCTTCGCAAATCTAGCATAAGTTTCATCAAGATTGTCCTTCATATTCTAATCAATCGCCCATTGTCTTTAACATGAGTCTGATGTCACAACACTCAGCCCAGCCTGAATCATCCAATGAATAGGCACAATCACAATTAGAAGTGTAAGGATGGTCATTATTAGAGTTTTGGTTTCTTTAATTTTGAGTTCGTAATACATATCTCAGCAATGCTCTTGATATTGTGCCGATTATTTTTATTAATTTGAATTAATAAATATTTTAATAACACTAAGAACCAAATAAATTCAAAAAGCCTATCCAAACAAAGTCTAATTTAATAAATAGAAAGCCCCTATCCTCTCATTCTATGGCACCATGTGTCCAGCGCCCCTCACAGTCACAAATCTCAATTTGTTCGAGTATCCTTGAGTATAACCTCCCAGCTAGTTGTTCTTTACATAATAGGGTCTCCACTCTTCAGTGATGGACAAATTTAATACTTACAATGCTATAAACCACCTTAATATAAACTCATTACTTTGCAATGTATCTATCCACGGAACCACACTATCGGCATCTCCATTGTATAATACAATTGTGTAGAGATCATAATTGATTACTTGTTGGAGTGCTTTCATAATTAAAGGAGGATCTGACACATATTTAAATTATTTGTTATGATATCTAGAACACATAAACCACTGTATACTCTCATCCACATGAAGATACCTTTTAATTTAAATGTCATTCAAATAATTTTAAATATTGTCTAATTACACACATGGTACTCCTAATTCATGATTGGTAACTTGAACAATGTTGTCATCGTGTATCAACATGAATTGTTTCATTTCTGATAGCCACTCCTATTCATCTTCAACTTCTTTCTCTTCATAATAACAATACCCATAAATATCATATGGATTGATCCTTTTTGTTATTCTCCAAGCATTCGAATTCACATCTTTACAATCTTCAGATGTTACATTCTTCTCACAAGCAGAAATATCAAAGTTTGGAGGCAACAATTAATGTTACTTTTAATATAACAATTACGAAATAGGAAGATGCGTTAGGTTTGTTACTCCATTCCCAATCATCATTCCCTATAAATTTATTACAGCCACTTCTAAATCATTAAATTTCTTTATCTTCTATGCAAGCAATGGAATATATGCTCCTGCATAACTTTCACCTGCCAACCACAGTGGATTCTTTTAATATTCAGGATAATTGCTGTAAAATTCCTGCAATACTTTTAAATTGTGATCTGCTGTTTATGAATCATTGAATGTTATGTTCAGGGGATTATGTGAAAAACCCACTCCACTTGGACTTTCCAAAAATAATAAATGTGCTACTCTATTCCAAGATTACTCATTGTATGATAAGGTGTCATCATCATCATTCAAAAATACAAAGGGACCTATCTCTTGAAGAAATCCAATCATCGACGAACACCCTTTAATATTACTCATGTCTTGTTACCTGGTCCTCCATTTAACCACAACACAAGAGGTACACTATTATCCTAATTGTTAAGCTAACTCTGAACAAAAACATAGTGAAATGATTAGTTGCTATCAATTATCGATAAATAGCCTGAGAATATTGAAAAATTAAATTCTTTCATATTAAATGGCTATCCAAAATTGATGATGATAATCTTACAGGTAAATAAGTCACCAAGTCTTCAATTTACAATCCGAAAATATGAACAACTGTTGAAATTAGAATAAAAATCATAAATTTTTATGATTATTTTATTTATGTTTTGATATTACTCTAAAGTAAAACACTGTAATTGTAAGATAATCTTTTTCACATTTCGAAATATTGAAATAACATTATTCTAATTCAAATATATTTTAAGTGGATAAAATTGAGTAAATTCAATGATTAATTTTTGTTAACTTTAAAAAAGTTTAAATTATTTCAAAAGATTAATGATTTTACAGACATTTCAATATCAAACTCATTTAAATAACTTAACTATTAATTTAGAAAATGAATATTAATTAGAGGAATAATATCTTAATCTGATAAGGGAGTGGAGATAAATAGTATTTTCAAAAAAAGACTGATTTTTTTAATTGTTTTTTTAAATGAAAAATTATAAGCAATTTAATTTTTCAATAAATAAAATTTAGAGATTTACTATTAACATAGAAATTTGAATTCCTTCCAAAAATCAGAGCACTATTAGGCTTATTTTATTAAGCCTATTTTTGGCAGCTTTGGTAATTGCCTAAATACAATTATTATTATTTGGTTTATATGTAGAATAAACTTAGGAAATAAACGATCTTAATATAAAATTTACTAAGTTAATAAAAATGATGATCTATACTCATTTTTTATGCTTCTTAGACTTTTTTTCTTTTCTTCTACTTCTACTACGACTCTCCTCTTTCTTGACATCTTTCTCTTAAGCTTCTTTTATTTATTATTGTTATTGTGCAAGTTCTTTTAATTTCTTTTTTTCTGCTTTTTTTTTCTCTTTCAATTAAATTAAACGTTCTGCTTTTCTCATTTCTCTTTCAACTTTTCTTTCGAGTCTTGTTTTCTCTTCGGCGTCAAAATCAAATGCTGTTCCTGGCTTAAATTAATCTTTATCTATGCCAAATGCATCTCCAATTTTTTTCTCTTACTCTTCTTTCCTCTAAGTCTTAATGTGAGTATCAGCAACATGGCTAAACATATTATATAATATTACTCTAATTAATATTCTCCCTTATTTAACATATCTTTCAATTTATCCTCCAATCTTTAAACTCTTTATTTAATTTCTTCTTCTGCAATTCCTCTTGCTTCCAATTCCTCTTGTAATGTAATTTTTTTCAATTCAATATCTCTTTTCATTTCATGTAAAATAATTTCTGGATTTGCTTTCTTCCTTGCTTAAATAACATTCTCCTAAAATTTTATTAAAAATAATTTTTACTTTCATAGCCTTAATTTCTTTAAGAAATTCATCTTACTTTCGTGTTGGTTTTATATGAGCTAGATTTTTTTGTACATACCCAGAGGTGCCACTGCCTCTAGGAGTCATTAGACCAATATTATTATACATAATAAATATATATTTTAAATATATAATTTTAATTATTTTGCTATGAATAAGAAAACCATTTAAACAATTTTACTCATGTTTTTTGTTTATCATTATTTATATCTCATTATTTTTACAACTTTTATGATTGACAATATTTAAGAATGCAAGAAATTTATTATTTTAAATCCTGAAAATATATATTAAGAGAATGGTGTAATATGATTTAATGAAGAAATCTTGAATGATATTTTTTTAATCTCGTCATTTTGAAAATAGTTAAAGTATAATTGCATGATTGCAAAATTTATTGTAATCGAGATATTCAAAATAAAAGAATGAATTACCTAAAAAATCTTAAAACATGAAGTGAGAAATATAAAAAGCCTTTGACTAATATGTATTTTCTGAGTTTTAGACATTTTTATAATTATAGTTCAATTAAAATTCTGGTTTAAAAATAATGATTAATGATTTATAATTAATTTATCAAATTATAACCATAGTTTGTATTCTGAATTTTATATTTCGTAAATAATAATATAAATGAATTAAAATTAAGAAGAGAATTCAAGTGATGATGTAATTTAATTTGAAGATAATGAAATAATAGATTTTAATAATTTAGAATCAAATCATAGTCCCAAAAATTGCTAACCTTAAAAATAAGAACTTAAGATGGCTAATGAATTGACAAATTGTTCTTAATTAATGCTTATTCAGGTAAAGATAGATAATATTGCAGTAACAACCACCCCCAAAATAGCAGTAAATGTAATAAATCTAGAAATCCCAATAAACAACTATACAAAATAAAAAGAATGATTGTCCTGAACTTTAAAAATTTAAGGACAATAATTATACTATTTTATAAAATTTATAAATTGACTTTAGCTTAGAATAATTTTTAATATCTCCTGCTCCTAAGGGTGGAATGATTTAATGCAGATTTTATAGAGCTTCTCCCAAGTTTACATTGTTTTTGGAATAATACAATAATATTATATTAAATGCAGATAAGAAGTCATTTTAAATAAAGAGCAGCTATAAAATTTTTGCTAAAGGAAAAAAAGAGTAATATCTAGGCAAAATTAAAGGAGATTTTAAGGGATTAAAATATCTAATATATGACAATGGGAAAACAGCAAAGAAATCAAAAGACATAACCTAATTAAGAAAAGAGTTAGGAGTGGTCTATTATTAATCCTACGAAAAGAAGCTACGTTCAATTTAGGTATTAACTTTAACATAATTAGGCATTCATCCCTTAAATAACTTCTACTGGATAAATGTATGAATTTAAGAGTCAGCCACCTTATACATCCATTGTCAATAATTTAGATAATGTAATCGAGCTAGTAAATAGAAAACCTTAATGGATTCCTTCGTATAAAGCTTATGGATTAAATTTTTATGGTAGAATATTTACAAGTTCTGTTAAGAATTTCATTTTGACAGAAAGAGGAAGTGAAATCCCAGTATTGTTATTTGGCAAAAATGATGATAGAGAATTCGTACTTGATTTTTCATACCCCTTAACTCCAGTTTAAGCATTCTGTATTGCACTTTCAAGCACAGATCATAAGATTGGGTGTAAATGAAGCTAATTATATATTAACAATAAAGGCTTCAGAATATAAATGATTATTATTTTTAAATCCAATTTTATCTTCTAAATAAAAATATAAATATTGTAGACGCATCAACATTTTTTTAAATCATTTTTATTATGTATCCTTATGGCTTGATCATAATGATTTTCACAATAGGCATTTCAATACTAAATAGATGAAACAAAGCTTAAATTTAGTCATTTCTTAGAATATTTTAAGGACCTGAGGAACAATAATAATCAATATTTAATTCCTTTATTTGGCTGATATAGTTAGTTAAAAATATTTTGTGAATAAAGAAATAA